GAAAATTTTGGGTAAATTTTGAGGTCTCAGACCATTTTTGGGTGAATTTTGGGTGAATTTGGGGTCTCAGCCCCTTTTTGGGTGAATTTTGGGCAATTTTGAGTAAATTTGGGTAAAGTCTAGGGAATTTTAGGGAAATTTGGGAAAATTTGGGTAAATTTTGGGGAAATTTTGGGGTCCCAGCCCATTTTTGGGTGAATTTTGGGGAATTTTGGGTAAATTATGAGTAATTCCCGGGAATTTTGGGGAATTTGGGGAGAATTTTTGTAAATTTTGGGTAAATTTGGGGTCTCAGCCCCTTTTTTGAGGGATTTGGGGTCAATTTTGGGCAATTTCAGGTGATTTTGGGGAATTTTGGGGCAATTTTAGGGAATTTTGGGTTAATTTTAGGGAATTCGGGGGTTACCTTTTGGGAATCTTTGTAAATTTGGGGAATTTTGGGGAATTTTGGGGTTAATTTTCTGGAATCTTTGGGAATTTTGGGAATTTTGGGAATTCCAGGTGAATTTTTGGGTGAATTTCCGGGAATTCGGGGGTTAACTTTGGGGAATCTTTGGGAATTTTGGGGAATTTGGGGAAATTTGCGGAATTTTGGGGTTAATTTTTGGGAAACTTTGGGAATTTTGGGAATCTTTGGGAATTTTGGGAATTCCGGGGGAATTTTGGGGTGCATTTCCGGGAATTTTGTGGTTTATTTTCGGGAAATTTTGGGAATTTTGGGAATTCCGGGTGAATTTTGGGGTGAATTTCCGAGAATTTGGGGGTTAACTTTAGGGAATCTTGGGGAATTTTGGGTTAATTTTCGGGAAACTTTGGGAATCTTTGGGAATTTGGGGGATTTGGGGGTTAATTTTGTAAAATTTGATGTGAACTTTTGTGAATTTTTGGGTTAATTTGCATAAATCTCTTGAAATCTTTGGAAATTTTGAGAATTTTGGGGTTAATTTTTGGGAATTTGGGGGTTCAGATTTAAGAATCTTTGGGAATTTGGGGGAATTTTGGACAATTTGGGGTGAATTTTTGGGAATTTGGGGGTTTACGTTTGTGGAATCTTTGGGAATTTTGGGGATTTTGGGAATTCCGGGTGAATTTTGGGGTGAATTTCCGGGAAATTTGGGGTTTATTTTCGGGAAACTTTGGGAATTTTGGGGGAATTTGGGGGATTTTGGGGTTAATTTTCGGGAAACTGGGAAATTTGGGGGAATTTGGGGAATTTTGGGGTGAATTTTATAAAATTTGATGTGAATTTTTGGGAATTCGGGGGTAAACTCTAGAAATCTTTGGGAATTTGGGGGAATTTTGGGAATTTTGGTCAATTTTGGGGTGAATTTCCGGGAATTCGGGGGTTAACTTTAGGCAAATCTTCGGGAATTTTGGGAATTTTGGGGTGAATTTCCGGGAATTTTGGGTTTATTTTCGGGAAATTTTGGGAATTTTGGGAATTCCGGGTGAATTTTGGGGTGAATTTCTGAGAATTTGGGGGTTAACTTTAGGGAAACTTTGGGAATTTGGGGGAATTTGGGGAATTTTGGGGTTCATTTCCAGGAATTTTGGGGTTAACTTTGGGGAATCTTTGGGAATTTTGGGAATTTTGGGTGAATTTTGGGGTGAATTTCCGGGAATTTTGGGGTTTACTTTGGGGATTTTTCGGGAATTTTGGGAATTTGGGAATTTGGGGTGAATTTTGGTGTTAATTTCCGGGAATTCGGGGGTTAATTTTCGGGAAACTTTGGGAATTTTGGGGAATTTTGGGAATTTTGGGGTTAATTTTTGGGAATTTGGGGGTTCAGATTTAGGAATTTTTGGGAATTTGGGGTTAAATTTGGGGAATCTTTGGGAATTTTGGGAATTCCGGGTGAATTTTGGGGTGAATTTCCGGGAATTTGGGGGTTAACTTTGGGGAATCTTTGGGACTTTTGGGAATTTTTGGAATTCCGGGTGATTTTTGGGGTGAATTTCTGGAAATTTGGGGGTTAAATTTGGGGAATCTTTGGGACTTTTGGGAAATTTGGGGAATTTTGGGGTGAATTTTCAGGAAACTTTGGGAATTTTGGGAACTTTGGGAATTCCGGGTGAATTTTGGGGTGAATTTCCGGGAATTCGGGGGTTAACTTTGGGGAAACTTTGGGAATTTGGGGGAATTTGGGGAATTTTGGGGTTAATTTTCGGGAATCTTTGGGAATTTTGGGAAATTTTAGGAATTATTGGGTTAATTTTTGGGAATTTGGGGGTTTAGATTTAGGAATCTTTGGGAATTGGTGTAAATTTTGGGGGAATTTCAGGAAATTTTGGGAATTTTGGGGTCAATTTTTGGGAATTTGGGGGTTCAGATTTAGGAATCTTTGGGAATTTTGGGGAATTTTGGGGTTAATTTTGAAAATTTTGAGGTGAATTTTTTGGAATTTGGGGATTAACTATCAAGAATCTTGGGGAATTTTGGGGAATTTTGGGAATTTTGGGAATTTTGGGGTCAATTCTTGGGAAACTCTGGGAATTTTGGGCAATTTTGGTGTTAATTTCCAGGAATTCGGGGGTTAACTTTGGGGAAACTTTGGGAATTTGGGGGAATTTGGGGAATTTGGGGGTTAATTTTTGGGAATTTTGTGGTTTATTTTCGGGAAATTTTGGGAATTTTGGGAATTTTGGGGTGAATTTTGGGGTGATTTTCCGGGAATTTGGGAGTTAAGTTTGGGGAATTTTGGGAATTTGGGGAATTTTGGGGTGAATTTCCGGTAATTCGGGGGTTAATTTTCGGGAATCTTTGGGAATTTTGGGAATTCCGGCTGAATTTTGGGGTGAATTTCCGGCAATTCGGGGGTTAAATTCGGGAATCTTCGGGAATTTCGGGAATTTCTCCCCCGCATTCCGCGCGCGCTCCCGCCCGCGGCTCCGCCAATCAGAGCGCGGCGAGGGGGCGTGGCCAGGGGAAGGGGGCGGAGCCTCAGGCCACGCCCCCTCCCCTTAAAAGGGGGTCCCGGCCCCGCCCCCCCCAGAGCGGGACCGAGCGGGGATGGGGGAGGGGCTGGAATGGGTCAGTTTGGGGGGATTTGGGGAATTTGGGGGATTTTGGGGCGGATTTAATGAAAATTGGGGGCATTTTGGGGGGATTTGGGGGATTTGCGGGGATTTGGGAAAATTGGTGGGATTTTGGGGGGATTTTGGGGGGAATTTGGGAAAATTTGGGGAATTTTGGGGGGATTTGGGGGATTTTGGGGGGATTTTCTGGGGGATTTGGGGGGATTTGGGGGGCTTTGGGGGGATTTGGGGGGATTTGCGGGAATTTTCGGGGGGTTTTGGGGGGATTTGAGGGGATTTGGGGAAGGTTTGGGGGGATTTGGGGGGATTTGGGGGGATTTGGAGGGAAATTTGGAAAATTGGGGGGATTTGGGGGGATTTGAGGGAATTTGGGGCGATTTTGGGGGGATTTGGGGGGATTTTGGGGGGGATTTGGGGGGATTTTGGGGGGATTTTGGGGGGATTTTTGGGGGGTTTGGAGGGATTTGGGGGATTTGGGAGGATTTGGGAAAATTTGGGGTAGATTTGGGGGGGATTTGGGGTAGATTTGGGGGGGATTTTTGTCAGAATTTGGGAAAATTTGGGGGATTTTGGGGAGGTTTGGGGGGATTTTGAGGGAATTTTGGGGGATTTGGGGGGAATATCTGGTTGGATTTGGGGGGATTTGGGGGGATTTTGGGGCATTTTTGGGGGATTTTTGGGGGATTTGGGGGGGATTTGGGAAAATTTGGGGGATTTTGGGGGGGTTTGGGGGGATTTTGAGGGGAATTTTGGGGAGATTTGGAAAATTGGGGGGATTTTGGGGGGATTTTGGAAAATTGGGGGGATTTTGGGAAAATTGGGGGGATTTTGGGGGGATTTGGGGGATTTTGGGGGGATTTTGGGGTAGATTTGGGGGCGATTTTTGTTGGAATTTGGGAAAATTTGGAGGGTTTGGGGGGATTTTTGGGGGGATTTGGGAAAATTGGGGGATTTTGGGGGGAATTTGGGGGTAATTTAGGAAAATTGGGCGAATTTGGGGGATTTTGAGGGGATTTGGGGTAGATTTGGGGGGGTTTTGTCAGAATTTGGGAAAATTTGGGGGATTTTGGGGAGGTTTGGGGGGATTTGGGGGAAATTTGAGGGGATTTGGGGGGATTTTGTGGGGATTTGAGGGAGTTTGGGGGGATTTTCAGGGGAATTTGGGAAAACTCGGAAAATTTGGGGGGGTTTGGCGGGATTTTGGGGGGATTTGGGGGGATTTGAGGGGAAGTTTGGGAAAATTTGAGGGATTTTGGGGGGGTTTAGGGAGATTTTGAGGGAATTTGGGTAAATTGGGGGGATTTTGGGAGGATTTGTGGAGAAATTTGGGGAAAATTGGAGGATTTGCGGAGATTTGGGGGGATTTGGAAGGGATTTGAGGGGATTTTGGGGGGAGTTTTGGGGGAATTTGGGAAAATTGGGGGGATTTGAGGGGATTTGGGGGATTTTAAATGGATTTCGGGGAGAATTTTGGGGGAATTGTGGAAAATTGTGGGAGTTTGGGGGAGTTTGGAGGGAATTTGGGGGGATTTTGGGGAAAATTTGGGAAAATTGAGGAGATTTGGGGGGATTTTGAGGTAATTTTGGGGGGATTTGGGGAATTTGGGGGGAATTTGAGGGGATTTGGAGGGAATTTTGGAAAATTTGGGGGATTTTGGGGGGTCCCAATGAAATTTGGGTGATTTGAGGGGATTTTGGGTGGATTTGGGGAGATTTGGGGGGGAGTTTTGGGAGAATTTGGGAAAATTTTGAGTGAAATTTGGGTGAATATTGGGGAATTTTGGGGGATTTTGGGAGAAAATTTTGTGAAAATTTTGAACAATTTTGAGGAATTTGGGGAATTTGTAGGAATTTTGGGGCATTTTGGGGAATTTTGCTGAATTTAAGGGAATTTTGGGGGGATTTGGATGAATTTGGGGTGGAATTTTTTGGGATTGACCTCTGACCTTTGATCTTCCCGGACAGGCGGTGCTGGTGCTGGCGGTCATCGGGAGCTGCGGTCAGTGGTCACTCAGGGGTCACTCAGGGGTCAGAGGTCACTCAGGGGTCACTCAGGGGTCAGTCATTGGTCACTCAGGGGTCAGTCATTGGTCACTCAGGGTCACTCAGGGTCACTCAGGGTCACTCAGGGTCACTCAGGGGTCACTCAGGGTCACTCAGGGTCACTCAGGGTCACTCAGGGGTCACTCAGGGGTCACTCAGGGGTCACTCAGGGGTCAGGGGTCACTCAGGGGTCACTCAGGGTCACTCAGGGGTCAGGGGTCACTCAGGGGTCACTCAGGGTCATTTGGGGTCACTCAGGGTCACTCATTGGTCACTCAGGGTCACTCAGGGGTCACTCAGGGTCACTCAGGGGTCACTCAGGGTCACTCAGGGTCACTCAGGGGTCACTCAGGGGTCACTCATTGGTCACTCATTGGTCACTCGGGGTCACTCAGGGTCACTCAGGGGTCACTCATTGGTCACTCAGGGGTCACTCAGGGTCACTCAGGGGTCACTCAGGGTCATTTAGGGTCACTCAGGGTCACTCAGGGTCGCTCAGGGGTCAGTTGGTCACTCAGGGGTCACTCAGGGTCACTCAGGGTCACTCAGGGGTCACTCATTGGTCAGTTGGTCACTCAGGGTCACTCAGGGTCACTCAGGGGTCACTGGTCACTCATTGATCACTCAGGGTCACTCATTGGTCACTCAGGGGTCACTCATTGGTCACTCAGGGGTCACTCAAGGTCACTCATTGGTCACTCAGGGGTCACTCAGGGTCACTCAGGGTCACTCAGGGTCACTCAGGGGTCACTCATTGGTCACTCAGGGTCACTCAGGGTCACTCATTGGTCACTCAGGGTCACTCAGGGTCACTCAGGGGTCACTCTGTGCTCAGTTGGTCACTCAGGGGTCACTCCGGGGTCACTCATTGGTCACTCAGGGTCACTCAGGGTCACTCAGGGGTCACTCAGTGGTCAGTTGGTCACTCAGGGGTCACTCAGAGGTCACCCCTCCCTCTCTCCTCTCCCATTGGTCCCTCCCGCCCAGGCCCCGCCCCCCCGGCGCCGGCCCCGCCCTTCCTGGAGGAGCCAGCCAATGGCAGCGCGCTGCTGGGCGAGGGGGCGGAGCTCCGCTGCCGCGCGCGGGGGGGCGTGGCCGTGCAGTGGGCGAGGGGCGGGCTCCTGCTCGGGGCCACGCCCACCCGCGCCCACCCGCGGTACCGATTGGCCGGAGACCCCCGGAGAGGTGGGCGGGGCTTAGAGGGGGCGGGGCTTGGGTGGGCGTGTCCCTGTGGGCGTGGCCTGTGCTGGGTGTGTCCCTGGGACTGGACTGGGACATTACTGGTTTATACTGGGAGCACTGGGAGGGACTGGGAGGGGGGCGGGTTTATACTGGGAGGGACTGGGAGGGACTGGGAGAGGATTCGGGGTCATTGGGAGGGAACTGGTTTATAGTGGGAGCACTGGGAGGGACTGGGAGGGGGACTGGGTTATACTGGGCTATACTGGGAGGGACTGGGAGGGACTGGGAGAGGATTCGGGGTCACTGGGAGGGAACTGGTTTATACTGGTTTATACTGGGAGGCACTGGGAGAGACTGGGAGGGAATGGGACGCTACTGGTTCATACTGGGAGGGACTGGGACTTTACTGGGTTATACTGGGAGGCACTGGGAGGGACTGGGAGGGGACTGGGAGGGCACTGGGATGTTACTGGTTTATACTGGGAGCACTGGGAGGGCACTGGGACATTACTGGTTTATACTGGGAGGGACTGGGAGGCACTGGGAGGCACTGGGAGGGGGACTGGTTTATACTGGGAGGCACTGGGAGGGACTGGGATGTTACTGGTTCATACTGGGAGAGACTGGGAGGGACTGGGATGGACTGGTTTATACTGGGAGGGACTGGGTTATACTGGGAGGGGACTGAGACGTTACTGGTTTATACTGGGAGCACTGGGAGGGACTGGGAGGGACTGGGAGGGGGACTGGGTTATACTGGGAGGGACTGGGAGGGGACTCAGGGTCACTGGGAGGGAACTGGTTTATACTGGTTTATACTGGGAGGGGACTGGGACATTACTGGTTTATACTGGGAGCACTGGGAGGGACTTGGAGGGGGGCCGGGTTATACTGGGAGGGACTGGGACCTTACTGGTTTATACTGGGAGGGGACTGCGATGTTACTGGTTTATACCGGAGAGGACTGGGACGTTACTGGTTTATACTGGGAGGGACTGGGAGAGGTTTTCGGGTCACTGGGAGGGAACTGGTTTATACTGGGTTATACTGGGAGGGGGACGGGGTTATACTGGTTTATACTGGTAGGGGACTGGGACATTACTGGTGTATACTGGGAGCACTGGGAGGGACTGGGAGGGACTGGGAGGGACACTGGGTTATACTGGTTTATACTGGGATCACTGGGAGGGACTGGGAGGGACACTGGGTTATACTGGTTTATACTGGGAGCACTGGGAGGGACTGGGAGGGGACTGGGTTATACTGGGTTATACTGGGAGGGACTGGGAGGGAACTGGGAGAGGATTCGGGGTCATTGGGAGGGAACTGGTTTATACTGGGAGCACTGGGAGGGGGACTGGGTTATACTGGGAGTCACTGGGAGGGACTGGGACGTTACTGGTTTATACTGGGAGGCACTGGGAGGGACTGGGAGTGAACAGGGAGAGGGACTGGGAGAGACTGGTTTATACTGGGAGGGACTGGGAGGGGACTGGGACATTACTGGTTTATACTGGGAGGGACTGGGACGTTACTGGTTTATACTGGGAGGGACTGGGACGTTACTGGTTTATACTGGGAGCACTGGGAGGGACTGGGAGGGGACTGGGTTATACTGGGAGGCACTGGGACACTACTGGTTTATGCTGGGAGGGACTGGGAGCACTGGGAGGGACTGGGAGGGAACTGGGTTATACTGGTTTATACTGGGAGGCACTGGGAGGGACTGGGAGGGACTGGGTGGGGAACTGGGTTATACTGGGAAAGGGACTGGATTATACTGGTTTATACTGGGAGGGAACTGGGACAAACTGGGAGTTACTGGGATGAACTGGGAGGTGGGCGTGGCCTATTTTGGGTGTGTCCAGGTGGGCGTGGCCTGCTCTGTGTGGGCGTGGCCTGTGCTGGGCCTGTTTCAATGGGGGTGGGCGTGGCCTGAGGTGGGCGTGGCTGGTCGTGGGCGTGTCCAGGTGGGCGTGGCCTTCTCTGGGTGGGCGTGGCCGGTCCTGGGTCTGTTTCAATGGGGTGGGCGTGGTCTGAGGGGGGCGTGGCTTGTTATGGGCGTATCCCCACTGTTGTGGGCGTGGCCTGAGGTGGGCGTGGCCTGAGTGGGCGTGTCCCCCCGGTGGGCGTGTCCAGGTGAGCACCACCTGCGGATCCGGCCGGTGGCGCTGGAGGACGACGCCACATTCACCTGCCAGGCGGGGGAGGGGAACCGGACCCACAGCACCCGCCCCGCCCTGCTCAGCGTGCTGGGTGAGATGGGGGGACTGGTTTGTACTGGTTTATACTGGGAGTCACTGGTTATACTGGTTATACTGGTTATACTGGGTTATACTGGTTTATACTGGGTTATACTGGGTTATACTGGGAGGGACTGGGAGGGACTGGGAGGGAACTGGGAGGGACCGGGTTATACTGGGATATACTGGGAGGGGACTGGGAGGGGACTGGGAAGGGTTTGGGGGCGGCTGGGAGGGGATTGAGGGTTACTGGTTTATACTGGGAGGGGATTGGGGGGGGATTGGGTTATACTGGGAGGGGATTTGGAGGGGCTGGGAGGGACTGGAAAGGGATTGAGAGGGGATTTGGGTTATACTGGTTTATACTGGGAGGGACTGGGAGGGACTGGGAGGGAACTGGGAGGGACTGGGAGGGACTGGGTTATACTGGGTTATACTGGGTTATACTGGGTTATACTGGTTTATACTGGGTTATACTGGGTTATACTGGGAGGGGAACCGGACACGGGCGTCCCGCCCCGCCCTGCTCAGCGTGCTGGGTGAGATGGGGGGACTGGTTTGTACTGGTTTATACTGGGAGGGGAACCGGACACACACCTCCCGCCCCGCCCTGCTCAGCGTGCTGGGTGAGATGGGGGACTGGGTTATACTGGGAGGGACTGGGAGGGACTGGGAGGGACTGGGATGGACTGGGAGGGACTGGGATGGACTGGGAGGGGACTGGTTTATACTGGGAGGGACTGGGAGGGGATTGGGGGGCACTGGGTTATACTGGGAGGGACTGGGAGGGGATTGGGAGGGACTGGGAAGAGATTGGGAGGGGACTGGGAGGCACCGGGAGGGGATTTGGGGTTACTGGTTTATACTGGGACAGACTGGGAGGGACTGGGAGGGGATTGGGTTATACTGGGAGGGAACTGGGAGGCACTGGGAGGGACTGGGAGGGGACTGGGAGGGACTGGGAGGGGATTTCGGGGGACTGGTTTATACTGGGATATACTGGGAGGGACTGGGAGGGGAACCGGACACGGGGGTCCCGCCCCGCCCTGCTCAGCGTGCTGGGTGAGATGGGGGGACTGGTTTGTACTGGTTTATACTGGGAGGGGAACCGGACCCACAGCACCCGCCCCGCCCTGCTCAGCGTCATCGGTGAGATGGGTTTATACTGGGTTATACTGGTTTGTACTGGGAGGGCTCCCGAACCGCCCTGCTCAGCGTGCTGGGTGAGATGGGGGACTGGGTTATACTGGGAGGGACTGGGAGGGGATTGGGAGGGACTGGAAAGGAACTGGGTTATACTGGGAGGGACTGGGAGGGAACTGGGAGGGAACTGGGATGGACTGGGTTATACTGGGAGGGGACTGGGACAGACTGGGAAGGACTGGGATGGGCTGGTTTATACTGGGAGGAACTGGGGGGCACTGGGAGGGACTGGGAGGGACTGGGAGGGAACTGGGACAGACTGGGAGGGGATTGGAAGGGGACTGGGGGGGGATTGGGGGGGACTGGTTTATACTGGGAGGGACTGGGAGGGACTGGGTTATACTGGGTTATACTGGGAGGGGAACCGGACACACACCACCCGCCCCGCCCTGCTCAGCGTGCTGGGTGAGATGGGGGTACTGGTTTGTACTGGTTTATACTGGGAGGGACTGGTTATACTGGTTATACTGGTTATACTGGTTATACTGGGTTATACTGGTTTGTACTGGGTTACACTGGGAGGGACTGGGAGGGACTGGGATGGACTGGGAGGGGATTGAGAGGGGATTTGGGTTATACTGGTTTATACTGGGAGGGACTGGGAGGGACTGGGAGGCACTGGGTTATACTGGGAGGGACTGGGAGGGGATTTGGGGTTACTGGTTTATACTGGGAGGGACTGGGAGGGAACTGGGATTATCCCCCAACATCCCTCCAAAGCTGCTGCGGGACCGCCCAGTCCCTCCCAGTACAAACCAGTCCCATCCCAGTCCCTCCCAGTACAAACCAGTACAAACCAGTAACCCCCAGTTTCCTCCCAGTCCCCTCCCAGTCCCCTCCCGGTACAAACCAGTAACCCCAAACCCCCTCCCAGTCCCTCCCAGTCCCTCCCAGTACAAACCAGTACAAACCAGTCCCCCTCCCAGTCCCTCCCAGTATAAACCAATCCCCTCCCAGTCCCTCCCAGTACAAACCAGTAACCCCCAGTTCCCTCCCAGTCCCTCCCAGTCCCCTCCCAGTCCCTTCCCAGTCCCTCCCAGTACAAACCAGTCCCTCCCAGTCCATCCCAGTTCCCTCCCAGTCCATCCCAGTTCCCTCCCAGTATAAACCAGTTCCCTTCCAGTCCCTTCCCAGTCCCTCCCAGTAACCCCCAGTTCCCTCCCAGTCCCTCCCAGTATAAACCAATCCCCTCCCAGTCCCTCCCAGTCCCTCCCAGTATAAACCAATCCCCTCCCAGTCCCTCCCAGTCCCTCCCAGTATAAACCAGTAACCCCCAGTCCCCTCCCAGTCCCTCCCAGTCCCTCCCAGTACAAACCAGTAACCCCAGTCCCCTCCCAGTCCCTCCCAGTACAAACCAGTAACCCCAGTCCCTCCCAGTCCCTCCCAGTACAAACCAGTAACCCCAGTCCCTCCCAGTCCCTCCCAGTACAAACCAGTAACCCCAGTCCCTCCCAGTCCCTCCCAGTACAAACCAGTAACCCCAGTCCCTCCCAGTCCCTCCCAGTACAAACCAGTAACCCCAGTCCCCTCCCAGTCCCCTCCCAGTCCCTCCCAGTACAAACCAGTAACCCCAGTCCCCTCCCAGTCCCTCCCAGTATAAACCAGTAACCCCAGTCCCCTCCCAGTCCCTCCCAGTTCCCTCCCAGTACAAACCAGTATAAACCAGTAACCCCAGTCCCCTCCCAGTCCCTCCCAGTCCGCCCCAGTTGGAGCTGCTGGAGGGGGCGGAGCTTCCGCTGGTGGGCGGGGCCGAGGTGCGCGTGCGCTGCCACGCCCACGACGCGCGCCCCGCCCCCACCCTGGAGCTGCGCCTGGGTGAGAATTGGGGACAGTTCGGGGGGTTTTGGGCAATTTGGGGAATTTTGGGGAATTTTGGGGAAATTTTGGGTAATTTTTGGGTAATTTTTGGGGTAATTTTTTGGCAATTTTTGGAGCAATTTTGGGAAATTTTTGGGGAAATTTTGGGGCAATTTTTGGGCAATTTTTGGAGCAATTTTGGGAAATTTTTGGGGTAATTTTTTGGCAATTTTTGGGGTAATTTTGGGACATTTTGAGGCAATTTTGGGTGATTCTTGGATAATTTGCGGTATTTTGGGCAATTTTTGGGGAAATTTTGGGGCAATTTTTGGGGTAATTTTGGGACGTGTTGGGGCATTTTTGGGGCAGTTTTTGGGACAATTTTGGGACATTTTGGTGAAATTTTTGGGTATTTTTTGTGGTAATTTTTGAACAATTTTTGGGGAAATTTTGGGACACTTTGGGGTAATTTTGGGTGATTTTGGGGCAATTTTTGGAGAAATTTTGGGACATTTTCAGGCAATTTTGGGTGATTTTGGGGCAATTTTTCTGCAGTTTTTGGGGAATTTTTGGGTGATTTTTGGGGAAAATTTAGGTGATTTTGGGGCAATTTTGGGTAATTTTTGGGGTAATTTTTGGGAAATTTTTGGGGAAATTTTGGGTGGTTTTGGGGCAATTGTTGGGCAATTTTTGGGCAATTTTTGGGGCAATTTTGGGACATCTTTTGGGGACATTTGGATGATTTGGGGGCAATTTTTGAGCAAATTTTGGAGAAATTTTGAGACATTTTGAGGCAATTTTGGGTGATTTTGGGGCAATTTTCAGTGATTTTGGTGCAATTTTGGGTTATTTCGGGGCACGCCCCACCCCCACCCTGGAGCTGCGCCTGGGTGAGAATTGGGGCCAATTCCGGGGGTTTTGGGAAATTTTGCGGTATTTTGGGGTAATTTTGGGGAAATTTGGGGCAATTTTTGCGTATTTTTTCGGGTAAATTTTGGGAAATTTTTTGGGAAATTTTGGGTGTTTTTGCGGCAATTTTGGGGAAATTTTGGGGCAATTTTTTGGAAAAGTTTGGGTGATTTTGGGGCAATTTTTGGAGAAATTTTGGGGCCATTTTTGGAGAAATGTTGGGGCCATTTTGGGGCAATTTTTGGTGAAATTTTGGTACATTTTGAGGCAACTTTGGGTCATTTTGGGGTAATTTTGGGGGAAATTTTTGGATATTTTGAGGCAATTTTGGGTGATTTTGGGGCAATTTTTGTGCAATTTTGGAAGAATTTTTGGGTGATTTTGGGGCAATTTTTTGGGGACATTTTAGGTGATTTTGATGCAATTTTGGGTGATTTTGGGGAAATTTTGGGCCATTTTGAGGCAATTTTGGGTGATTTTGTGGCAATTTTGGGTGATTTTGGCCGATTTTGCCTGATTTGGTGGATTTTGGTGATTTTTTGTGCCTTTTGGCTGATTTGGGGACATTTTGTCCAATTCTGGCTGATTTTGGCCTATTTTGTTTGATTTTGGCCGATTTTGGGTGATTTTGGCCCATTTTGGCTGATTTTGGCCAATTTGGGGTGATTTTATGTGATTTTGTCCAATTTTGGCTGATTTTGGCCTATTTTGGGCGATTTTGGCCCATTTGGGGTGATTTTGGGTGATTTTGGAATGATTTTTTGGGGTGATTTTGGCTGATTTTGGTTGATTTTGGGTTATTTGGGTGACTTTCACCGATTTGGGGTGATTTTGGCCAATTTTGGCATATTTTGGGTGATTTTAAATTATTTTGGCCCATTTTGGCCGATTTGGGCGAATTTGGACAATTTTGGGTGATTTTGGCCGATTTTGGTGAATTTTGGTGATTTTGGCCGATTTTGGCTGATTTGGGGTGATTTTGGCTGATTTTGGAATGATTTTTGGGGTGATTTTGGACGATTTTGGCCAATTTTGGCTGATTTTGCTGATTTTGGCCCATTTTGGGTGATTTTAGCTCTTTTTTGGTGATTTTGGCCAATTTTGGCTGATTTTGGGTGATTTTGAGTGATTTTGAGTGATTTTTGACCATTTGGGCTGATTTTGGCCGATGTGGCAAATTTTGGGCAATTTTGGGTGATTTTGGGGTTATTTTGGACGATTTTGGCCGATTTGGCCGACTTTGGGTGATTTTGGCCAATTTTGGGTGATTTTGGCCGATTTGGGGTGATTTTGGAATTATTTTTTTGGGGTAATTTGGGGTTTTTTGGGGTGATTTTGGGTGATTTTGGAATGAATATTTTTGGGTGATTTTGGCTGGTTTTGGAATGATTTTTTGGCGTGATTTTGGGTGATTTGGGACGATTTTGGCTGACTTTGGCTGATTTTGCCGATTTTGGGTGATTTTGGCCCATTTTGGAATGAATTTTTGGGGTGATTTTGGCTGATTTTGGAATGATTTTTTGGGGTGATTTTGGAATGATTTTTAGGGTGATTTTGGAATGATTTTTTGGGGTGATTTTGGCTGATTTTGGAATGACTTTTGGGGGTGATTTTGGCCGATTTTGGCCGATTTTTGTCGATTTTGGCCGATTTTGACCAATTTTGGTGAATTTTGGCCGATTTTTGGCCGATTTTGGTGATTTTTGTCGATTTTTGCCCCCAGGTCAGGAGCCCCTCCCCGACGTCGCCTCCCGAGTGTTCGAGGGGTCCCACCCCAAACTGAGCTCCAGCGAGGCCACGGCCAGGTGAGACCAGTACGGACCAGTATAAACCAGTATGGACCAGTTACAGACCAGTATAAACCAGTATGGACCAGTACGGACCAGTATAAACCAGTATAAACCAGTATAAACCAGTATAAACCAGTATAAACCGGTATAAACCAGTATAAACCAGTTACAGACCAGTATGGACCGGTATAAACCAATATGGACCAGTATGAACCAGTATGGACCAGTATGGACCAGTTAGAGACCAGTATGGACCAGTATAGACCAGTATAAACCAGTATAGACCAGTAGGGACCAGTATAGACCAGTATGGACCAGTACGGACCAGTACGGACCAGTACGGACCAGTACAGACCAGTAAAAACCAGTACAAACCAGTATAGACCAGTACGGACCAGTATAAACCAGTATAAATCAGTACACACCAGTACAGACCAGTATGGACCAGTATAAACCAATGCAGACGACTATGATCCACTAGAAACCAGTATAAACCAGTAAGGACCAGTATAGACCAGTATGATCCACTATAAACCAGTCTAGACCAGTATAAACCAATATAGACCACCATGATTTACTAGAAACCAGTATAAACCAGTATAAACCAGTATAAACCAGTATAAACCAGTATGGACCAGTATAACCCAATACAGACCTCTATGATCCACTAGAAACCAGTAGAAACCAGTATAAATCAGTACAGACCAGTATAGACCAGTAAAAACCAGTATAAACCAGTATGGACCGGTATAAACCAGTCTATCCCTGTATAAACCAGTATAAACCAGTTAGAGACCAGTAAGGACCAGTATGGACCAGTATAAACCAGTATGGACCAGTACGGACCAGTATAAACCAGTACAGACCAGTATGGACCAGTATGGACCAGTATGGACCAGTATAAACCAATATAGACCACTATGATCCACTAGAACCCAGTATACACCAGTATAAACCAGTATATACCAGTACAGACCAGTACAGACCAGTATGGACCAGTATGGACCAGTAGGGACCAGTATAAACCAGTATAAACCAGTATGAATCAGTATGGACCAGTATAAACCAGTATAAACCTGTACAGACCACTATAAACCAGTAGGGACCAGTATGGACCAGTATAAACCAGTATAGACCAGTATAAACCAGTATAAACCAGTATAAACCAGTACGGACCAGTATAAACCAGTACGGACCAGAATGGACCAGTATAAACCAGTAGGGACCGGTACGGACCAGTATAAACCAGTATGGACCAGTATGATCCACTATAGACCAGTATAAACCAGTATGGACCAGTATAAACCAATATAGACCACTAAGACCACTATGATCCACTAGAAACCAGTATAAACCAGTACATACCAGTAAAAACCAGTATAAACCGGTATGGACCATCATGGACCAGTATAAACCAGTATAAACCAGTTATGCACCAGTAAGGACCAGTATGGACCAGTATCGACCAGTACAGACCAGTAAAAACCAATATAAACCAGTATGGACGAGTAGGGACCAGTATGGACCAGTATAAACCAGTACAGACCAGTATAAACCAGTTAGACACCAGTAAGGACCGGTATACACCAGTATGGACCATCATGGACCAGTATAAACCAGTATGGACCAGTATAAGCCAATATAAACCAGTCTATCCTTTTATAAACCAGTATAGACCAGTATAAACCAGTACGGACCAGTACAGACCAGTATAGACCAGTATGGACCAGTGTGAACCAGCATGGACCATCATGGACCAGTATGGACCAGTATAAACCAGTATGGACCAGTATAAACCAGTATAAACCAATATAAACCAGTACAAACCAGTATAACCCATTATAAACCATTATAGACCGGTATAGACCAGTATAGACCAATCCAAACCAGTCCGAACCAGTCCAAACCAGTCCAAACCAGTCCAAACCAGTCCAAACCAGTCCAAACCAGTCCAAACCAGTCCAAACCACTCAGAACCAGTCCAAACTGGTCCAAACCAGTCCAAACCAGTCCAAACCGGTCCAAACCAGTCCAAACCGCTCCAAACCAGTCCCAACCAGTCCCAACCAGTCCAAACCAGTCCAAACCGCTCCAAACCAGTCCAAACCGGTCCAAACCAGCCCAAACCGGTCCAAACCAGTCCAAACCGGTCAAAACCATTCCAAACCGGTCCAAACCAGTCCAAACCAGTCCAAACCGGTCCAAACCAATCCAAACCAGTCCAAACCAGTCCAAACCGGTCCAAACCAGTCCAAACCGCTCCAAACCAGTCCAAACCAGCCCAAACTGGTCCAAACCAGCCCAAACCATTCCAAACCAGTCCAAACCAGTCCAAACCGATCCAAACCGTTCCAAACCAGTCCCAAACCAGTCCAAACCAGTCCAAACCAGCCCAAACCAGTCCAAACCAGTCCAAACCAGTCCAAACCGGTCGAAACCAGTCCAAACCAGTCCAAACCAGTCCAAACTGGTCCAAACCAGTCCAAACCGCTCCAAACCAGTCCAAACCGCTCCAAACCAGTCCAAACCAGTCCAAACCGGTCCAAACCAGTCCAAACTGGTCCAAACCAGTCCAAACCGCTCCAAACCAGTCCAAACCGCTCCAAACCAGTCCAAACCGGTCCAAACCGGTCCAAACCGGTCAGAACCAGTCCAAACTGGTCCAAACTGGTTTCTCTGGCCAGGCTGACCCCCGTCCCGTCGGACCACGGCCGCCTCCTGCTCTGCTCCGCCTCCAACGGCGCCGCGGCTCCGGTCACGGCCGGGTTGAGGCTGGAGATCGCCGGTGAGTGATCGACATCCCATAATATCCCAAATTATCCGAAAATATCCGAAATTCACCCAAAAAAACCAAAAAAAACCAAAAAAACCCCACCAAAATAGACCAAAAATAGCCAAAATACGGCAAAAATAGACCAAAATAGCCCAAATTAACCCCAAACTGCGGCTGGAGATCAACGGGGAGTGACCCACATCCCATAATATCCCAAATTATCCAAATTTACCAAAATTAACCCAAAAAAAACCAAAATTAATCCAAAAAACCCAAAATAGCCAAAAAAAACCCCCGTCAAAATAGAGCAAAATTAACCCAAAATAGACCAAAATAACCCCAAACTGAGGCTGGAGATCAACGGGGAGTGACCCACATCCCATAATATCCGAAATTAACCCAAAATATCCAAAATTAACCTAAAACCGACCCAAAATAGCCCAAAATATCCAAAATTTCCCAAAATTAACCAAAAACTGACCCGAAATATCAAAAAAACCCAAAATAGCCCAAAAATAGCCCAAAATAGCGCAAAAATAGCCCAAAAGAGCCCAAAACTGACCCAAAATAGCCTAAAATAGCCCAGAATATCCAAAAATATCCCCCAAAAAATCCCAAAAATCCCAAAACATCCCAAAAATCCCCAAAATCTCCCAGAACTCACCCAAAAGATCCCAAAATATCCATAAACTAACCCAAAATAGACCAAAATAGCCCCAAATAGCCCAAATTAACCCCAAACTGCGGCTGGAGATCAACGGGGAGTGACCCACATCCCATAATATCCCAAATTATCCGAAATAGACAAAAATTAACCCAAAATATCTGAAATAGCCAAAAAAACCCCGTCAAAATAGCCCAAAAATAGCCCCAAATAGCACAAAAATAGCCCCAATTAGCCCAAATTAACCCAAAACTGACCCAAAATAACGCAAAAAATCCCAAAATATCCCCAAATATCCCAAAAATAACAAAGTATCCCAAAATAACCCAAAATATCCAAAAGAAATCCCAAAATATCCCAAAATAACTCAAAATACCCGAAAAATAGCCCAAAATAGCCCAAAATAGCACAAAAATAGCCCAAAATAGCCCAAATTAACCCCAAACTGCGGCTGCAGATCAACGGGGAGTGACCCACATCCCATAATATCCCAAATTATCCAAAAATATCCAAAATTCACCCAAAATATCCAAAATAGCCCAAAAAACCCCAAAAAAACCCGGCAAAAATAGACCAAAATAGCCCCAAAATAGCCCAAATTAACCCCAAAATAACCCAAAACTGACCCAAAATAACGCAAAAAATCCCAAAATATCCCAAAATATCCCAAAAATCCCAAAATTTACCAAAATAACCCAAAATAACCCAAAATATCCAAAATAGCCCAAAAAAACCCCACCAAAATAGAGCAAAAATAGCCCCAAATAGCCCAAATTAACCCCAAACTGCGGCTGCAGATCAACGGGGAGTGACCCACATCCCATAATAGCCCAAATTATCCAAAATAGCCAAAATTAACCGAAATTAACCCAAAATAGCCCCAAAATATCCCAGAAAACCCCAAAAATAACACAAAAATAGCCAAAAATAGTCCAAATTAACCCAAAATATCTAAAAACTTACCCAAACCAGTCCCTCCCAGTGCTCCCAGTGTAACCCAGTTCCCCTCCCAGTTCACTCCCAGTCCCTCCCAGTCCCTCCCAGTATAAACCAGTAATGTCCCAGTCCCTCCCAGTCCCTCCCAGTGCTCCCAGTTCACTCCCAGTTCCCTCCCAGTCCCTCCCAGTTCACTCCCAGTCCCCTCCCAGTCCCTCCCAGTCCCTCCCAGTATAACCCAGTCCCTCCCAGTGCCTCCCAGTGCTCCCAGTATAAACCAGTAATGTCCCAGTCCCCTCCCAGTCCCTCCCAGTCCCTCCCAGTCCCCTCCCAGTCCCTCCCAGTATAAACCAGTAACATCCCAGTCTCTCCCAGTGCCTCCCAGTGCTCCCAGTATCCAGGGGCTGCCCGCACTGGTCCGGGCGGGGGAGGAGCTGCGGCTGCTCTGCCTCAGCCGGGGGGGGCGGCCCCCGCCCAGTCTGCACTGGGACAAGGTACTGGGTGTACTGGTTTGTACTGGGAGGGGCTGGGAGGGACTGGGAGAGGATTTGGGGTCACTGGGAGGGAACTGGTTTATACTGGGAGGGACTGGGAGGGACTGGGAGGGGACTGGGATATACTGGTTTGGACTGGGAGGGACTGGGAGAGGGAACTGGTTTATACTGGGAGGGACTGGGAGAGAACTGGGATATACTGGGAGGGAACTGGGGACAAACTGGTTTATACTGGGAGGGACTGGGAGGGAACTGGGAGGGACTGGGAGGCACTGGGAGGGGAGTGGGATATACTGGTTTATACTGGGAGATACTGGGGGGGACTGGGAGGGAACTGGTTTATACTGGTTTGGACTGGGAGGGACTGGGAGGGAACTGGGAGAGGATTTGGGGTCACTGGGAGGGAACTGGTTTATACTGGAAGGGAACTGGGAGGGACTGGGATATACTGGTTTATACTGGGAGGGACTGGGAGGGAACTGGGGGGGACTGGGATATACTGGGATGGAGCCAGGGGTGAACTGGGAGCACTGGGATGAACTGGGAGGGACTGGGAGGGAACTGGTTTATACTGGGAGGGACTGGGGGGGACTGGGATCAAACTGGGAGTCACTGGGATCAAACTGGGATCAAACTGGGATCAAACTGGGAGTTACTGGGATCAAACTGGGATCAAACTGGGATCAAACTGGGAGTTACTGGGATCAAACTGGGACATACTGGGAGTTACTGGGATCAAACTGGGATCAAACTGGGAGTTACTGGGATCAAACTGGGATCAAACTGGGAGTTACTGGGATCAAACTGGGAGTTACTGGGATCAAACTGGGATCAAACTGGGATCAAACTGGGACAAACTGGGATCAAACTGGGATCAAACTGGGATCAAACTGGGAGTTACTGGGATCAAACTGGGAGTTACTGGGATCAAACTGGGATCAAACTGGGATCAAACTGGGAGTTACTGGGATCAAACTGGGATCAAACTGGGAGTTACTGGGAGTTACTGGGATCAAACTGGGATCAAACTGGGATCAAACTGGGAGTTACTGGGATCAAACTGGGATCAAACTGGGATCAAACTGGGAGTTACTGGGATCAAACTGGGATCAAACTGGGAGTTACTGGGATCAAACTGGGAGTTACTGGGATCAAACTGGGACCAAACTGGGATCAAACTGGGATCAAACTGGGATCAAACTGGGACCAAACTGGGATCAAACTGGGATCAAACTGGGAGTTACTGGGATCAAACTGGGATCAAACTGGGATCAACCTGGGATCAAACTGGGATCAAACTGGGATCAAACTGGGATCAAACTGGGAGTTACTGGGATCAAACTGGGAGTTACTGGGATCAAACTGGGATCAAACTGGGATCAAACTGGGAGTTACTGGGATCAAACTGGGATCAAACTGGGAGTTACTGGGAGTTACTGGGATCAAACTGGGATCAAACTGGGATCAAACTGGGAGTTACTGGGATCAAACTGGGATCAAACTGGGATCAAACTGGGAGTTACTGGGATCAAACTGGGATCAAACTGGGAGTTACTGGGATCAAACTGGGAGTTACTGGGATCAAACTGGGACCAAACTGGGATCAAACTGGGATCAAACTGGGATCAAACTGGGACCAAACTGGGATCAAACTGGGATCAAACTGGGAGTTACTGGGATCAAACTGGGATCAAACTGGGATCAAACTGGGATCAAACTGGGATCAAACTGGGATCAAACTGGGAGTTACTGGGATCAAACTGGGAGTTACTGGGATCAAACTGGGATCAAACTGGGATCAAACTGGGATCAAACTGGGATCAAACTGGGAGTTACTGGGATCAAACTGGGATCAAACTGGGATCAAACTGGGATCAAACTGGGAGTTACTGGGATCAAACTGGGATCAAACTGGGATCAAACTGGGATCAAACTGGGATCAAACTGGGAGTTACTGGGATCAAACTGGGATCAAACTGGGATCAAACTGGGAGTTACTGGGATCAAACTGGGATCAAACTGGGATCAAACTGGGATCAAACTGGGATCAAACTGGGAGTTACTGGGATCAAACTGGGAGTTACTGGGATCAAACTGGGATCAAACTGGGATCAAACTGGGATCAAACTGGGATCAAACTGGGAGTTACTGGGATCAAACTGGGAGTTACTGGGATCAAACTGGGATAAACTGGGATCAAACTGGGAGTTACTGGGATCAAACTGGGATCAAACTGGGATCAAACTGGGAGTTACTGGGATCAAACTGGGATCAAACTGGGATCAAACTGGGAGTTACTGGGATCAAACTGGGATCAAACTGGGATCAAACTGGGAGTTACTGGGATCAAACTGGGAGTTACTGGGATCAAACTGGGATCAAACTGGGATCAAACTGGGATCAAACTGGGATCAAACTGGGAGTTACTGGGATCAAACTGGGAGTTACTGGGATCAAACTGGGATAAACTGGGATCAAACTGGGAGTTACTGGGATCAAACTGGGATCAAACTGGGATCAAACTGGGAGTTACTGGGATCAAACTGGGATCAAACTGGGATCAAACTGGGAGTTACTGGGATCAAACTGGGAGTTACTGGGATCAAACTGGGATCAAACTGTGATTAAACTGGGAGTTACTGGGAGTTACTGGGATCAAACTGGGATCAAACTGGGATCAAACTGGGAGTTACTGGGATCAAACTGGGATCAAACTGGGAGTTACTGGGATCAAACTGGGATCAAACTGGGATCAAACTGGGATCAAACTGGGAGTTACTGGGATCAAACTGGGATCAAACTGGGATCAAACTGGGATCAAACTGGGAGTTACTGGGATCAAACTGGGATCAAACTGGGATCAAACTGGGATCAAACTGGGAGTTACTGGGATCAAACTGGGATCAAACTGGGAGTTACTGGGAGTTACTGGGATCAAACTGGGATCAAACTGGGATCAAACTGGGATCAAACTGGGATCAAACTGGGATCAAACTGGGAGTTACTGGGATCAAACTGGGAGTTACTGGGATCAAACTGGGATCAAACTGGGATCAAACTGGGAGTTACTGGGATCAAACTGGGATCAAACTGGGAGTTACTGGGATCAAACTGGGATCAAACTGGGATCAAACTGGGAGTTACTGGGATCAAACTGGGATCAAACTGGGAGTTACTGGGATCAAACTGGGAGTTAATGGGACCCTCCAATGGGCGTGGCCTCACTTTGGCCCCGCCCCTTTCCCTTTGGCCCCGCCCCTTTCTTGGCCCCGCCCCTTTCCTTGGCCCCGCCCATTTCCCGTGACCCCGCCCCTTTTTCCGTTGCCCCGCCCCTTCCCTTGGCCCCGCCCCCTCAGGACGGCGCGCCATTGGAGGGGGCGTGGTCAGTGGACGAAGGGGGCGTGGCCAGGACGCGGCTCGTGTTTAGCCCCGCCCCCGAGGACGACGGCGCCATCTTGCGGTGCCGCGCGGTGACGTCACTTCCGGGGGGCGGGGCCAGCGCCAGCGTCAAACTGCGAGTGACGTGTGAGGGACTGGTTTATACTGGTTTATACTGGTTATACTGGGAGGGACTGGGAGGGATTGGTTTATACTGGTTTATACTGGTTTATACTGGTTTATACTGGGAGGGACTGGTTTATACTGGTTTATACTGGTTTATACTGGTTTATACTGGTTTATACTGGGAGGGGCTGGGAGGGGCTGGGAGGGACTGGTTTATAGTGGTTTAGACTGGTTTATACTGGTTTATACTGGTTTATACTGGTTTATACTGGGTTATACTGGTTATACTGGTTTATACTGGGAGGGACTGGTTTATACTGGTTTATACTGGTTTATACTGGGAGGGAGTGGTTTATACTGGTTATACTGGTTTATACTGGGAGGGACTGGGAGGGGCTGGGAGGGACTGGTTTATACTGGTTTATACTGGGAGGGACTGGTTTATACTGGTTTATACTGGTTTATACTGGTTTATACTGGGAGGGGACTGGGAGGGGACTGGGAGGGGACTGGTTTATACTGGGAGGGACTGGGAGGGCATTGGGGGGTTGTAAAGGGTTACTGGTTTATACTGGTTTATACTGGCCCGTACTGGTATATACTGGTCCGTACTGGTTTACACTGGTCTGTACACTTATATTGGTACATACAGGTCTATACTGGTTTATACTGGTTTGTACTGGTTGGTACCACTTGTACCAGTCTGTGCCAGTCCATACTGGTTTATACTGGTGTGTACTGGTTTATACTGGTCTGTACTGGTTTTCTCTGGTTTATACCACTTGTACCGGTCCGTACTGGTCCATACTGGTTTATACTGGTCTGTACCAGTCTATACTGGTTTATACTGGTTTGCATTGGTTTATACTGGTTTATATCACTTACACTGGTCCGTACCAGTCCATAGTGGTTTATACTGGTTTGTACTGGTTTATACTGGTTTTTACACTTATACTGGTACATACTGGTCTATACTGGTTTATACTGGTACATACTGGTCTATACTGGTATATACTGGTATATACTGGTTTACACTGGTTTGTACTGGTTTATATCACTTATACTGGTCCGTACCGGTCCATACTGGTTTATGCTGCTCTGTACTGGTTTATACTGGTTTGTACACTTATACCGGTACATAATGGTCCATACTGGTTTATACTGGTACATACTGGTATATACTGGTTTATACTGGTCCATACTGATTTATACTGGTCTATACTGGTTTATACTGGTGTGTACCACTTACACTGGCCCGTATGGTTTATACTGGTCTGTACCATTCCATACTGGTTTATACTGGTTTATACCGGTTTATATCACTTGTACCGGTCCATACTGGTTTATACTGGTCCGTACTGGTATATACTGGTCTGTACTGGTTTGTACTGGTCCGTACTGGTTTATACTGGTCTATACTGGTTTATAGTGGTCTGTACTGGCTTATACTGGTTGGTACCACTTGTACCGGTCTATATTGGACCATAGAGTTTATACTGGCCTGTACCAGTTCATACTGGTTTATACTGGTTTGTACTGGTTTATACTGGTTTTTACGCTTATACTGGTTTATACTGGTCCATACTGGTTTATACTGGTACATACTGGTATATACTGGTATATACTGGTTCGTACTGGTTTATACCACTTATACTGGTCCGTACCAGTCTATACTGGTTTATACTGGTCTATACAGTTATACTGGTACATACTGGTCTATACTGGTTTGTACTGGTTTATAGTGGTCTATACTGGTTTATATTGGTCAGTACCATTCCATACTGGTTTATACTGGTTTGTACTGGTTTATACTGATTTTTACACTTATACTGGTTTATACTGGTCCATACTGGTCCATACTGGTTTATACTGGTCCATACTGGTTCATACTGGTTTTACCAGTCCATACTAGTATATACTGGTCCGTACTGGTTTATACTGGTTGGTACACTTATACTGGTACATACTCGTCCATACTGGTCCATACTGCTCCATACTGGTACATACTGGTATATACTGGTTTACACTGGTTTATACTGGTTTATACTGATTTTTACACTTATACTGGTATATACCGGTCCATACTGGTTTATACTGGTCCATACTGGTTTAAACTGGTCCATACTGGTGCAGACCCCCCCGCCGAGCTGACCCTGCACGGCTCCGCTGCACTGGCCGAGGGGGAGGAGGGGCGGCTGAGCTGCACCAGTGCTCCCAGTAACCCCCCAGTTCGGCTGCGCTGGTGGCTGGGGGGGCGCGAACTGCGGGCCAGCGGGCAGGGCAGAGCCCCGGTGAGGCACTGGTTTGTACTGGTTTGTACTGGGAGGGACTGGGAGGGACTGGGAGGGAACTGGGAGGGACTGGGAGGGACTGGGAGGGTTATAAAGTGTTACTGGTTTATACTGGGAGGGACTGGGAGGGACTGGGAGGGACTGGGAGGGAACTGGGAGGGACTGAGAGGGACTGGGAGGGTTATAAAGTGTGACTGGTTTATACTGGGAGGGACTGGGAGGGACTGGGAGGGACTGGGAGGGAACTGGGAGGGACTGGGATATACTGGGAGGGACTGGGAGGGAACTGGGAGGGACTGGTTTATACTGGGAGGGACTGGGAGGGACTGGGAAAGGTAAAAAGGGGATTTCGGATTACTGGTTTATACTGGGAGGGACGGGGAGGGACTGGGAGGGACTGGGAGGGACTGGGAGGGAACTGGTTTATACTGGGATGGACTGGGAGGAAACTGGGAGGGACTGGGAGGGACTGGGAGGGACTGGGAGGGACTGGGAGGAGACTGGGAGGGAACTGGGATATACTGGGTTATACTGGGAGGAACTGGGACGTTACTGGTTTACACTGGGAGGGGACTGGGAGGGACTGGGATGGATTGGGACAAAACTGGTTTATACTGGGAAGGAACTGGGAGGGGACTGGAAGGGAACTCGGATATACTGGGAGTTACTGGGAGGGACTGGGAGGGACTGGGAGGGAACTGGGAGGGGGTAAAAAGGGGGTTTGGGGTTACTGGTTTGTACTGGGAGGGACTGGGAGGGACTGGGATGGACTGGGAGGGAACTGGTTTATACTGGGAGGGACTGGGATGGACTGGGAGTGGACTGGGAGGGGTAAAAGGGAGATTTGGGGTTACTGGTTCATACTGGGAGGGACTGGGAGGGAACTGGGATATACTGGGTTATACTGGAAGGGATTGGGATGTTACTGGTTTATACTGGGAGGCACTGGGACTGCTCCTAACCACATGACCCCGTGTGACCCCGGGGTGACCCCTGACCCCTGCGTGACCCCATGTGACCCCTGCATGACCCCTGACCCCTGCGTGACCCCAGGGGGGCGGGGCCGTGTCCAACGTGACCCTGCGGGGGCGGGGCCAGGACCACGGCTCCGCCCTCGTCTGCGAGGCCGAGACCCCCGGGCTGGGGACCCGGAGCGTGAGGGCGATGGTCAGCGTGAGCCGTGAGTGGGACTGGGAGGGACTGGTTTGTACTGGGAGGGACTGGGAGGGACTGGGAGGGCATTGGGAGGGACTGGGAGGGACTGGGAGGGACTGGGAGGGCACTGGGATATACTGGTTTGTACTGGGAGGGACTGGGAGGGACTGGGAGGGACTGGGAGGGACTGGGAGGGGACCCGGAGCGTGAGGGTGGCGGTGACCGTGACACGTGAGTGGGACTGGGAGGGACTGGTTTATACTGGGAGGGGACTGGGAGGGGACTGGGATATACTGGGAGTGACTGGGAAGGGATTGGGATGGACTGGGAGGGGACTGGTTTATACTGGGAGGGACTGGGAAGGGCATTGGGATATACTGGGAGGGGATTGGAGGGGATTTGGTTATACTGGTTTGTACTGGGAGGGACTGGGAGGGGACCCGGAGCGTGAGGGTGATGGTCACTGTGAGCCGTGAGTGGGACTGGGTATACTGGTTTGTACTGGGAGGGACTGGGAGGGACTGGGATGGGACTGGGAGGGACTGGGAGGGACTGGGAGGGACTGGGAGGGAACTGGGAGGGACTGGGAGGGAACTGGGAGGGACTGGGAGGGGATTGGAGGGGATTGGGAGGGACTGGGAGGGACTGGGAGGGAACTGGTTTATACTGGGAGGGACTGGGAGGGACTGGGATGAACTGGGATGGGACTGGTTTATAATGGGAGGGGATTGGGAGTGACTGGTTTGTACTGGGAGAGCACTGGGAGGGACTGGGAGGGGATTGGGAGGGACTGGGACATTACTGGTTTATACTGGGAAGGACTAGGATAGACTGGGAGGGACTGGGAGGGGACCCGGAGCGTGAGGGTGGCGGTCACCGTGACACGTGAGTGGGACTGGGTATACTGGTTTGTACTGGGAGGGACTGGGAGGGGATTGGGAAGGGTAAAAAGGGGGTTTGGGGTTACTGGTTTATACTGGTTTATACTGGGAGGGACTGGGAGGGCATTGGGATATACTGGGAAGGACTGGGAGGGGACTGGGAGGGACTGGTTTGTACTGGGAGGGACTGGGGGGGAACTGGGAGGGAACTGGGAGGGAACTGGGGGTTACTGGTTTATACTGGGAGGGACTGGGATGAACTGGGAGGGAACTGGGAGGGAACTGGGAGAGACTGGGAGGGAACTGGTTTATACTGGGAGGGACTGGGAGGGAACTGGTTTATACTGGGAGGGGCGTGTCTTTTTAAGAGGGCGCATGTCCCTTTAAGAGGGGGCGTGTCCCTCCGAAGGGGGCGTGTCCCTCTAAAGGGGCGTGTCATCTAAAGGGGGCGTGTCCCTCTCTGGCCCCGCCCCCAGACCCGCCCACTGCTCTGTGGGTCGAAGCTCCGCCCCCCAACGCCACCTTCCGGGTGGGGGAGGGGCTGCGGCTGCTGTGCCTGGCGCGGGGGGGGCACCCGGCCCCCCAGCTGGGCTGGAGCAAGGTGAGAATTGGGGTGAAAACACGGGAAATTGGGAAAAATGGGGAGAAACGGCGAAAAAACGGGGAAAAAGGGTGAAAAAATGGCGAAAAACGGTGAAAAAACGGGGGGAAAATGGGGGAAAAATGGGGGAAAAACGGGGAGAAAATGGGCGGAAAAACGAGGAAAAACAGGGCGAAAATGGGGAAAAACGGGGGGAAAATGGGGAAAAACGGGCAGAAAATGGGGGAAAATGGGCAAAAATGGGGAAAATCGGGGAAAAATAGGAAAAAAAATGGTGAAAAAATGGTGAAAAACGGGGCAAAAATGGGGGAAAACGGGGGGGAAAATGGGGAAAAATGGGCACCCGGCCCCCCAGCTGGGCTGGAGCAAACTGAGAAATGGGGTGAAAAAGGGGGAAATTGGGAAAAAACGGGGAAAATGGGGCAAAAAAATGGGGAAAAACGGAGAAAAAATGGCGAAAAACGGCGAAAAAACAGGGAAAATAGGGGTAAAAATGGGGAAAAAAGGGCACCCAGCTGGGCTGGAGCAAGGTGAGAAATGGGGTAAAACCACGTAAAATTGGGAAAAATGGGGGAAAATGGGCAAAATCGGGGAAAAAAGGCGAAAAAACGGGAAAAAACGGGCAAAAAAATGGGGAAAAACGGTGAAAAAACGGGGAAAAAATGGGGTGAAAATGGGGCAAAAATGGGGGGGAAAATGGGGAAAAATGGGCACCCAGCCCCCCAGCTGGGCTGGAGCAAGGTGAGAAATGGGGTGAAAAAGGGCAAAATTGGGAAAAAACGGGAAAATGGGTGAAAAAACGGGAAAAAAAGGGGAAAAACGGCGAAAACGGTGCAAAAATGGGGAAAAACAGGGCAAAAATGGGGGAAAAATGGGGAAAAAACGGGAAGAAAACAGGCGAAAAAACGAGGAAAAACGGGGCGAAAATGGGGAAAAACGGGAAAAATGGGGAAAAACAGCGAAAAAACGGGAGAAAACGGTGAAAAAACAGGAAGAAAACGGGTGAAAAAATGGGGAAAAACGGGGCAAAAACGGGGTGAAAATGGGTGAAAAAATGGGGAAAAACGGCGAAAAAACCGGGAAAAACGGTGAAAAAATGGGGAAAAACGGAGAAAAAACGGCGAAAAACGGGGCGAAAATGGGGAAAATATGGGGAAAAATGGGGAAAAAATGGGGAGAAAATGGGCGAAAAAACGGGGAAAAACGGTGAAAAAACGGGGAAAAACGGTGAAAAAATGTTCAAAAACGGGGCAAAAATGGGGAAAATAGGGGTAAAAATGGGGAAAAAAGGGGAAAACGGGTACCCAGCTGGGCTGGAGCAAGGTGAGAAATGGGGTGAAAACACAGGAAATTGGGAAAAATGGGGAAAAATGGGGGAAAAACGGGGGAAAACGGTGAAAAAACGGCAAAAAATGGGGGGAAAATGGGGGAAAAACGGGGAGAAAATGGGCGAAAAAACGGGGGGAAAATGGGGAAAAATGGGGAAAAACGGGCGAAAAAATGGGGAAAAACGGTGAAAAAACCGCGAAAAAATGGGGCAAAAATGGGGAAAGACAGGGCAAAAATGGGGGAAAAATGGGGAAAAAACGGGAAGAAAACGGATGAAAAAATGGGGAAAAACGGTGAAAAAACGGCGAAAAACGGCAAAAAAACGGGGGAAAAATGGGGGAAAAATGGGGAAAAACGGCGAAAAACGGGGCGAAAATGAGGAAAAATGGGGGGAAAATGGGGAAAAACAGGGCGAAAATGGGGAAAAATTGGGGAAAAATGGCGAAAAAACGGGGAAAAACGGTGAAAAAACGGCAAAAAACGGGGCAAAAATGGGGAAAAAAATGGGGCAAAAATGGGGAAAAACAGGGAGGAAAACAGGGAGGAAACGGGGGTAAAACGGGGAGAAATGGGGGAAAATGGGGGAAAACGGGGGGAAATGGGGGAAAATGGGGAAAAACGGGCAGAAAATGGGGGAAAACGGGCAAAAATGGGGAAAATCGGGGAAAAATAGGGGAAAAAATGGTGAAAAAATGGTGAAAAACGGGGCAAAAATGGGGAAAAAATGGGGCAAAAATGGGGAAAAACAGGGGGGAAAACAGGGAGGAAACGGGGGTAAAACGGGGAGAAATGGGGGAAAATGGGGGGAAACGGGGAAAAACGGGGAAAAACAGGCATAAAATGGGGGAAAACGGGCAAAAACGGGGAAAATTGGGAAAAAAGGGGGAAAAATGGGGAAAAACGGTGAAAAAACGGCGAAAAACGGGGCGAAAATGGGGAAAAAAGGGGGAAAAATGGGGGGAAAAATGGGGAAAAATGGGCACCCGGCTCCCCCAGCTGGGCTGGAGCAAGGTGAAAATTGGGGTGAAAAAGGGGGAAATTGGGAAAAATGGGGAAAAAACGGGGAAAAACGGGGAAAAACGGCGAAAAAATGGGGGAAAACGGTGAAAAAACGGCGGAAAAATGGGGAAAAACGGGAAAAAAAAAAGGGTAAAAACGGAGAAAAAATTGGGAAAAACAGGGGGAAAATGGGGGGAAAATGGGCGAAAATGGGGGAAAAAGGGGCACCCGGCCCCCCAGCTGGGATGGAGCAAGGTGAGAAATGGGGTGAAAAAGGGCAAAATTGGGAAAAAACGGGAAAAACGGCGAAAAAACGGGGAAAAACGGTGAAAAACGGCGAAAAAACGGCGAAAATAGGGGTAAAAATGGGGAAAAACGAGGGAAAAATAGGGGAAAATGGGCACCCGGCCCCCCAGCTGGGCTGGAGCAAGGTGAGAATTGGGGTGAAAAACGGGGAAATTGGGAAAAATGGGGAAAAATCGGGAAAAAACGGCGAAAAAACGGGGAAAAACGGCGAAAAACGGTGAAAAAATGGCGAAAAAACGGCAAAAAAACGAGGGGGAAACGGGGGGGGAAAACGGGGAGAAAACAAGGGGAAATGGGGGAAAATGGGGAAAAACGGGGCGAAAATGGGGGAAAACGGGCAAAAATGGGGAAAATTGGGGAAAAATAGGAAAAAAAATGGTGAAAAAATGGTAAAAAACGGGGCAAAAATGGGGGAAAAATGGGGAAAAAAGGTGGGGGAAAATGGGGAAAAATGGGCACCCGGCCCCCCAGCTGGGCTGGAGCAAGGTGAGAAATGGGGTGAAAAAGGGGGAAATTGGGAAAAATGGGGAAAATGGGGAAAAAACGGGGAAAAACGGTGAAAAAACGGCGAAAAAATGGGGGAAAAATGGGGCAAAAATGGGGAGAAATGGGGAGAAACGAGGAGAAAACGGGGGAAAACGGGCGAAAAACAAATGGAAAATGGGTGTAAACGGGGAAAATGGGGGGAAACGGGGAAAATGGGCAAAACCGGGGAAAAATGGGTAAAAATGGGGGGAAATGGGGGAAAACAGGCGGAAACGGGGAAAAATGGGCAAAAACGGGGTTGAATGGGCGGAAACGGGGGATAACAGGGAACAACAGGGAAAAACGGGCGGAAAACGGGTGGAAACGGGGATAAAATGGCAGAAATGGGGAAAATGGGGGGAAAACGGGCAAAAACAGGCAAAAAGGGCGGAAACAGGGAAAATGGGGGGAAAACGGGCGGAAACGGGGAAAAATGGGGGGAAACGGGCGGAAACAGGGAAAAATGGGCGGAAACGGGGAAAAATGGGCAAAAACAAGAGGAAATGGGAGAAAAATGGGGAAAATGGGGAAAAACGGGCAGAAACAGGGGAAAATGGGCGGAAATGGGGAAAAACTAGCAGAAAAAAGAGCGGAAATGGGGGAAAAACTGGTGGGAACAGGGAAAAACGGGTGGAAACGGGGAAAAATGGGTGGAAATGGGGAAAAACGGGGCAAAAACGGGGGAAAACAGGCGGAAACAGGGAAAAACGGGTGGGAAACGGGTGGAAACGGGGAAAACGGGCGGAAACGGGAGAAAACGGGCAAAAACGGGGCAGAAACAGGGAAAAACGGGTCGAAAATGGGTGGAAACGGGGAAAAACTGGCGGAAAATGGGCGGATACGGGCGGAAACGGGGAAAACCGGCAGAAAACGGGGGAAAAACGGGCGGAAACGGGGGAAAATGGGCAGAAAGGGGCGGAAACGGGCAAAAACGAGGCGGAAATGTGGAAAAACAGGTCGAAAATGGGTGGAAACGGGGAAAAACGGGCGGAAACGGGGGAAAATGGGCGGAAAATGGGCGGATACGGGCAGAAACAGGGAACAACAGGGGGCAACGGGGAAAATGGGCGGAAACGTGGAAAAACGGGCGGAAACAAGGGAAAACGGACAAAAATGGGAAAAAATGGGCAAAAACGGGAAAAAACAGGGGAAAACGGGGTGAAAACGGGGGGGAAAACGGGGAAAACGGGCGGAAATGGGGGAAAACGGACGGAAACGGGGAAAAACAAGCGGAAATGAGGAAAAACTGGCAGAAACTAGGGAAAACGGGCAAAAAAGGGAAAAAATGGGGAAAAACGGGGCGAAAACGGACGGAAACGGGGAAAAACGGGCGGAAACTAGGAAAAACGGGCGGAAATGGGGAAAACGGGCAGAAACGGAGAAAACCGGGTGGAAACGCGAAAAACGTGTGGAAACGGGGGAAAACAGGCGGAAATGGGGGAAAACGGGCGGAAACGGGGAAAAACGGGTGGAAACAGGCCAAGAAAGCGGAAACGGGGAAAAAAACAGGTGGAAACGGGGAAAAACAGGTGGAAATGGGCAAAAATGGGCAGAAATGGGAAAAATGGGTAGAAACGGGCAGGAAAAGGGGAAAACGGGGAAAAACAGGCGGAAACAAGCAAAAATGGGCGGAAACGGGGAAAACGGGGAAAACCGGGCAGAAACAGGGGAAACGGGCAGAAACAGGGGGGAAATGGGCGGAAACGGGGGAAAATGGGCAAAAATGGGCGGAAATGGGGAAATTGGGGGGAAACGGGGGTAAAATGGGGGAAATGGGGAAAAAAATGGGCAGAAATAGGAAAACGGTCAAAAATGGGTGGAAATAGGGAAAAATGGGCAGAAACAGGGAAAAAACGGGCGGAAACGGGAAAAAACGGGTGAAAACGGGCAGAAATGGGGAAAAATGCCAGAAACGGGTAAAATGTGGGAGAAACGGGGTAAAAACAGGCAAAAACGGGCAGAAACGGGGAAAAATGCGGGGAAACGGGCGGAAACGGGGCGGAAACGGGGAAAAACGGGTCGAAAATGGGCGGAAACAGGAAAAAACAGGTGGAAACGGGGAAAATGGGCGGAAACATGGAAAAACGGGTGGAAACAAGGGAAAACGGGCAAAAATGGGCAAAACCGGGAAAAAATGGGGAAAAACGGGGCGAAAACGGGGAAAAACGGTCAGAAACGGGGAAAAATAGGCAGAAATGGGGAAAACGGGCAGAAACGGGGGTAAAAAGGGGGGAAATGGGGAAAAACAGGCAGAAACGGAGAAAACCGGGTGGAAACGCGAAAAACGTGTGGAAATGGGGGAAAACAGGCGGAAATGGGGGAAAACGGGCGGAAATGGGGAAAAACGGGTGGAAACAGGCCAAAAAAGCGGAAACGGGAAAAAACAGGTGGAAACAGGGAAAAACAGGCGGAAATGGGGGAAAACGGGCAGAAACGGGGAAAAATGGGTGGAAACGGGGAAAAACAGGCGGAAATGGGCAAATATGGGCAGAAATGGGAAAAATGGGTAGAAACGGGCAGGAAAACGGGAAAACGGGGAAAAACGGGCGGAAACAAGCAAAAATGGGCGGAAACGGGGAAAACGGGGAAAAACGGGCAGAAACGGGGGAAACGGGCAGAAATCGGGGGGAAATGGGCGGAAACGGGGGAAAACGGGTAAAAATGGGCGGAAATGGGGAAATTGGGGGGAAACAGGGGTAAAATGGGGGAAAACGGGCAGAAACGGGATACGGGCGGAAACGGGAAAATGGGCAGAAATGGGCGGAAAATGGGGGGAAACGGGCAAAAAACGGGGGAAAACGGGTGGAAATGGCGAAAAACAGGCGGAAACGGGCAAAAACAGGCGGAAATGGGGAAAAATGGGCGGAAACGGGCGGAAACGGGGAAAAATGGGCGGAAACAGGCAGGAAAGGGGGAAAACGGGGGAAAACGGGCGGAAATGGGCAAAAACGGGCGGAAATGGGGAGAAATGGGAATAAACGGGGGAAAATGGGGGGGAATGGGGAGAAAATGGGGGAAAATGGGGGAAAATGGGGGAAAATAGGCAAAAACGGGCGGAAACGGAGAAAAATGAGGGGAAACGGGGGAAAAATGGGTGGAAATGGGGAAAAACGGACTGAAACGAGGAAAAACGGGCGGAAACGGGGAAAATGGGCAGAAACGTGGGTAAAATGGGGGGAAACGGGAGAAAATGGGGGAAATGGGGGAAATGGGGTAAAAATGGGTAAAATGTGGAAAAAATCGGGGAAGAATGTGGGAAAAATGGGCGGAAATAGGGAAATGGGTGGAAATGGGGTAAAAATTGGGGGAATGGGGAAAAATGGCGTGAAAAGTGGTGGAAGTGGAGTAAAAATGGGGGAAATGGGGGAAAATGGTCAAAAACTGGGAAAAACTGGGAAAATGGAGGGAAATGGGCAAAAAGTAAGGAAAAACTTGGAAAAACAGGGGGAAATGAGGGAAAAAGGGGTAAAAATGGGGTAAAATGGGGGGAAATGGGGAAAAATGGGGGAAAAAATGGGGAAATGCAAAAATGGCACAAAAATCCCCCTCCAGTTCCCTGCCAGTCCCTCCCAGTTTATCCCAGTTCCTCCCAGTCCCTCCCAATCCCCTCCCAGTCCCTCCCAGTATAACCCAGTCCCCCCAATACCATTCCAGCCCCTCCCAGTTCCCTTCCAGTCCCCCCCACTTCCCTCCCAGTATAATCCAGTCTGTCCCACTCCCTCCCAGTCCCTCCCAGTTCCCTCCCAATCTCTCGCAATCCCCCCCAGTCCCATCCCAGTCCCCTCCCAGTATATCCTAGTCCATTCCACTTCCCTCCCAGTCCTTCCCAGTCCCTCCCAGTCCCATCCCAGTATATCCCAGTATCTCCCAGTCCCTCGCAGTCCCCTCCCAGTCCCTCCCAGTATAAACCAGTCCCTCCCAGTTCCCTCCCAATCCCCTCCCAGTCCCATCCCAGTATATCCCAGTCCCTCCCAGTCCCCTCCCAGTATAAACCACTCCCCCCCCAGTCCCCCCCAGTCCCCCCCAGTCCCTCCCAGTCCCCCCCAGTTCCTCCCAGTCCCATCCCAGTATATCCCAGTCTCCCCCAATCCCCTCCCAGTATAAACCAGTATATCCCAGTATATCCCAGTCCCCTCCCAGTCCCTCCCAGTCCATCCCAGTATATCCCAATCCCCTCCCAGTTCCCTCCCAGTATATCCCAGTCCCCTCCCAGTCCCTCCCAGTATATCCCAGTCCCCTCCCAGTCCCTCCCAGTATATCCCAGTCCCCCCCGCTCAAGCCCCGCCCCCTCCCAGGACGGCCGCCCCCTCCCGGAAGCGCCGCCCCAGAGCCGCTCGGGTCACGTGACCATGCGGGCGCTGCACGTGACCGCCGCCCCTTCCGACAATGGCGCCGACTTCCGGTGCGAGGCGGGGCCGGCCCGGAGCGCCCCAGTGCGCGTGCGCGTGCTCTGTGAGAGACTGGGGATACTGGTTTATACTGGGAGGGACTGGGAGGGACTGGGAGGGACTGGGAGGGACTGGGAGGGAACTGGGAGGGAACTGGGAGGGACTGGGAGGGAACTGGGAGGGAACTGGGAGGGAACTGGGAGGGGAATGGGAGGGAACTGGGAGGGGACTGGGAGGGACTGGGAGGGAACTGGGAGGGGACTGGGAGGGACTGGGAGGGACTGGGAGGGAACTGGGAGGGACTGGGAGGGAACTGGGAGGGAACTGGGAGGGAACTGGGAGGGGAATGGGAGGGACTGGGAGGGACTGGGAGGGACTGGGAGGAACTGGGAGGGACTGGGAGGGGATTGGGTTATACTGGGAGGGACTGGGAGGGTTAAAAAGTGTTACTGGTTTATACTGGGAGGGACTGGGAGGGACTGGGAGGGACTGGGAGGGGATTGGGAGGGACTGGGATATACTGGGAGAGGGTGGGAGGGGACTGGGTTATACTGGGAGGGAACTGGGAGGAACTGGTTTATACTGGGAGGGACTGGGAGGGACTGGGTTATACTGGGAGGGTTAAAAAGTGTTACTGGTTTATACTGGGAGGAAATGGGAGGGACTGGGAGGGACTGGGAGGGACTGGGAGGGGATTGGGATATACTGGGAGGGAACTGGGAGGGAACTGGGAGGGACTGGGAGGGACTGGGAAGGGATTGGGAGGGGACTGTGGGGGACTGGGATATACTGGGTTATACTGGGAGGGGACTGGGAGGGAGTGGGAGGGAACTCGTTTATACTGGGAGGGACTAAGAGAGGACTGGGTTATACTGGGAGGGACTGGTTTATACTGGGAGGGGATGGAGGGGAACTGGGAGGGACTGGGAGGGGACTGGGTTATACTGGGAGGGAATTCGGAGGGACTGGGAGTGTACTGGGACAAACTGGGAGGAGATTGGGGGGGACTGGGAGGGGACTGGGAGGGAACTGGTTTATACTGGGAGGGACTGGGAGAGGATTGGAGGGGATTGAGTCATACTGGGAGGGAACTGGGACGGACTGGGAGGGACTGGGAGCGGCACAGTGTGGCCACACCCCCAAGCCCACCAGTCCGCTCCCAGTATAACCCAGTATAACCCAGTCCCTCCCAATCCCCTCCCAGTCCCCTCCCAGTCCCTCCCACTCCCTCCCAGTCCCTCCCAGTATAAACCAGTTCCCTCCCAGTCCCTCCCAGTTCCCTCCCAGTCCCTCCCAGTCCCTCCCAGTCCCTCCCAGTGCCTCCCAGTATAAACCAGTACCTCCCAGTCCCTCCCAGTTCCCTCCCAGTCCCCTCCCAGTCCCTCCCAGTCCCTCCCAGTGCCTCCCAGTATAAACCAGTACCTCCCAGTACCTCCCAGTCCCTCCCAGTCCCTCCCAGTCCCTCCCAGTTCCCTCCCAATCCCCTCCCAGTCCCTCCCAGTATAACCCAGTCCCTCCCAGTACAAACCAGTAACTCCCAATCCCTCCCAGTTCCCTCCCAGTCCCTCCCAGTCCCTCCCAGTCCCTCCCAGTACAAACCAGTAACTCCCAGTCCCCCCAGTTCCCTCCCAGTCCCTCCCAGTCCCTCCCAGTAACTCCCAGTCTCCCCAGTTCCCGCCCAGTCCGTCTCCATCTCGCTGGCCCCGCCCCAGCCCCGCCCCGGCCACGCCCTCAGCCTCACCTGCCGCGCCGGCCCCGCCCACCCGGCCCCGGAGCTCACCTGGAGCCGCCCGGGACACGCCCCGTGAGTGACCCCAGTATAAACCAGTATGGACCAGTATAAACCAGTATGGACCAGTATATACCAGTACAGACCAGTACAGACCAGTATGGACCAGTATGGACCAGTTAAGAGACCAGTATGGACCAGTACGGACTCCCAGTATAAACCAGTTAGAGACCAGTATGGACCAGTATGGACCAGTACGGACCAGTATGGACCAGTATGGAACAGTATGGACCAGTATGGACCGGTATGGATCAGTATGGACCAGTATGGATCAGTTAGAGACCAGTATGGACCAGTATGGACCAGTAGAGACCAGTTAGAGACCAGTATAGACCAGTATGGACCAGTATAAACCAGTATAAACCAGTATGGACCAGTTAGAGACCAGCACGGATCTGTATAAACCAGTTAGAGACCAGTTTGGACCAGTATAAGCCGGTTAGAAACCAGTATGGACCAGTTAGAGACCACTATGGACCAGTATGGACCAGTATAAACCAGTTAGAGACCAATTATAGACCAGTATGGACCAGTATGGACCAGTATAAACCAGTTAGAGACCAATTACAGACCATTACGGACCAGTTAGAGACCAGTATGGACCAGTATAAACCAGTATAAACCAGTATGGACTGGTTAGAGACCAGTACGGACCAGTATAAACCAGTTAGAGACAAGTTAGAGACCAGTTACAGACCAGTTACAGACCAGTATGGACCAGTATGGACCAGTATGGACCAGTATGGACCAGTAGGAACCAGTTAGAGACCAGTACGGACCAGTATATACCAGTTAGAAACAAGTTTGGACCAGTATGAACCAGTATAAACCAGTTAGAGACCAGTATGGACCAGTATAGACCAGTATGGACCAGTTAGAGACATGTATGGACCAGTATGGACCAGTTAGAGACGAGTAGGGACCAGTATGGACCAGTACGGACCAGTATGGACCAGTATAAACCAGTATGGACCAGTATAAACCAGTTACAGACCAGTATGGACCAGTATAAACCAGTATGGACCAGTTAGAGACCAGTATGGACCAGTTAGATACCAGTATAAACCAGTATGGACCAGTATAGACCAGTATACACCAGTTAGAGACCAGTTAGAGACCAGCATATACCAGTATGGACCAGTATGGACCAGTTAGAGACCAGTATGGACCAGTATGGACCAGTATGGACCAGTATGGACCAGTTACAGACCAGTACGGACAAGTATAAACCAGTATGGACCAGTATGGACCAGTTCGAGACCAGTATGGACCAGTATGGAACAGTTAGAGACCAGTATGGACCAGTATAAACCAGTTAGAGATCAGTTAGAGACCAGTATGGACCAGTGTAAACCAGTACGGACCAGTACGGACAAGTATGGACTTGTTAGAGATCAGTATGGACCAGTTAGAGACCAGTATGGACCAGTATGGACCAGTATGGACCAGTATGGACCAGTATGGACCAGTATGGACCAGTATAGACCAGTATAAACCAGTTACAGACCGGTACGGACCAGTATAAACCAGTTACAGACCGGTACGGACCAGTATTGACCAGTATAAACCAGTTACAGACCAATATGGACCAGTATAAACCAGTTAGAGAACAGTATAAACCAGTATGGACCAGTTAGAGACCAGTATGGACCAGTACGGACCAGTATGGACCAGTATAAACCAGTATGGACCAGTATGGAACAGTAAAGAGACCAGTATAAACCAGTATAAACCAGTTAGAGACCAGTACGGACCAGTACGGACCAGTTAGACATCAATACAGACCAGTATAAACCAGTATGGACCAGTACGGACCAGTATAAACCAGTACAGACCAGTTAGAGACCAGTTAGAGACCAGTATAAACCAATATAAACCAGTTAGAGACAAGTTAGAGACCAGTATGGACCAGTACAGACCAGTATGGACCAGTATGGACCAGTATGGACCAGTACAGACCAGTATAGACCAGTATGGACCAGTATGGACCAGTATAGACCAGTATGGACCAGTATGGACCAGTATAGACCAGTATGGACCAGTATGGACCACTATAAACCAGTATGGACCAGTTAGAGACCAGTATGGACCAGTATAAACCAGTATGGACCAGTTAGAGACCAGTAAGGACCAGTATAAACCAGTAAGAGACCAGTTAGAGACCAGTATGGACCAGTATGGACCAGTTAGAGACCAGTATGGACCAGTATAAACCAGTATGGACCAGTTACAGACCAGTATATACCAGTTACAGACCAGTATGGACCAGTATAAACCAGTATAAACCAGTATGGACCAGTATGGACCAGTACAGACCAGTATAAACCAGTTAGAGACCAGTATGGACCAGTATGGACCAGTATGGACCGGTTAGAGACCAGTATGGACCAGTATAAACCAGTATAAACCAGTATGGTCTGGTTAGAGACCAGTTAGAGACAAGTTTGGACCAGTTAGAGACCAGTATAAACCAGTATAAACCAGTTAGAGACCAGTATGGACCAGTATGGACCAGTTAGAGACAACTTTGAACCACTATGGACCAGTATAAACCAGTATAAACCAGTTAGAGACAAGCTTGGACCAGTATGGACCAGTTAGAGACCAGTATGGACCAGTATGGACCAGTGCGGACCAGTTAGAGACCAGTATGGACCAGTATGGACCAGTATGGACCAGTTAGAGACCAGTATGGACCAGTATGGACTGGTTAGAGACCAGTATGGACCAGTTAGAGACCAGTATGGACCAGTATGGACCAGTTAGAGACCAGTATGGACCAGTACGGACTCTCAATCCCCTCCCAGTCCCTCCCAGTTCCCTCCCAGTATAAACCAGTAACACTTTTTAACCCTCCCAGTCCCTCCCAGTATAAACCAGTAACCCCCAATCCCCTCCCAGTCCCTCCCAGTATAAACCAGTAACACTTTATAACCCTCCCAGTTCCCTCCCAGTCCCCCCAACCCCCTCCCAGTCCCTCCCAGTACAAACCAGTAACCCCAGTTCCCTCCCAGTCCCCCCCAGTCCCCCCAAACCCCTTCCCAGTCCCTCCCAGTACAAACCAGTAACCCCAGTTCCCCTTTTCCCCCCTCCCAGTCTCCCCAAACCCCTCCCAGTCCCTCCCAGTATAAACCAGTTTCCCCCCAATCCCCTCCCAGTCCCTCCCAGTCCCTCCCAGTTCCCCTTTTCCCCCCTCCCAGTCCCTCCCAGTACAAACCAGTAACTCCCAGTTCCCCGCAGGGAGGCGGGGCTGCCGCTGCCCCCAAGCCCCGCCCCCCACGGCGGGGTCACGGCGGGGTCACGGCTGCTCTTCCAGGCGGCGCTGTCGCTGCAGGATCAGCCAATCACCTGCCGAGCCTGGAGCGCGTCACTGGGCGTGGCCGTGAGCTCCGCCCACATCCTGCGCATGCGCCGTGAGAGCCCGGGAGGGACTGGGATATACTGGGAGGGACTGGGATATACTGGGAGGGACTGGGAGGGACTGGGAGGGACTGGTTTATACTGGGAGGGAACTGGGAGGGACTGGGGGGGAACTGGGAGGGAACTGGTTTATACTGGGATGGACTGGGAGGGACTGGGTTATACTGGGAGGGACTGGGAGGGAACTGGGAGGGACTGGGAGGGAACTGGGAGGGAACTGGGAGTTACTGGTTTGTACTGGGAGGGACTGGGTTATACTGGGATGGAACTGGGAGGGAACTGGTTTATACTGGGAGGGAACTGGCATAAACTGGGAGGGACTGGGAGGGGATTGGCGGTTACTGGTTTGTACTGGGAGGGTTAAAAAGTGTTACTGATTTATACTGGGAGGGAACTGGGATGGACTGGGATGGACTGGTTTATACTGGGAGGGACTGGGAGGGAACTGGGAGGAACTGGTTTATACTGGGAGGGACTGGGAGGGACTGGTTTGTACTGGGAGGGACTGGGAGGGACTGGGAGGGGTAAAAAGTGTTACTGGTTTATACTGGGACGGACTGGGAGGGGATTGGAGGGAACTGGTTTATACTGGGAGGAACTGGGAGGGAACTGGGAGGGACTGGGTTATACTGGGAGGGAACTGGGACAAACTGGGAGGGTTATAAAGTGTTACTGGTTCATACTGGGAGGGAACTGGGAGGGGTTAAAAAGAGGATTTGGGGCAACTGGTTTATACTGGTTTATACTGGGAGGAACTGGGAGGGACTGGGAGGGACTGGGAGGGTTATAAAGTGTTACTGGTTTATACTGGGAGGGACTGGGAGGGTTATAAAGTGTTACTGGTTTATACTGGGAGGGACTGGGAGGGACTGGGAGGGTTAAAAAGTGTTACTGGTTTATACTGGGATGGACTGGGAGGGAACTGGGAGGGAACTGGTTTATACTGGGAAGGACTGGGAGGGCATTGGGTGGTTGTAAAGGGTTACTGGTTTATACTGGTTTATACTGGGAACCCATTTAGAAGGCACTGGGAGCTGCGGGGGTTGAACTGGGCTCAAACTGGTTTATACTGGTTTATACTGGTTTATACTGGTTTATACTGGTGCAGACAGTGGGAGGTCCCTGGGGCCTTACTGGTTTATACTGGTTCATACTGGGAACCCATTTAGGGGGCACTGGGAGCTCTGGGGGTTAAACTGGGCTCAAACTGGTTTATACTGGTTTATACTGGTTTATGCTGGTTTATACTGGTTTACACTGGTGCAGACAGTGGGAGGGTCTTTGGGGCTTACTGGTTTATACTGGTTTATACTGGGAACCCATTTAGAGGGCACTGGGAGTTCTGGGGGTATAACTGGGCCCAAACTGGTTTATACTGGTTTATACTGGTTTATACTGGTTTATACTGGTTTATACTGGGAGGGACTGGGAGGGCATTGGGGGGCTGTAAAGGGTTACTGGTTTATACTGGTTTATACTGGGAACCCATTTAAAGGGCACTGGGAGCTCTGGGGGTCGAACTGGGCTCAAACTGGTTTATACTGGTTTATACTGGTTTATACTGGTTTATACTGGTTTATACTGGTGCAGACAGTGGGAGGGTCTCTGGGCCTTACTGGTTTATACTGGTTTATACTGGGAACCCATTTAGAAGGAACTGGGAGCTGTGGGGGTTGAACTGGGCTCAAACTGGTTTATACTGGTTTATACTGGTTTATACTGGTTTATACTGGTTTATACTGGTTTATACTGGTGCAGACAGTGGGAGTGTCCTGGGGCCTTACTGGTTTATACTGGTTTATACTGGGAACCGATTTAGAAGGGACTGGGAGCTCTGGGGGTCGAACTGGGCTCAAACTGGTTTATACTGGTTTATACTGGTTTATACTGGTTTATACTGGTGCAGACAGTGGGAGGGTCTCTGGGCCTTACTGGTTTATACTGGTTTATACTGGGAACCCATTTAGAAGGAACTGGGAGCTCTGGGGGTTGAACTGGGCTCAAACTGGTTTATACTGGTTTATACTGGTTTATACTGGTTTATACTGGTTTATACTGGTTTATACTGGTTTATACTGGTGCAGACCCCCCCCTGCTCAGCGCCGGCCCCTCCCCCGTCCGGGTTCCGGAAGGTTCCGAGGCCGTTTTGGGGCTGTCGGTCCGCGCCCATCCCCCCCCCCGAGAGCTGCAACTGGAGCGTGCGGGGGAGGGGCATCACCCCCGGTACTGGTTTATACTGGTTTATACTGGTTTGTACTGGTTTGGGCTCTGGGGGCACTGGTTTGTACTGGTTTGTACTGGTTTGGGGTTTGGGGTTACTGGGAGGGACTGGGAGGGGGTTTGGGGTCACGGGGAGGGGGTTTGGGGTTACTGGTTTGTACTGGTTTGGGGTTTGGGGTTACTGGTTTGTACTGGTTTGGGGTTTGGGGTTACTGGTTTGTACTGGGAGTTACTGGGAGGTGTCTAAGGGGTTACTGGGAGTTACTGGGAGTTACTGGGAGTTACTGGGAGTTACTGGGAGTTACTGGGAGGGGTCCAAGTGGTTACTGGGAGTTACTGGGAGTTACTGGGAGTTACTGGGAGGGGTTCGAGGTGTTACTGGGAGTTACTGGAAGTTACTGGGAGTTACTGGGAGTTACTGGGAGTTACTGGGAGGGGTCCAAGAGGCTACTGGGAGTTACTGGGAGTTACTGGGAGTTACTGGGAGGGGTTACTGGTGTTACTGGGAGTTACTGGGAGTTACTGGGAGTTACTGGGAGGGGTCCGAGGTGTTACTGGGAGCACTGGGAGTTACTGGGAGTTACTGGGAGTTACTGGGAGTTACTGGGAGAGGTCCAAGGGGTTACTGGGAGTTACTGGGAGTTACTGGGAGTTACTGGGAGTTACTGGGAGTTACTGGGAGGTCACTGGGAGGGGTCCAAGGTGTTACTGGGAGTTACTGGGAGCACTGGACATGGCCTCTCTATTGACCCCGCCTCTTTTCCTTGTGACTCCGCCCCTTTTCCTTTGACCCCGCCCCCTTTGTGTGACCCCACCCCATTTATTTGACCCCTCCCCCTTTCTGTGTGGCCCCGCCTCTTTTCTCTGTTGCTCCGCCCCTTTTTGTGTGACTCCACCCCCTTTCCTTGCGGCCACGCCCATTTTCCCTGTGACTCCACCCCTTTTTCATTGACCCCGCCCCTTTTTCTGTGGCTCCGCCCCCTTTGCGTGACCCCGCTTCCATTTTTATGACCCCGCCCCTTTTCTTTTTGACTCCGCCCTTTTTCCTTTGACTCCGCCCCTTTTTTGTGACCCCGCCCCATTTTATGTGACCCCGCCCATTTTTCCTGTGACCCCGCCCCCTTTTGTGCTGCTCCGCCCCCATTTTATGTGACCCCGCCCCTTTTTCATTATAGCCCCGCCCCTTTTTGTGTGACTCCACCCCCTTTCCTTGTGGCCACGCCCATTTTCCCTGTGACTCCGCCCCTTTCCCATGTTGCTCCGCCCCTTTTTGTGTGACTCCGCCCCTTGCGACCACGCCCATTTTCCCGGTGACTCCGCCTTTTCCCCCGGTGACTCCGCCCCCATTTGTGTGACTCCGCCCCCTTTTTTGGCCCCGCCCCCAGGTCTGTCCCCGCGTTTCCGGCAGTCCCCGGGGGGCGCTGGGAGGGGTTAATGGTGTTACTGGGAGTTACTGGGAGGGCACTGGGAGGTCACTGGGAGTTACTGGTTTGTACTGGAAGTTACTGGGAAGGGTCCAAGGTGTTACTGGGAGTTACTGGGAGTTACTGGAAGGTCACTGGGAGTTACTGGGAGTTACTGGGAGGGGTCCAAGGGGTTACTGGGAGTTACTGGGAGTTACTGGGAGTTACTGGGAGTTACTGGGAGGGGTCCAAAGGGTTACTGGGAGTTACTGGGAGTTACTGGGAGTTACTGGGAGTTACTGGGAGGGGTCCAAGGGGTTACTGGGAGTTACTGGGAGTTACTGGGATTTACTGGAAGGTCACTGGGAGTTACTGGGAGTTACTGGGAGGGGTCCGAGGTGTTACTGGGAGTTACTGGGAGTTACTGGGAGTTACTGGGAGGGGTCCAAGGTGTTACTGGGAGTTACTGGGAGGTTACTGGGAGTTACTGGGAGGGGTCCAAGGGGTCACTGGGAGTTACTGGGAGTTACTGGGAGTTACTGGGAGGGGTCCGAGGGGTTACTGGGAGTTACTGGGACTTACTGGGAGTTACTGGAAAGGGTCTGAGGTGTTACTGGGAGTTCCTGGGAGTTACTGGGAGTTACTGGGAGGGGTCCAAGGGGTTACTGGGAGTTACTGGGAGTTACTGGGAGTTACTGGGAGCACTGGGCATGGCCTCTCTATTGACCCCGCCCCCTTTTCCTGTGACCCCGCCCCTTTTCATTGGCCCCGCCCCTTTCCCCGTGACCCCGCCCCTTTTCCCTGTGGCCCCGCCCCCATTTTGTGTGATCCCGCCCCATTTTCCCTATGACCCCGCCCCTTTTCCCTGTGACTCCGCCCCTTTTTCTTTGACTCCGCCCCCTTTGTGTGACCCCCACCCCCATTTTGTTTGACCCCACCCCCATTTTGTGTGACCCCGCCCCTTTTTGTGACCCCGCCCCCACTTATGTGACCCCGCCTCTTTCCCCCTTGTCTCCGCCCATTTTCCCTTTGACTCCGCCCCTTTTTCATTGGCCCCGCCCCTTTTTTATTGGCCCCACCCCCTTTTTGGCCCCGCCCCCAGGTCTGTCCCCGCGTTTCCGGCAGTCCCCGGGGGGCGCTGGGAGGGGTTACTGGTGTTACTGGGAGTTACTGGGAGATACTGGGAGGGGTCTGAGGTGTTACTGGGAGTTACTGGGAGTTACTGGGAGCACTGGGCGTGGTCTCCTATTGACCCCGCCCCTTTTTTGGCCCCGCCCCCAGGTTCGTCCGGGCGCTTCCGGCAGTCACCGGGGGGCGCTGGGAGGGGTTACTGGTGTTACTGGGAGTTACTGGGAGTTACTGGGAGTTACTGGGAGCACTGGGCGTGGCCTCTCGATTGACCCCGCCCCCTTTTCCTTTGACTCCGCCCCCTTTTTCATTTGACCCCGCCCCTTTTTGTGTGACCCTTTCCTTGCGGCCACGCCCATTTTCCCTGTGACCCCGCCTCTTTTGATTGACCCCGCCCCTTTCCCCTGTGACTCCGCCCCCTTTTTGTGGCCCCGCCCCCTTCTCCCGCGATCCCGCTCCTTTTCCCTTTGGCCCCGCCCCTTTTCTCTGTGACTCCGCCCTCTTTCCTTTGACCACGCCCCTTTTTTTTGGTGGACCCGCCCCCTTTCCTTTGGCCCCGCCCCCTTCTCCCGTGATCCCGCCCCTTTTCCCTTCGGTCCCGCCCCCTTTTGTGTGGCTCCGCCTCCATTTTATGTGACCCCGCCCCTTTCAATTTGGCCCCGCCCATTTTTCCTGTGACCCCGCCCCTTTTTTATTGACCCCGCCCCTTTTTATTGACCCCGCCCCTTTTTGGCCCCGCCCCCAGGTCTGTCCCCGCGTTTCCGGCTGTCTCCGGGGGGCGCTCTGCGCATCGCCAACGTCACCCGCGCCGACAGCGCCGCCTATCGGGTGCGGTGCCGCAACGCCGAGGGCGCGGCCGGCGCCGAGGTCACGCTGCTGGTGCTGGGTGCGGGAATTTAACCGGAATTAACGCCAAAATCTGCCGGAATTAACCCGGAATTCAGCCGGAATTAACCCGGAATTAACCTGGAATGAACCCCAAAATGTCCTGGAATTAACCCGGAATTCAGCCGGAATTAACCCGGAATTAATCCGAAATGAACCTGGAATTAACACAGAATTAACCCGAAATTAACCCAGAATTAACCCGAAATTAACCCGGAATTAACCAGGAATTAACCCCAAAATCTCCCGGAGTTAACCCAAAATTAACCCGGATTTAACCAGGAATTTACTGGGAATTAACCCAGAATTAACTGAGAATTAAACCGTAATTAACCCCAAAATCTCCTGGAATTAACCCAAAATTAACCGGGAATTCACCCGGAATTAACCTGAAATTAACCCGGAATTAACTGGAAATTAACCCGGAATTATCCCAAAATTAACTCAAAATTACCCCAAATGTAACCCAGAATTAACCCGAAATTAACCCGGAATTAACCTGGAAATAACCCAAAATTATCCTAAAATTAACCCAAAATAATTTAGGAATTAACCCGAAATTAACCCGAAAGGAACCCAAAATTAACCGGGATTTAACCCGGAATGAACCCCAAAATGTCCCAGAATTAACTCAAAATTAACCCGGAATTAACCGGAAATTAACCGGGAATTAACCCGGAATTATCCTGAAATTATCCCGAAATTAGCTCAAAATGAACCCAGAATTAACCTGGAATTAACCCAGAATTAACCTGGAATTAACCCTAAAATCTGGAATTAACCATAAATGAACCCGGAATTAACCGGGAATTAACCCAAAATTATCCTTAAATTAACCCAAAATAATTTCAGAATTAACCCAAAATTAACCGGGAATTAACCGGAAATTATCCCGAAATTAACCCAAAATCTACAGGAATTTACCCCAAAATCTCCCGGAGTGAACCCAAAATTAACCCGAAATCAGCCCCAAAATTTACCCAAAATTATCCCAAAATCTCGTGGAATTAACCCAAAATTATCCTGAAATGAACCCGGAATGAACCCAAAATTATCCTGGAATCAGCCCCAAAATTAAAGCCAAAAACAGGCCAAAAAACTCCCAGGATGAACCCAAAATTATCCCGGAATCAGCCCCGAAATCTCCTGGAATTAACCCAAAATTAACCCAAAATTAACCTAAATTATCCCGAAATGAACCCGGAATTAACCCAGAATTAAACAGGAATTAACCCGGAATTAACCCGGAATTAACCCGGAATTAACCAGGAATTAACCCGGAATTAACCGGGAATTAACCGGGAATTAACCGGGAATTCACCCAGAATTATCCCGACATTAACCCAAAATTATCCCAAAATGAACCCGGAGTTAACCCGGAATTAACCCTGAAATCTCCCAGAATTAACCCGGAATTAACCCGGAATTAACCAGGAATTAACCTGGAATTAACCCAAAACTAACCCAAAATTAACCCAAAATTATCCAGAAACAAAGCTGGAATTAACCCAGAATTAACCTGAAATTAACCCGAAATTAGCCCAGAATTAACCCGGAATTAACCTGGAAATAACCCAAAATTATCCTGAAATTAACCCGAAATTAACCCAAAATGAACCCAGGAATTAACCCGGAATTAACCAGGAATTAACCCAAAATGAACCCGGAATTAAGCCTAAATGAATCTGGAATGAACCCAAAATTAACCCACAATCAGCCCCAAATCCTCCCGAAATCCCCCCAAATCTCCCCAAGACCCCCCAAATCCCCCCTAAACCTCCCCAGGATCCCCCTAAATCCCCCCTAGACCCCCCCAAATTCCACCCAAATCCCCCCTAAACCTCCCCAGGACCCCCCAAATCCCCCCTAAACCACCCCAAATCCACCCTTAATCCCCCCAAATCCCCCCCAGATCCCCCCAGGATCCCTCAAATTCTCCCCAGGACCCCCCAAATCCCCCCTAAACTCCCCCAAAATTCCCCCAGGACCCCCCAAATCCCCCCTCAATCCCCCCTAAATCTCCCCTAAATCCCCCCGGAACCCCCCAAATCTCCCCTAAATCCCTCCAAGACCCCCCAAATCCCCCCTAAATCCCCCCAAAATCCCCCCTAAATCCCCTCCAAATCTCCCCTAAATCCCCCCAAGACCCCCAAATCCCCCTGGGACCCCCCAAATCCCCCCCAGGACCCTCCCAAACCCCCCAAACCCCCCAAATCCCCCCTAAAACTCCCCCAAGACCCCCCAAATCCCCCCAAATCCCCCCCAAATCCCCTTAAGACCCCCCAAATCGCCCCCAAATCCCCCCAGGACCCCCCAACCCCCCTGACCCCCCCTTTTCCGCCCCCCCAGTGCCCCCCAGCATCGTCCGCGCCCCCGACCCGGTGGTGGTGGAGGAGGGGGGGGAGGGGCAGCTGCTGTGCGAGGCCCAGGGCAGCCCCCTCCCCCCCGGGAGCGTCCAGTGGGCCCGGCTGGTGAGGGCCGGGGGGTTTGGGGGGGATTTGGGGGGGTTTGGGGGGTCCTGGGGAGGTTTAGGGGGGATTTGGGGGGATTTGGAGGGGATTTGGGGGGTCCTGGGAGGGATTTGGGGAGTCCTGGGGAGGTTTAGGAGGGATTTTGGGGGTACTGAGGGGATTTAGGGGGGATTTGGGGGGTCTTGGAGGGATTTGGGTAAGATTTGGGGGGTCCTGAGGGGATTTAGGGGGGATTTGGGTAAGATTTGGGGGGGATTTGGGGGGGATTTGGGGGGTACTGGGGAGGTTTAGGGGGGTTTTGGGGGGGGTTTTAGGGGGGATTTGGGGGGGTTTGGGCAGGTTTAGGGGGGATTTGGGGGGTCCTGGGGGGGTTTTGGTAGGATTTGGGGGGTCCTGGGGGGGATTTTGGGGGGTCCTGGGGAGGTTTAGGGGGGATTTGGGGGGTCCTGAGGGGATTTAGGGGGGGTTTGGGGGGTCCTGAGGGGGATTTGGGGGGGATTTGGGTAAGATTTTGGGGGGATTTGGGGGGTCCTGAGGGGATTTAGGGGGTATTTGGGGGGGGTTTAGGGGGGATTTGGGGGGCATTTGGGTGGTCCTGGGGGGGATTTGGCGGGATTTGGGAAAGATTTTGGGGGGGTTTGAGGAGGTTTAGGGGGGATTTGGGGGGGTCCCAGGGGGATTTGGGGGGTCCTGGGGGGGATTTGGGGGCTCCTTGGGAGGATTTGGGGGGTCCTGGGGGGGATCTGGGGGGGATTTGGGGGGTCCAGGGGGGAATTTGGGGGAGATTAAGGAGGGATTTGAGGGGGTCCTGGGGGGATTTTGGGGGATTTGGGGGGTCCTGGGGGGGATTTGGGGGGTCCTGGGGGTATTTGAGGGGATTTGGGGGGGAATTGGGGGGTTCTGGGAGGAATTGGGGGGTCCTGGGGGGGATTTGGGGGGGTTTGGGTAAGATTACAGGGGGATTTGGGGGGGACCTGAAGGGGATTTGGGGGTGATTTGAGGGGTCCTGGGGAGGTTTAGAGGGGATTTGGGGTGGACTTGGGGGGTTTAGAGGGGATTTGGGGGGTCTTGGGGGGTCCTGGGGGGATTTGGGGGGATTTGGGGGGGATTTGGGGGGTCCCTGTGGGGGATTTGGGGGGTCCTGGGGGGATTTGGGTAAGATTTTGGGGGGATTTGGGGGGATTTTGGTTGACGCCTTTGAGATATTTCGGGGCAATTTTTAGGGTTATTTTTGGGCTATTTTTGGGCTATTTTTGGGCTATTTCAGGGCTATTTTTGGGCTATTTCGGGGCTATTTTTATGGCTATTTTGGGGCTATTTCTGGGCCATTTTGGGGCTATTTTTGTGCTATTTTGGGGCTATTTTTTGGCTATTTTGGGGCTATTTTCACACTATTATTGGAATCTATTCAGCCTTTTTTGGGCTATTTTCGTGATATTTCGGGGCTATTCTTGGCCTATTTTTGGGTTATTTCGGGTCCATTCCGTGTCCCTTTCCCCCTCCCCAGGGCGACTCGGGGGCCCCCCATTTCGGGGCTATTTTTGGGGCTATTTAGGGGCTATTTTTGGGCTATTTTTGGCCTATTTCTGGGCTATTTTTGGTCTATTTCTGGGCTATTTTATGGCTATTTTGGGGCTATTTCTGGGCTATTTTAGGGTTATTTTTGGGATATTTCTGGGCTATTTTACGGCTATTTTGGGGCTTTTTTTTTCAGGCTATTTCCGGTCTATTTTGGGGTTGTTTTTGGGATATATTCATCCTTTTTTGGGGCTATTTTTGTGATATTTCGGGGCTATTCTTGGCCTATTTCGTGGCTATTTCTGGGCTATTTTGGGGAAATTTTGGGCTATTTTTGGGCTATTTTTGGGGAATTTTCGGGCTATTTTTGGGATATATTCGGGCTTTTTTGGGGCTATTTTTGAAGTATTCTGGGGCTGTTTCTGGGCTATTTTATGGTTAATTTTGGGATTTTTCAGGGTTATTTTGGGGCTATTTTTGGGATATTTTTGGTGTATTTCGGGGCTATTCTTGGCCTATTTCAGGGCTATTCTTGGGCTATTTCGGGGCTATTTCTGGGCTATTTTTGGCCTATTTTTGGGCTATTTTTGGGTTATTTTGGGTCCATTACAGTCCCTTTTCCCCTCCCCAGGGCGACTCGGGGGCCCCCCATTTTGGGGCTATTTTTGGGCTATTCTTGGCCAATTTCGGTGCTATTTTTGGGGCTATTTCAGGGCTATTTTGGGGCTATTCTTGGCCTATTTCGGGGCTATTTCTGGGCTATTTCAGGGCTATTTCTGGGCTATTTTGGGGTTATTTTGGGTATATAATCGGGCTTTTGGGGGCTCTTTTCGAGATATTTCGGGGCTATTTTCGGATCTTTCAGGGCTATTTCTGGGCTATTTTGTGGCTATTTTGGGGCTATTTCTGGGCTATTTTCGGGCTATTTCTGATCTATTTTGGGGAATTTTTTGGGCTATTTGCGGTCTATTTTGGGGCTATTTTTGGCTACTTTGGGAGAATTTTTGGGCTATTTTCAGGATATATTCGGGCTTTTTCGGGGCTAATTTTGGGGCTATTTCTGGTCTGCTTTGGGGCTATTTTCGTGCTATTTTCCGGATATATTCAGCCTTTTTTGGGGCTATTTTCATGATATTTCGGGGCTATTTTTGGGCTATTTCGGGGACATTTTCGGGCTTTTTTCAGGGCTATTTTTGAGATATTTTGGGGCTATTTTCGGATCTTTCAGGGTTATTTCTGGGCTATTTTTGGGCTATTTTTGGGCTATTTTGGGACTTTTTTTGGTCTATTTTTTGGCTATTTCAGGGCTATTTCTGGGCTATTCTCGGGCTATTTTGGGGCTATTCTTGGCCTATTTCGGGGCTATTCTTGGGCTATTTCTGGGCTATTTCGGGGCTATTCTTGGCCTATTTTGGGGCTATTTCTGGGCTATTTTGGGGCTATATTTGGCCTATTTTTGGCCTATTTTTGGGCTATTTTGGGTTATTTTGGGTCCATTTCGGTCCCTTCTCCCTCCCCAGGGCGACTCGGGGGCCCCCCATTTCGGGGCTATTTTTAGGCTATTTTTGGCCTATTTTGGGGCTATTTTTGGGTCTATTTCGGGGCTATTTTGTGGCTATTTTTGGGCTATTTCAAGGCTATTTTTGGGCTATTTTTGTGCTATTTTGGGGCTATTTTTGGGAAATTTCAGGATATTTCTGAGCTATTTCAAGTCTATTTTGCTGCTATTTTTGGGCTGTTTCTGGGCTATTTCTGATCTATTTTGGGGAATTTTTTTGGCTATTTCTGATCTATTTTGAGGCTTTTTTTCAGGCTATTTCCTGTCTATTTTGGGGTTATTTTCGGGATATATTCAGCCTTTGTTGGGGCTATTTTCATTATATTTCGGGGCTATTCTTGGCCTATTTCGTGGCTATTTTTGGGCTATTTCAGGGCTATTTTTGGGGCTATTTCTGGCCTATTTCGGGGCTATTTTGGGGCTATTTCTGGCCTATTTTGGGGACATTTTCGGGCTTTTTTCGGGGCTATTTTTGAGATATTTTGGGGCTATTATCGGATATTTGGGGTTATTTTGGGACTATTTCTGGGCTATTTTTGGGATATTTCTGGGCTATTTTAGGGGTATTTTGGGGCTATTTTGGGGCTATTTTCAGGATATATTCAGCCTTTTTTGGGGCTATTTTCGTGATATTTCGGGGCTATTTTCGGATCTTTCAGGGCTATTTCTGGGCCATTTTGGGGCTATTTTTGGTCTATTTTTTGGCTATTTCGGGGCTAATTTTGGGGCTATTTCTGGTCTGCTTTGGGGCTATTTTCGCGCTATTTTCCGGATATATTCAGCCTTTTTTGGGGCTATTTTCATGATATTTCGGGGCTATTTCTGGGCTATTTTGGGGCTATTTTTGTGCTATTTCGGGGCTATTTTTGGGTCCATTTCGGTGTTATTTTGGCCCTTTCCCCCTCCCCAGGGCGACTCGGGGGCCCCCCATTTCGGGGCTATTTCTGGGCTATATTTGGCCTATTTTGGGCTATTTTTGGGTCCATTTCGGTGCTATTTCGGTCCTTTCCCCTCCCCAGGGCGACTCGGGGGCCCCCCATTTCTGGGCTATTTTTGGCCTATTTCTGGGCTATTTTTGGGCTATTTTTGGGTTATTTTTGGTCCATTTCAGTCCCTTTCCCCCTCCCCAGGGCGACTCGGGGACCCCCCATTTCGGGGCTATTTTTGGGCTATTTCGGGGCTATTTTTGGGTCTATTTCGGTGTTATTTTGGTCCCTTTCCCCTCCCCAGGGTGACTCGGGGGCCCCCCATTTCGGGGCTATTTTTGGCCTATTTTTGGCCTATTTTTGGGCTATTTTAGGGCTATTTCTGGGCTATTTCGGGGCTATTCTTGGCCTATTTTGGGGCTATTTTATGGCTATTTCTGGTCTATTTTGGGGCTATTTTCACGCTATTTTCGGGATATATTCAGCCTTTTTTGGACCTATTTTCGTGGTATTTCGGGGCTGTTTCTGGGCTATTTCTGAGCTATTTTATGGTTATTTTTGGGCTATTTTAGGGTTATTTGGGGCTATTTCTGGGCTATTTTATGGCTATTTTGGGGCTATTTCTGGGCTATTCTTGGCCTATTTTGGGGCTATTTCGGGGCTATTCTTGGGCTATTTTTGGCCTATTTTTGGCCTATTTTTGGGCTATTTTTGGGTCTATTTCTGGGCTATTTTGTGGCTATTCTTGGGCTATTTCCTGTCTACTTTGGGGCTATTTTCAGGCTTTTTTCAGGATATATTCAGTCTTTTTTGGGGCTATTTTTGTGATATTTCGGGGCTGTTTCGGGGCTATTTCGGGGCTATTTTGGGGCTATTGGGCTATTTTTGTGCTATTTTTGGGGCTATTTGTGGTCTATTTTGGGGGAATTTTTGGGCTATTTTCGGGTTATATTCAGCCTTTTTTGGGGCTATTTTCATGATATTTCGGGGCTATTTTTGGGCTATTCTTGGCCTATTTTTGGCCTATTTCTGGGCTATTTTTGGGTCCATTTCGGTGTTATTTCGGTCCCTTTTCCCTCCCCAGGGCGACTCGGGGGCCCCGCTGCCGCTGCCGCCGGGGCTGGAGCCGCTGCCGGGGGGTCCCGGGGGGTCGCTGTGGGTCCGGGGGGCCCGGCGGGATTTGGGGGGACCCTACGAGTGCCGGGTGGATTCGGGGGTGCCGCCCCCCGCCCGCGCCGTCGTCAGGCTGCTCGTCACCTGTGAGGGGCGGGGCTTAAAGGGAGGGGGCGGGGTTTAATGGGGGCGGGGCTAAAGTGGGTGTGGTAATGGGGGAGGGGCTTAATGGGGAGGGGCTAAAGGAAAAGGGGAGGGGCTTAATGGAAAGGGGGGCTTAGCGGGGAGGGGCCTAATGGGGAGGGGCTTAATGGGGAGGGGAAGGGGCTTAATGGGGAGGGGCTTAATGGAAAAGGGGAGGAGCTAAAGGAAAAGGGGAGGGGCTAAAGTGGGTGGGGTTAATGGGGAGGGGATAAATAAAAAGGGGGAGGGGCTAAAGGGAAGGGGGAGGGGCTAAAGGGGTGGGGTTAATGAGGGAGGGGATAAAGAAAAAGGGGGCGGGGCTAAAGAGGGTGGGGTAATGGGGGAGGGGTAAAGGGAAAGGGGGAGGGGCTAAAGGGAAAGGGGAGGGGCTAAAGGGAAAGGGGAGGGGCTAAAGGGGGTGAGGTTAAGGGGGAGGGGCTAAAGAAAGAGGGGGAGGGGCTAAAGGGAAAGGGGAGGGGCTTAATGGGGAGGGGCTTAATGAGAGGGGGAGGGGCTAGAAGGAAAGGGGAAGGGGCTTAATGGGGAGGGGCTTAATGGGGAGGGGGAGGGGCTTAATGGGGATGGGCTAAACGGGAGGGGGAGGGGCTTAATGGGGAGGGGAGGGGCTAAAGGGGTGGGGTTAAGGGGGAGGGACTAAAGAGGAGAGGGGGAGGGGCTTAATGGGGAGGGGGAGGGGCTTAATGTGAGGGGGAGGGGCTTAATTGGGAGGGGGCGGGGCTAAAGGGAAAAGGGGAGGGGCTTAATGGGGGCGGGGCTTAATGGGGTGGGGCTAAATAAAAAGGGGGAGGGGTTAAAGTGGGTGTGGTTAATGGGGAGGGGCTAAATAAAAAGGGGGAGGGGTTAAAGGGAAAGGGGAGGGGCTAAAGAAAAAGGGGAGGGGTTAAAGTGGGTGGGGTTAATGGGGGAGGGGCTTAATGGAGAGAGGGAGGGGCTTGATGGGAGGGGAGGGGCTAAAGGGAAAGGGGGAGGGGCTAAAGAGGATGGGAGGGGCTAAAAGAGGTGGGGTTAATGGGAGGGGCTAAAGGGGGAGGGGCTAAAGGGAAAGGGGGAGGGGCTATAGGGAAGGGGGGAGGGGCTAAATGGAAAGGGGAGGGGCTAAAGGGGTGTGGTTAATGGAGAGGGGCTAAAGGGAAAGGGGAGGGGTTAAAGGAGGTGGGGTTAAGGGGGAGGGGCTAAAGTTAAAGGGGAGGGGTTAAAGGGAAAGGGGGAGGGGCTAAAGTGGGTGGGGTTAATAGGGAGGGGATAAATAAAAAGGGGGAGGGGCTAAATGGAAAGGGGAGGGACGAAAAAGGGTGTGGTTAATGGGGGAGGGGCTAAAGGAAAAGGGGGAGGGGCTAAAGGGGGAGGGGCTAAAAGGAAAAGGGAGGGGCTAAAATGGGTGGTGTTGATGGGGGAGGGGCTAAATAGGGTGAGGTTAATGGGGAGGGGCTAAAGGGGGTGGGGCAAATTGCGGGCCTGACCTCATCGCGGCAGCCAATAGGAGCCGCCCTGCCGGCGAATCAGCCAATGGGAGAGCCCAACAGGGGATTTTTTTCAGACGGTCCCGAGATGGAGGCGGAGCCAGAGGAGGGGGCTGGGCCGGGGGTGGTGCTGGTGCCCGAGGGGGCGGAGTCAGCGCAGCTGCGCTGCCGCGCTCGGGGCGTGCCGGGGGTGGAGCTGAGCTGGGAGAGGAACGGGCGGAGCCTCGGCGCTGGGGAGCCGGGGTGAGGCACTGGGATGGACTGGTTTGTACTGGGAGGGGATTGGGGGGGATTGGAGGGACTGGGAGGGACTGGGGGGGACTGGAGGGGATTGGGAGGGGCTTGGAGGGGACTGGGAGGGGATTGGAGGGGACTGGGAGGGACTGGGAATGACTGGGAGGGAATTGGGATGGACTGGGAGGGACTGGGATATACTGGGAGGGAACTGGGAGGGAACCGGGGTGAGGCACTGGGATGGACTGGTTTGTACTGGGAGGGACTGGGAGGGGATTGGAGGGGACTGGGAGGGGCTGGGAGGGAACTGGGAGGGGATTGGGGGGGACTGGGAGGGACTGGGAGGGAATTGGGAGGGACTGGGATGGACTGGGATATACTGGGAGGGAACTGGGAGGGGATTGGAGGGGATTGGGAGGGAACTGGGAGGGACTGGGAGGGAACTGGGATTTCTCCCAGTTGCCTGCGGCCCATCCCAGTTCATGCCAGTATGGCCCAGTTTGATCAACTGACCACAAATCACTTCAGTCCCTCCCAGTTCCCTCCCAGTCTCTCCCAGTCCTTCCCAGTTCCCTCCCAGTATAATCCAATCCCCTCCCAGTCCTTCCCAGTTCCCTCCCAGTTCCTCCCAGTCCATCCCAATCCTCTCCCAGTCCCTCCCAGTATAAACCAGTCCCTCCCAGTTCCCTCCCAGTCCCTCCCAGTCCCTCCCAGTCCCTCCCGGTCCCTCCCAGTTCCCTCCCAGTCCCTCCCAGTCCCTCCCAGTATATCCCAGTTCCCCCCAATTCCCTCCCAGTTCCCTCCCAGTCCCTCCCAGTCCCTCCCAGTCCCTCCCAGTCCCTCCCAGTTCCCTCCCAGTCCCTCCCAGTTTGTCCCAATCCCCTCCCAGTATAAACCAGTATCCCCAAATCCCCTCCCAGTCCCTCCCAATCCCTCCCAGTTCCCTCCCAGTCCATCCCAGTTCCATCCCAGTATAAACCAGTAACCCCAAACCCCATTTTTACCCTTCCCAGTCCCTCCCAGTCCCTCCCAGTCCCTCCCCATCCCTCCCAGTCCCTCCCAGTTCCTCCCAGTCCCTCCCAGTTCCCTCCCAGTTCCCTCCCAGTTCCCTCCCAGTCCTTCCCAGTCCCTCCCAGTCCCCTCCCAGTCCCTCCCAGTCCCTCCCAGTATAAACCAGTCCCTCCCAATCCTCTCCCAGTCCCTCCCAGTCCCTCCCAGTCCCTGCCAGTTCCTTCCCAGTCCCTCCCAGTCCCTCCCAGTTCCCTCCCAGTATAAACCAGTTCCCTCCCAGTCCCTCCCAGTCCCTCCCAGTTCCTCCCAGTTCCCTCCCAGTCCCTCCCAGTCCCCTCCAAGTCCCTCCCAGTCCCTCCCAATCCCCTTCCAGTCCATCCCAGTCCTTCCCAATCCCCTCCCAGTCCATTCCAGTCCCTCCCAGTGTAAACCAGTTCTCTCCCAGTCCCTCCCAGTTCCATCCCAGTTCAGCCCAGTTCCATCCCAGTATAAACCAGTAACCCCAAACCCCCTCCCAGTCCCTCCCAGTCCCTCCCAGTATAAACGAGTTCCCCCCCAATCCCCTCCCATCCCTCCCAGTCCCTCCCAGTTCCCTCCCAGTTCCCTCCCAGTATAAACCAGACCCTCCCAGTATAACCCAGCCTCACCCCACTCTCCCCAAACTGGTCCCAGTTCGCCGTTCCGGGAGCTCCAGTGGCGCGAGGGGCCCTGGAGCAGCTCCGTGCTCAGCGTGGCCAACCTCAGCGAGTCCCGCGCCCGCCTGCGCCGCCTCTTCCACCAGTCCCACCAGTCCCACCAGTCCTCCCAGTCCTCCCAGTCCCCCCGGCCTCGTTACCGCTACCAGAACGTTCCGGCGGCGCCGCCGGACTGGGAGAACTGGGAGAACTGGGAGGGCGGAAACGGAACCATCGGAGTCTTCGAGTGCGTGGCCAAAAATGAGCGGGGGAGGGCACGGAGGAGAGTGAGGCTGCGGCTGGGGGGTGAGGATGGGACTGGTTTATACTGGGAGGGACTGGGATATACTGGGAGGGACTGGGAGGGACTGGGAGGGACTGGGAGGGACTGGGAGGGAACTGGGAGCAGATTGGGAGGGACTGGAATGGACTGAAAGAGGATTGGGAGGGACTGGGAGGGGACTGGGTTATACTGGGAGGAACTGGGAGGGGATTGGGAGGGACTGGGATATACTGGGAGGGACTGGGAGGGACTGGGAGGGGACTGGGAGGGAACTGGTTTATACTGGGAGGGAATTGGGAGGGACTGGGACATACTGGGAGGGACTGGGAGGGACTGGGAGGGAACTGGGAGGGACTGGGAGGGAACTGGTTTATACTGGGAGGGAATTGGGAGGGACTGGGGGGAACTGGGATGGACTGTGATGGACTGGGAGGGACTGGGCGGGACTGGAAGGGGAACTGGGAGGGAACTGGTTTATACTGGGATGAACTGGGAGGGACTGGGAGGGAACTGGTTTATACTGGGAGGGACTGGGAGGGACTGGAAGGGACTGGGAGGGAACCTGGAACGAGTGGGATGAACTGGGATTGACTGGGAGGGGAATGGGAGAGGTTAAAAAGCGGATTTGGGGTTACTGGTTTATACTGGGAGGGACTGGGAGGGTACTGGGAGGGGATCGGGAGGGTCTGGTGGGTACTGGGATCACCCTGGGATCATACTGGGAGCACTGGGATCATACTGGGAGCACTGGGATCATACTGGGAGCAGTTTGAGGATTAGTGGGACGACACTGGGGATCAAACTGGGAGAACTGGGATCAAACTGGGACCAAACTGGGATCACTGGGATCAAACTGGTCTCAAACTGGTCTCAAACTGGTCCCGCTCCCCCCCAGACCGGCCGGACCCCCCCCGGGCCCTGCGGCTCTCGGGGGTCTCGGGGACGTCCCTGAGCCTGACGTGGGAGCCGGGATTCGATGGCGGCCTCCCCCAGCACTTCCTGTTGCGGTGAGCGCCGCTTCCGGGTGGGCGTGACGTCACTTCCTCCCAGCCCCACGCACACTTCCTGTCCCTTAACGCGTTCCCTGCGACACTTCCTGTCTGTCCACCTCGATTTCCGGTTCTCTTGTGTCACTTCCTGTCCGCCCAAACTGACTTCCTGTTCCTTAATTCGTTCCCTGTGACACTTCCTGTCTGTCCACATCAATTTCCGGTTCTCTGGTGTCACTTCCTGTTTGCTGACGCGGACTTCCTGTTGTTTAAAGCAGTCCCCAAGTCACTTCCTGTCTATCCATCCCAACTTCCTGTTGTCTTGTGTCACTTCCTGTCCGCCCAAACTGACTTCCTGTCCCTTAACGCGCTCCCTGTGACACTTCCTGTCTGTCCGCCCCGATTTCCGGTTCTCTGGTGTCACTTCCTGTTTGCTGACGCGGACTTCCTGTTGTTTAAAGCAGTCCTTGACTCACTTCCGGTCTATTCATCCCAACTTCCTGTTGTCTTGTGTCACTTCCTGTCTGCCCAAACTGACTTCCTGTTCCTTATCTCACTCCGTGTAACACTTCCTGTCTGTCCGCCCCGATTTCCGGTTCTCTTGTGTCACTTCCTGTCCGCCCAAACTGACTTCCTGTTCCTTAATGCGCTCCCTGCGACACTTCCTGTCTGTCCGCCCCAATTTCCGGTTCTCTGAGGTCACTTCCTGTTTGCCGATGCGGACTTCCTGTTGTTTAAAGCCGTCTCCGAGTCACTTCCGGTCTATCCATGCCAACTTCCTGTTGTCTTGTGTCACTTCCTGTCTGCCCAAACTGACTTCCTGTTCCTTATCTCGCTCCATGTGACACTTCCTGTCTGTCCACCTCAATTTCCGGTTCTCTGGTGTCACTTCCTGTTTGCTGACGCGGATTTCCTGTGGTTTAAAGCGGTCCCCGAGTCACTTCCGGTCTATTCATCCCAACTTCCTGTTGTCTTGTGTCACTTCCTGTCCGCCCAAACTGACTTCCTGTTCCTTAATGCGCTCCCTGTGACACTTCCTGTGTGTCCACCTCAATTTCCGGTTCTCTGGTGTCACTTCCTGTTCTCCCAAACCGACTTCCTGTTCCTTATCTCGCTCCCTGTGACACTTCCTGTCTGTCCGCCCCAATTTCCGGTTCTCTGAGGTCACTTCCTGTTTGCCGATGCGGACTTCTTGTTGTTTAAAGCCGTCTCCGAGTCACTTCCGGTCTATCCATGCCAACTTCCTGTTGTCTTGTGTCACTTCCTGTCTGCCCAAACTGACTTCCTGTTCCTTATCTCACTCCCTGTGACACTTCCTGTCTGTCCAAAATTCCGGTTCTCTGAGGTCACTTCCTTTTTACCGACGCGGACTTCCTGTTGTTTAAAGAAGTCTCCGAGTCACTTCCTGTCTATCCATCCCAACTTCCTGTTGTCTTGTGTTACTTCCTGTCCGCCCAAACTGACTTCCTGTTCCTTATCTCGCTTCCTGTGACACTTCCTGTCAGTCCATTATAACTTCCTGTTCTCTTGTGTCACTTCCTGTCTGCCCAAACTGACTTCCTGTTCCTTTATGAGCTTCTTGTGACACTTCCTGTCTATCCATGCCAACTTCCTGTTCTCTTGTGTCACTTCCTGTCCACCCAAACTGACTTCCTGTTCCTTAACGTGTTCCCTGCGACACTTCCTGTTTATCCACCATGATTTCCGTTTTTCTGGTGTCACTTCCTGTTTGCCGACGCGGACTTCCTGTTGTTTAAAGCAGTCCCGGAGTCACTTCTGGTCTATCCATGCCAACTTCCTGTTGTCTTGTGTCACTTCCTGTCCGCCCAAACGGACTTCCTGTTCCTTATCTCACTCCCTGTGACACTTCCTGTCTGTCCAAAATTCCGGTTCTCTGAGGTCACTTCCTTTTTACCGACGCGGACTTCCTGTTGTTTAAAGAAGTCTCCGAGTCACTTCCTGTCTATCCATCCCAACTTCCTGTTGTCTTGTGTTACTTCCTGTCCGCCCAAACTGACTTCCTGTTCCTTATCTCGCTTCCTGTGACACTTCCTGTCTGTCCATGCCAACTTCCTGTTCTCTTGTGTCACTTCCTGTTCTCCCAAACTGACTTCCTGTTCCTTATCTCACTCCCCGTGACACTTCCTGTCAGTCCACCCCAATTTCCGGTTCTCTTGTGTCACTTCCTGTCCGATCGTGTCAACTTTGGATTCTCTGATGTCATTTCCGGGCCTCTCCCATCAACTTCTTCTTTCCTGACTTCACTTCCTGTCTGCACCCGCCAACTTTTGGTTTGAGTCACTTCCTGTCTGTTCACACCAACTTTAGGTTTGAGTCACTTCCTGTCTTCACCAACTTCCGGTTTGAGTCACTTCCTGTCTGCTCACACCAACTTCCGGTTTGAGTGACTTCCTGTCTGCCTTTACTAACTTCCGGTTTGAGTCACTTCCTGTCTGCCCACACCAACTTCCGCTTTGAGTCACTTCCTGTCTCTCTTTACCAATTTCTGGTTTGAGTCACTTCCTGTCTGTCTTTACCATATTCCGGTTTACGTCACTTCCTGTCTGTCTTTACCAACTTCTGGTTTGAGTCACTTCCTGTCTGCCCTCACCATATTCCGGTTTTAGTCACTTCCTGTATGTCCTCACCAACTTCCGGTTTGAGTCACTTCCTGTGTGCCTTTACCAACTTCCTGTTTGAGTCACTTCCTGTCTGCCGACACCAACTTCCGGTTTTAGTCACTTCCTGTCTGTCTTTACTAACTTCTGGTTTGAGTCACTTCCTGTCTGTCTTTACCAACTTTCGGTTTGAGTCACTTCCTGTCTGCTCAAACCAACTTCCGGTTTTAGTCACTTCCTGTCTGTCTTTACCAACTTCTGGTTTGAATCACTTCCTGTCTTTACCAGCTTCCTGTTTGAGTCACTTCCTATCTGCCCACACCAACTTCCTGTTCGCTCGCGTCACTTCCCCCCAATTTCCGCTTCCTTTCCTGGTTTCCCTCCAGGCCCCGCCCACTTTTCCTTACCCCTCCCCCTGGCCACGCCCCCCTCACTTCCTGCCCCTCCCCCGCAGCGCCGCCGGTCCCGGTGCCCCTCCCCCGCCCGCCGCCCTTGTCACTTCCGGTTGGTCGCTGACGCTGGGCGGGCTCCGCCCGGCCACGCCCTATGACGTCACTGTCCGTGCCCGGAACGGCCGCGGGGACAGCGCCCCCGCCCGGCTGCGCGCCGCCACTTCCGGTACCGGAAATGGGCCCCGAGGGAGGGGGCGGGGCCTGAGGGTGACAAAATGGCCGCCAGGGAGGCCAAATGGCCGCCGGGAGACAAAATGGCCGCCGGGAGACAAAATGGCCGCCTGGGAGGCAAAATGGCCGCCGGGAGACAAAATGGCCGCCTGGGAGGCAAAATGGCCGCCGGGAGACAAAATGGCGGCCGGGAGGCAAAATGGCCGCCGGGGAGGCAAAATGGCCGCCGGGAGACAAAATGGCCCCCGGGGAGGCAAAATGGCCGCTGGGAGACAAAATGGCCGCCGGGGAGACAAAATGGCCGCTGGGAGACAAAATGGCCACCGGGGAGGCAAAATGGCCGCCGGGGAGGCAAAATGGCCGCCGGGAGGAAAAATGGCCGCTGGGGAGGCAAAATGGCCGCCGGGAGACAAAATGGCCGCCGGGAGACAAAATGGCCGCCGGGAGACAAAATGGCCACCGGGAGACAAAATGGCCGCCGGGGAGACAAAATGGCCGCCTGGGAGACAAAATGGCCGCCGGGAGGCAAAATGGCCGCCGGGAGGCAAAATGGCCGCCTGGAGGCAAAATGGCCGCCGGGAGACAAAATGGCCGCCGGGAGACAAAATGGCCGCCGGGAGACAAAATGGCCGCTGGGGAGATAAAATGGCCGCTGGGGAGATAAAATGGCCGCCGGGGAGGCAAAATGGCCGCCGGGAGGCAAAATGGCCGCCGGGGAGGCAAAATGGCCGCCGGGGAGACAAAATGGCCGCCGGGGAGGCAAAATGGCCGCGGGGAGACAAAATGGCCGCCGGGAGGCAAAATGGCCGCCGGGAGGCAAAATGGCCGCCGGGGAGACAAAATGGCCGCCGGGAGACAAAATGGCCGCCGGAAGCGGCGCTGGGAGGGGAGTTCCGGGTCTTGAGATGGAAGTTGGGAGGTGGAGGGTGGGGAAACAGGAAGTGGGTGGGGAAGGAGGAAGTGGGTGGGAGAAACAGGAAGTGGGTGGGAAAAACAGGAAGTGGGGGAAAAAATAAGGAAGTCGGTGGGAGAAACAGGAAGTGGGTGGGGAAAACAGGAAGTGGGGGGGAAAAACAGGAAGTGGGTGGGGAAATACAAAGTGGGTGGGGAAAACTGGAAGTGGATGGGGAAAACCGGGAGTGGGTGGGAAAATAGGAAGTGAGTGGGAAAAACAGGAAGTGGGTGGGAGAAACAGGAAGTAGATGGGGAAAACCGGAACTGGATTTGGGAAATCTCGGAAGTGGATGAAGAAATAGGAAGTGAGTGGCAAAAACTGGAAGTGGATGGGGAAAACCGGAAGTGGATGGGGAAAACGAGGAAAGGGCAGCAAAAACTGGAAGTGGATGTGAGAAAACCCGGAAGTGGGTGGGAAAACAGGAAGTGAGTGCCGAAAACTGGAAGTAGATGGGGAAAAACAGGAATGGGTAACGAAAACTGGAAGTGGATGTGAGAAAACCCGGAAGTGGGTTGGGAAATAGGAAGTGGGTGGGAAAAACAGGAAGTGGGTGGGAAAAACCTGAAAGTGGGTGGGAGAAACAGGAAGTGGATGGGGAAAACCGAAAGTGGATGGGGAAAAACAGGAAGTGGGTAGGAAAAACAGGAAGTAGGTGGGTGAAACAGGAAGTGGATGGGGAAAACCGAAAGTAGATGGAGAAAACAGGAAGTGGATGGGGAAAACCGGTAAAGGGGAGGAAAAACTGGACGTGGATGTGAGAAAACCCGGAAGTGGGTTGGGAAAAACTGGAAGAAGGTGCGAAAAACAGGAAGTGGGGGAAAAAAATAAGGAAGTGGGTGGGGAAAAGTGGAAGTGGGTGGGAAAAACAGGAAGTGGATGGGAGAAACAGGAAGTGGGTGAGAAAAAACAGGAAGTGGGTGTAAAAAAACAGGAAGTGGGTGGGTAAAACCGGAAGTGGGTGAAGAAAACCAGAAGTGACGAACTTTTTTCCCCCCCCAGCCCCGCCCTCGGCCCCGCCCCCTCGGCAGGAGGAGCCCGAGCAGCCCCAGGGGGGCGTGGCCGAGGGGGGCGGAGCCCCGCCCGCCCTGCTGGGGGCGCTGTGCGCGCTCGGGGGGCTCCTCCTGCCCGCCCTGGGGGCGGGGCTCTGCTGCCGCTGCCACTTCCGGTTCCGCTGGGGGCGGGGCCGGAAACCCGCGGAGGGGGCGGAGACGGTGAGGGGGGAGGGGCGGGTTTGGGTGGGGGAGGGGCAGTTTTTGGGGGGCTCAGTCATTTCGAGGGTGGGGGAGGGGTTGATTTGGAGTGGGGGAGGGGCAGTTTGGGGTGGGGGAGGGGCGATGGAAGGTGGTTGAGGGGCAGATTTGGGGTGGCGGAGGGGCAGGTTTGGGGTGGGGGAGGGGCAGATTCAGGGTGGGGGAGGGGCGATGGAAGGTGGTTGAGGGGCAGATTTGGGGTGGGGGATGGGCGGATTTTGGGTGGGGGAGGGGCTGAATTGGGGTGGGGGAGGGGCAGTTTTGGGAGCTCAGTCATTTGGGGGGTGGGGGAGGGGTTGATTTGTGGTGGGGGAGGGGTTGATTTGGGCTGGGGGAGGGGTGGATTTGAGGTGGGGGAGGGGCAGTTTGAAGAGTGGGGGAGGGGCTCTCCATGACCCCTTCGTGACCCCTTCGTGACCCCTCCCCCCCCCCGCCCCTCCCCCACCCCCAGCCCAGTTCCGGAAGTTCCCGGGGCCCTTCCGGCTTTGGCTCCGCCCCCAAAGGTGAGTGGGGGAGGGGAGGGGGGATGGGTGGGGGGAGGGGCCTGTGCCCATCCCCCACCCCTCACCTGCCGCCCCTCCCCCCCTTTAGGGGCGGAGCTGCACCTGTACGAGGAGGTGGAGCCGTGGGGGGAGGGGCAGGAGGTGAGGGGGGGGAGGGGATTTGGGGGTGGGGGAGGGGATTTCGGGGTGGGGGAGGGGATTTAGGGGTGGGGGAGGGGATTTGGGGGTGGGGGAGGGGATTTGGGGGTGGGGGAGGGGATTTGGGGGTGGGGGAGGAGATTGAGGGGGTGGGGGAGGGGCAATTAAAGGTGGGGGAGGGGCAAAAAGCCGTTTTGGCCCCTCCCCCACCCTTTGCCCCTCTCCCATAGGTGACCCCGGAACCTCTTGTGACCCCGGAAGGGGAATTGGTCTAAAAGGGGGCGTGGCCTCCCTAAAAGCCACGCCCACAAATAAACCACGCCCCTTTTCCAGTTTTAATCATTATTTTCCAGTCCGTTTTTATCGTTTTTATTTTATTTTAATTTTATTTTATTTTATTTTTATTTAATTTGTCGGTTTTATTAATTAATGCCGCCCTGGCCACGCCCCTCCCGTGGGCGGAGCCTCGGAGCGGCCGAGGGGCGTGGCCTCCCCGCGGCCGCCTCTGATTGGTCGCTGCTCCGTCGGTGGGCGGAGCTTCCCGTCAGCCCCGCCCCTTCCACCCCATTGGCTGCGGAGGCGGAAGTGGGCGGGGCTTGGGAGGCGGTGCCTGAAAAGGGGCGTGGCCAGAGGAGCCAAAATTGGGGATTTTTTTACAGCCGAAAGCCCCAAAATTGGGGAATTTTGGACCCTTGGGACCCCAAAAATTCACCCAGGACCCCCAAAATTTGGGAATTTTCCCCCTGGACCCCCCAAAATTTGGGAATTTCCACCCAGGACCCGCCAAAATCCCCCCAGGGACCCAAAAATTTGGGAATTCCCACCCAGGACCCCCAAAATTTGGGAATTTCCCACCCAGGACCCCCCAAAATCCCCCCAGGGACCCCAAAATTTGGGAATTCCCACCCAGGACCCCCCAAAATCCCCCCAGGGACCCCAAAATTTGGGAATTTTTCCCCCTGGACCCCCCAAAATTTGGGAATTCCCACCCAGGATCCCCCAAAATCCCTCCAGGGACCCCAAAATTTGGGAATTCCCACCCAGGACCCCCCAAAATCCCCCCAGGGACCCCAAAATTTGGGAATTTTTCCCGTGGACCCCCCAAAATTTGGGAATTCCCACCCAGGAACCCCCAAAATCCCCCCAGGGACCCCAAAATTTGGGAATTTTTTCCCTGGACCCCCCAAAATTTGGGAATTCCCACCCAGGACCCCCCAAAATTTGGGAATTTTTCCCCTGGACCCCCCAAAATCGCCCCAGGGACCCCAAAATTTGGGAATTTCCCACCCAGGACCCCCCAAAATCCGCCCAGGGGCCCCAAAATTTGGGAATTCCCACCCAGGGCCCCCCAAAATTTGGGAATTCCCACCCAGGACCCCCCAAAATTCCCCCAATGACCCCAAAATTTGGGAATTCCCACTCAGGACCCCCCAAAATTTGGGAATTTCCCACTCAGGACCCCCCAAAATCCCCCCAGGGGCCCCAAAATTTGGGAATTCTCACCCAGGACCCCCCAAAATTTGGGAATTCCCACCCAGGAACCCCCAAAATCCCCCCAGGGACCCCAAAATTTGGGAATTTTTTCCCAGGACTCCCCAAAATTTGGGACTTCCCACCCAGGACCCCCCAAAATCCCCCCAGGGACCCCAAAATTTGGGAATTCCCACCCAGGACCCCCCAAAATTTGGGAATTCCCAACCTGGACCCCCCAAAATCCCCCCAGGGACCCCAAAATTTGGGAATTCCCACCCAGGACCCCCCAAAATTTGGGAATTCCCACCCAGGACCCCCCAAAATTTGGGAATTTTTCCCCAGGACCCCCCAAAATCCCTCCAGGACTCCCCAAAATTTGGGAATTCCCACCCAGGACCCCCCAAAATTTGGGAATTCCCACCCAGGACCCCCCAAAATCCCACCAGGGACCCCAAAATTTGGGAATTTTTCACCCTGGACCCCCCAAAATTTGGGAATTTTCCCCCAGGACCCCCCAAAATTTGGGAATTTTTCCCCAGGATCCCCAAAAATCGCCCCAGGGACCCCAAAATTTGGGAATTCCCACCCAGGACCCCCCAAAATTTGGGAATTTCCCACCCAGGACTCCCCAAAATCCCCCAAGGGACCCCAAAATTTGGGAATTCCCACCCAGGACCCCCCAAAATTTGGGAATTCCCACCCAGGACCCCCCAAAATCCCCCCAGGGACCCCAAAATTTGGGAATTCCCACCCAGGACCCCCCAAAATTTGGGAATTTTCCCCCTGGACCCCCCAAAATTGGGGAATTCCCACCCAGGATCCCCCAAAATCCCCCCAGGGACCCCAAAATTTGGGAATTCCTACCCAGGACCCCCCAAAATCCCCCCAGGGACCCCAAATTTTGGGAATTTTTCCCCAGGAAACCCCAAAATCCCCCCAGGACCCCCCAAAATTTGGGAATTCCCACCCAGGACCCCCCAAAATTCCCCCAGGGACCCCCAAAATTTGGGAATTTTTCCTCAGGACCCCCCAAAATCCCCCCAGGGACCCCAAAATTTGGGAATTTTTCTCCTGGACCCCCTAAAATTTGGGAATTTTTCCCCAGGACCCCCCAAAATCCCCTCAGGGACCCCAAAATTTGGGAATTTTTCCCCCAGGACCCCCCAAAATTTGGGAATTCCCACCCAGGATCCCCCAAAATACCCCCGAAACTCCCCAAATTTGGGCCTCACCGTGGGGGGGGTCCCGGGGGGATTTTGGGGGGTCCTGGGGGGGTCTCGAGGCTTTTCCCCGCAGGATGTCGATCACCTGGGGGGAGGGGTGGGCTCAGACACCCCAAAATCCCAAAATTTCACCCAAAATCCCCCCAAATTTTCACCCAAAATCCCCCCAAAATTTCACCCAAAATCCCAAAAATCCTCAAAATTTAACCCGAACTCTCCAAAATCCTCAAAATTTCACCATAAATCCCCCCAAAATTTAGCCCAAAATCTAAAAAAATCCTCAAATTTCAACCAAAAATCCCAACATTTCACCCAAAATCCCAAAAGTCCTCAAAACTTAACCCGAAATACCCAAAATCCTCAAAATTTCACCCAAAAATCCCCACAAAATTTCACCCAAAATCCCAAAAATCCTCAAAACTTGACCTGAACTCTCCAAAATCCTCAAAATTTCACCCAAAATCCCCCCAAACTTTAACCCAAATTCCCCAAAAATCCACACAATTTAATGCCAAATTTTCCCCCCAAAATCCCCAAAAATCTCAAAAATTCCCCAAAAATCCCCCAAAAAATTAAATTTATTCCCTAAGAAATCCCATTTAAACGCCAAAAATCCCAAAAAAATCCCATTTAAACCCCAAATAATCCCAAAAAATTCCCGAAATTCCCAAAATTTCCTCACCTGAGCACTCACTGCGGCCTCATCATGCCCATTTGTGAGCCCAAAAATCCCCAAAAAATTCAATTTATTCCCCAAAAAATCCCATTTAAACGCCAAAAATCGCTAAAAAATCCCATTTAAATCCCAAATAATTCCCAAAATCCCCAAAATTTCAGGCTGGCCTCACCTGCAGCATCATCGTGCCCTTTTGGTAAGCCCAAAAATCCCCCAAAAATTCAATTTATTCCCCAAAAAATCCCATTTAAATGCCAAAAATCGCTAAAAAATCCAAAAAAATTCCGAAATAATTCCCAAAATTCCCGAATTTCCCAAAATTTCCTCACCTGAGCGCTCGCTGTGACCTCATTGTGCCCATTTGTGAGCCCAAAAATTCAATTTATTCCCCAAAAAATCCCATTTTAACACCAAAAATCGCCAAAAAATCCCATTTAAACCCGAAAAAAACCCAAAAAATTCCCAAATAATTCCCAAAATTCCCCAAATTTCACTCTGGCCTCACCCGAGCCCTCAATGTTTTGTCATTGTGCCCATTGGGAGCCCAAAAATCCCCCAAAAATTCAATTTATTCCCCAAAAAATCCCATTTAAACGCCAAAAATCGCTAAAAAATCCCATTTAAATCCCAAAAATCCCAAAAATCCCAAATAATTCCCAAAAAAACCCCAAAATTCCCCAAATTTCGGCTGGCCTCACCTCAGTGTTCACTGTGGAGTCATCGTGCCCATTTAGGAGCCCAAAAATCCCCCAAAAATTCAATTTATTCCCCAAAAAATCCCATTTAAACGCCAAAAATCGCTAAAAAATCCCATTTAAACCCCCCAAACCCCCCAAAAATCCCAAATAATTCCCAAAAAATTCCCAAAAAATCCCCAAAATTCCCAAAATTTCGCTCACCTGGGCGCTGGCGGCCACGCCGGCGGCGGTGTCGTTGTGCCCAAAAATCCCCAAAAATTCAATTTATTACCCAAAAAATCCCATTTAAACGCCAAAAATCCCAAATAATTCCCAAATAATTCCCAAAATCCCCCAAATTTCGGTCTGACCTCACCTAAGCCCTTGATGCCGTGTCATCGGGCTCATTTGTGACCCATAAATCCCCCAAAAATTCAATTTATTCCCTAAAAAATCCCATTTAAACGCCAAAAATCGCTAAAAAATCCCATTTAAACCCCAAATAATTCCCAAATAATTCCCAAAATCCCCAAAATTTCGGTCTGGCCTCACCCGAGTGTTGCTGCACCATCATCGTGCCCATTTAGGAGCCCAAAAATCCCCCAAAAATTCAATTTATTCCCAAAAAATCCCATTTAAACGCCAAAAATCGCTACAAAATCCCAAAAAATTCCCAAATAATTCCCAAATAATTCCCAAAATTCCCAAATTTTGGGCTGGCCTCACCTGAGCACTCACTGTGGTGTCATTGTGCCCATTTGTGAACCCAAAAATCCCCCAAAAATTCAATTTATTCCCCAAAAAATCCCATTTAAACCCCCCAAACCCCCCAAAAATCCCAAATAATTCCCAAAAAATTCCCGAAATTCCCAAATTTCGGCCTCACCTGGGCGCTGGCGGCCACGCCGGCGGCGGTGTCGTTGTGCCCAAAAATCCCCCAAAATTCAATTTATTACCCAAAAAATCCCATTTAAACGCCAAAAATCCCAAAAAATCCCAAATAAATCCCAAAATTTTCCAAATTTTGGTCTGACCTCACCTAAGCCCTTGATGCCGTGTCATCGGGCTCATTTGTGATCCCAAAAATGCCCCAAAAATTCAATTTATTCCCCAAAAAATCCCATTTTAACGCCAAAAATCGCCAAAAAATCCAATTTAAACCTCCAAAAATCGCTAAAAAATCCCATTTAAACCCCCAAAAATCGCTAAAAAATCCCATTTAAACCCCCAAGAATCGTAAAAAATCCCATTTAATCCCATTTAAACCCCAAAAAATTCCCAAATAATTCCCAAAATTCCCAAATTTTGGCCTCACCTGGGCGCTGGCGGCCACGCCGGCGGCGGTGTCGTTGTGCCCATTTAGGAGCCCAAAAATCCCCCAAAAACTCAATTTATTCCCCAAAAAATCCCATTTTAACGCCAAAAATCGCTAAAAAATCCCATTTAAACCCCCAAAATCCCAAATAATTCCGAAAATCCCCCAAATTTTTGGCTGACCTCACCTGGGCGCTGGCTGTGGTGTCATCGTGCCCATTTAGGAGCCCAAAAATCCCCCAAAAATTCAATTTATTCCTCAAAAAATCCCATTTAAACGCCAAAAATGGCTAAAAAATCCCATTTAAACCCCAAAAATCCCAAATAATTCCCAAAATTTCAGGCTGGCCTCACCTGCAGCATCATCGTGCCCATTTGTGAACCCAAAAATCCCCCAAAAATTCAATTTATTCCTCAAAAAATCCCATTTTAATGCCAAAAATCGCTAAAAAATCCCATTTAAATTCCCAAAAATCGTAAAAAATCCAATTTAATCCCTCCAAAATCCCAAAAAATTCCCAAAAAATCCCCAAAATCCCCAAATTTTGGCTCACCTGGGCGCTGGCGGCCACGCCGGCGGCGGTGTCGTTGTGCAGGTTGCGCAGGCCGCAGTCGGCGCCGCAGCGCAGCAAAAGCCGCAGCAGCCGCAGCAGCCCCCGGCCCGCGGCCGCGTGCAGCGCCGTGCAGCCGGCGTAGGACTGCGCGTTCACGCTGGCGCCGTGCTGGAAAGCCAAAAATTTTGGGTTAGGGGAACGCCAAAATCCCATGGGAACCAAAAATCCCCAAAATCCCATAAAATTCCCCAAAAAATCCCATTAAATTCCTCAAAATTCCCATAAAATTCCACCAAAAATTGCAAAAAACCCCACAAAAATACCATGAAATAGTCCCAAAAACCCCGAGGTCCACAAATCCCAAAAAATCATCCCAAAAATCCCTCAAATCCCCAAAATTCCAAAACGTTATCCCAAAACTCCTATAAAATCCCCCAAAAATCCCATTAAGTCCCCAAAACCCCAAAAAATTCCCATAAAATTTGTAACAAACGCGTGGAACCCCCAGGAACCAAAAACCCCCAAAATGACCCAAAAATCCCATCAGATTCCACCAAAAATTGCAAAAAAACCCATAAAAATCCCATTAAATATCCCTAAAAAATCTGGAAAATCATCCCAATAAGCCTAAAAATCACCCCAAAAATCCCCCAAATCCCTTCAAATCCCCAAAAATCCCATTGAATTCAAAAAAAAAAAATCCCAGAAAATTCCCATGAAATCCCCCCAAAAATCACCCCAAAAATCCCAAAATCCCCACAAATGACCCCAGAATCCCCGTAGGACTGCGCGTTCACGCTGGCACCGTGCTGGGAATCCGAAATTTGGGGTCAGGGGAACCCCAAAATTGGATCCGTCGCAACCCAAAACCCCCAGGAACCAAAAAGCCCCAAAATGACTCAAAATCCCCCAAAATGACTCAAAATTCCCATAAAATTCCTCAAAAATCCCATCAAATTCTACCAAAATCCCATCAAATTCTACCAAAATCCCATCAAATTCCTCAACATTCCCATCAAATTCCCCCAAAAATCCCATCAAATTCCATCAAAAATTGCAAAAAACCCCATAAAAATCCAATTAAATGACCCCAAAAATCTGAAAAATCACCCCAATAATCCCAAAATTCCAACAAAAGAAATCCCAGAAAATTCCCATGAAATCCCCCCAAAAATCCCCAAAATCCCCCCAAAATTCCAAAAATTTCCCCAAAACTCTCCCAAAATCCCAGAAAATCCCCAAAATCCCATCGAATTCCAATAAAAGAAATCCCAGAGAATTCCCACAAAATCCCCCCAAAAATCCCATAAATATCCCCAAAATCACCTCAAAATCCCAAAATCCCCACAAATGACCCCAGAATCCCCGTAGGACTGCGCGTTCACGCTGGCGCCGTGCTGGGAATACGAAATTTTGGGGGTCAGGGGAACCCCGAAATCCCACGGGAACCCCAAAATTGGATCCGCCGCACCCCAAAACCCCCAGGAACCAAAATGACCCAAAATCCCCCAAAATGACTCAAAATTCCCATAAAATTGGCCAAAATTCCCATAAAATTCCCCAAAATCCCATCAAATTCCTCAAAAATCCCAAAAATTCCCACAAAAACCCATAAAATTCCCCCAAAATCCCATAAAATTCCTCCAAAAATTGCATAAAAATTCAATAAAAATCCTATTAAATATCCCCAAAATTCCCATCAAATTCCCCAAAAATCACAAAAAAAATCCCATGACATATCCCACAAAAATCTGAAAAATCGCCCCAAAAAACCCAAAAATCACCCCAAAATCAGATCCGCCGCACCCCAAAACCCCCAGGAACCAAAATCCCCCAAAATGACTCAAAATTCCCATCAAATTCCTCAAAAATCCCATTAAATTCACCAAAATTCCCATTAAATTCCTCAAAATTCCCATAAAATTCCGCCAAAAATCGGAAAAAAATTCAATAAAAATCCCATTAAATATCCCCAAAATTCCCATCAAATTCACCAGAAACTCCATCAAATTCCAGCAAAAATCACAAAAAAAGTCAATAAAAATCCCATTAAATATCCCCAAAATTCCCATCAAATTCCCCAAAATCCCATCAAATTCCTCCAAAAATCGCCAAAAAACCCCCATAAAAATCCCATGAAATATCCCCAAAATTCCCCAAAATTCCCATCAAATTCCACCTAAAATTGAAAAAAAAACCATAAAAATCCCCTTAAATAGCCCCAAAAACCCAGAGGTCCACAAATCCCTAAAAGACCCCAAAAATCACCCCAATAAACCCAAAAATCCCCAAAAAACCCCAAAATCCCTCAAAATCCCCCAAAATTCCCCAAAATTCCCAAAATACCCCGAATTCCCTCCAAATCGTCCCAAAATCCCCCCAAATCCACCCAGATTCCCAAAAATCCCCAAATTCCTTCCAAAATCCCCTCAAAATCCCCCAAAATTCCCAAAGTCCCCCCAAATCCACCCAAATTCTCAATAAATCCCCAGAAATTCCCCCCAAAAAATCCCAAAAATTCCCCAAAACCCATCAAAATTCCCTCAAAATCCCCCCAAATTCCCCCAAAAAGTCCCAAAATCCCCCCAAATCCCAAAAAATTCCCCCAAAATTCCCAAAAATCCCCAAATTCCCCCCAAAATCCCCTCAAAATCCTCACAAATCCCCCCAGAATTCCCAAAATTCCCAAAATATTTCCAAATCCACCCAAATTCCCAAAAAATGCCCAGAAATTCCAAAAAAAATCCCAAAATTCCCCCAAAACCTGCCAAAATCCCCTCAAAATCCCTCCAAATCCCCCAAAAAGTCCCAAAATCCCCCCAAATCCCCCTAAATCCCCGAAAAATCCCCCAAAATTTCCAAAAATTCCCAAAAATATCCCCAAATCCCCCAAAAATTCCCAAAAATCCCCTGATTCCCTCCAAAATCCCCTCAAAATCCCCCCAAATCCCCCCAAATTCCTCAAATTCCCAAAATCCCCCCAAATTCCCTCCAAATCCTCCCAAAATCCCCCCAAATCAACCCAGATTCCCAAAATCTGTCAAAATTCCCTCAAAATCCCCCCAAATCCCCTCAAAATTCAAAAAATTCCCCAAAATCCCCCCAAATCCACCCAAATTCCCAAAAAATCCCCAGAAATTCCCAAAAAAAACCCCAAAATTCCCCCAAAACTTCCCCAAAATCCCCCCAAATCCCCTCAAAAACCCCCCAAATCCCACAAAATTTCCCAAAAATCCCCAGAAATTCCCGAAAATTCCCAAAAATTCCCAAATTCTCCCCAAAATCCCCTCAAAATCCCCCGAAATCCCACAAAAATTCCCAAAATCCCCCCAAAATTCAAAAAATTCCCCAAAATCCCCCCAAATCCACCCAAATTTCCAAAAAAATCCCCAGAAATTCCCCAAAAAAAACCCCCAAAATTCCCCAAAACCCCCCCAAAATCCCCTTTAAATCCCTCTAAATCCCTCAAAATCCCCAAAAATTCCCAAAAATTCCCGAAAATTCCCGAAAATTCCCGAAAATTCCGGGAATTCCCACCTGCAGCAGCAGCTCGGCCATTTCCAGGCTGTCGCTCTCCACCGCGTGCAGCAGCGGCGAGCGCCCGCTCTTGATGTCCTGAAACCCCCAAAATTCGGGTCAGGGACCCCCAAAATCCCTCTCGGGACCCCTCCCAAAATTCTCGGCATCCCCAAAAACCCCCGGGAGCCGAAAATTCCCAAAATTCCCCCAAAATTCCCTAAAATTCCCCAAAATTCCTCCAAAATTCACAAAATTCCAGCAAAATCTGCCACAAAATGTCCAAAAAGTCACAAAATTCCCAAAAATCGCCCCAAAATTTGGGTCAGGGACCCCCAAAATCCCTCTCGGGACCCCTCCCAAAATTCTCGGCGTCCCCGAAAACCCCCGGGAGCCCAAAATTCCCCAAAATTCCACCAAAATTCCCCAAAAATCCCAAAAATTCCACCAAAATCTGCCACAAAAATGTCAAAAAAGTCACAAAAATCCCCCAAAATTTGGGTCAGGGACCCCCAAAATCCCTCTCAGGACCCCTCCCAAAATTCTCGGCGTCCCCGAAAACCCCCGGGAGCCAAAAATTCCCAAAATTCCCCAAAATTCCTCCAAAATTCCTCAAAATTCCCCAAAATTCCACCAAAATCCGCCACAAAAAGTCACAAAAATGCTCAAAAATCCCCCAAAATTTGGGTCAGGGACCCCCAAAATCCCTCTCAGGACCCCTCCCAAAATTCTCGGCGTCCCCGAAAACCCCCGGGATCCCAAAATTCCCGAAATTTCCCAAAATTCCCCAAAATTCCCAAAAAATTCACAAAATTCCATCAAAATCTGCCACAAAAATGTCCAGAAAGTCACAAAAATGTCCCAAAATCGCCCCAAAATTTGGGTCAAGGACCCCCAAAATCCCTCTCGGGACCCCTCCCAAAATTCTCGGCGTCCCCGAAAACCCCCGGGAGCCGAAATTCCCAAAATTCCCCAAAATTCCACCAAAATTCCCCAAAATTCCCCAAAATTCCCCCAAAATTCCCAAAATTCTACCCAAATTCCTTCAAAATCCGCCAAAAAAAATGTCAAAAAATTCCCAAAAATCCCCCAAAATTTGGGTCAGGGACCCCCAAAATCCCTCTCGGGACCCCTCCCAAAATTCTCAGCATCCCCAAAAACCCCCGGGAACCAAAAATTCCCAAAATTCCCAAAAAATTCCCAAAATTCCCTCAAAATCTGACACAAAAATATCCAAAAATTCCCAAAAATCCCCCCAAAATTTGGGTCAGGGACCCCCAAAATCCCTCTCGGGACCCCTCCCAAAATTCTCAGCGTCCCCAAAAACCCCCGAGAGCCCGAAATTCCCAAAATTCCCCAAAATTCCCCAAAATTCCTCCAAAATTCCCTCAAATTCCCTCAAAATCTGCCATAAAAATGTCAATAAAGTCACAAAAATTTCCCCAAAATTTGGGTCAGGGACCCCCAAAATCCCTCTCGGGACCCCTCCCAAAATTCTCGGCGTCCCCGAAAACCCCCGGGAGCCAAAAATTCCCAAAATTCCCAAAAATTCCACCAAAATTCCCCAAAATTCCTTCAAAATCCGGCACAAAAATGTCAGAAAAGTCACAAAAATGCCCCAAAATCCCCCAAAATGTCCCAAAATTGGGGTCAGGGACCCCCAAAATCCCTCTCGGGACCCCTCCCAATATTCTCGGCGTCCCCAAAAACACCTGGGAGACAAAAATTCCCAAAATTTCCCAAAATTCCCCAAATTCCACCAAAATTCCCCAAATTTCATCAAATTCCCTCAAAATCTGCCACAAAAATGTCCAAAAAGTCACAAAAATGCCCAAAAATCCCCCAAAATCCCCCCAAAAATTCCAAAAAAATTCCCAAAAATCCAAATATTTTCCCAAATTCCTCCAGAATTCCCAAAAAACCCAAAATCCCCTAAAATCTCCCCAAAATCCTTGAAGATTCCAAAAAGTTCCCTAATTTTATCCAATATTTCCCTCAAATCCCCCCCAAATTTCCATAAAAACCCAAAAATTTCCGAAAAAACCTCCAAGAATTCCCAAAAATTCCCAAAAATCCCCCATAACCATCCCAAAAATCTCCAAAAAATCCAAATATTCCCCCAAAACCTCCCCCAAGAGTCCCCTTGAAATGCCCCCAAATCCCCCCTTAAATTTCCATTAAAACCCAAAAAATTCCCAAAAATGCCAAAAATCCTCCAAGAATTCCCAAAAATTCCCCAAAATCCCCCCAAAATTCCAAATATTTCCCAAAAAATCCCCTTTGAAGTCCCCCAAACCACCCCAAATCCCCCAAAAATTTCCATAAAAAAACCAAATAATTCCCAAAAATCCCAAAAATCCCAAAAAATCCTGAAAATCCCAAAAAATCCCAAAAATCTCCAAGAATTCCCAAAAATCCTCTATAACCATCCCAAAAACCAAAAAAAAACTCCCAAAAATCCCCCCCCAAAAAATCCAAACATTTCCCCAAAAATCCCCTTTAAACTTCCCCAAACCGCCCCAAATCTCCCCAAATTTCCATTAAAAAAACCCAAAAAATTCAAAAAATACCAAAAATTCCCAAAAAATCCCAAAAAATCTGCAAGAATTCCCAAAAATCCCCCCAAAAACCCCCCAAAAATCCAAATATTTCCCCAAAAACCCCCCAAAAATCCAATTTTTTCCCTCTAACCGCCCCCAAACCCCCCAAACCCCCCTCCGGCAATTCCCGAATTTCCCGGAACGTTCCGGAATTCCCGGAATTTTGGGAATCCCACCCCGGCGTCGACGTCGGCGCCGTGCTCCAGCAGCAGCAGGACGCTCTCGCGGGACCCGGCGGCCACGGCCACGTGCAGGGGGGTCAGGCCTGGGGGGGAGGGGCGGCTCAGGGACCCCCAAATTCCCAACAGGACACCCCCAAAATTCCCAAAAAAAATTATAAAAAAAATTCCCGAAAAATCCCCATTTTTTCCCATTTTTTCCTCATTTTCCCGCCATTTTTTCCCATTTTTGCCTCATTTTCCTGCCATTTTTGCCTCATTTTCCCGCCCATTTTTCCCAATTTCCCGCCAATTTTTCCCAAATTGCTCCCAAATTTTCTTCCCAATTTTCCCCGAATTTTTCCCAGATTTTTCCTCAATTTTCCCAATTTTTTCCCAATTATTTTCCCATTTTTCCTCATTTTCCCCCCAATTTTTCTCCAATTTCCCCCCAATTTTTCCCAAATTGTTCCTGAATTTTCCTCCCAATTTTCCCCCATTTTTCCCAGTTTTTTCTCACTTTTCCCAATTTTTTCCTCATTTTCCCCTAATTTTCCCCCATTTTCCCCCATTTTTTCCCAAATTTCCCCAAATTTTCCTCATTTTTAACCAATTCCAAATTTTCCCAATTCCCCCCCATTTTTCCCCAATTTCCCCCCACTTTTCCTCCAATTTCCCTCCAAATTTCCCAAAAAACTAAAACAAAAATTCCCAAAAAAATCCCGATTTTTTCCCATTTTTTCCTCATTTTCCCGCCATTTTTTCTGATTTTTTCCTCATTTTCCCGCCATTTTTTCCTCATTTTCCCGCCATTTTTCCCAATTTTTTCCCAATTTTCCCCCAATTTTTCTCAGATTTTTCCTCAATTTTCCCAATTTTTTCCCAATTTTTTCCCAATTTTTTCCCAATTTTCCCGATTTTTCCTCGTTTTCCCCAAATTTTCCTGCCATTTTTCCCCATTTTTTTCCTCATTTTCCCGCCATTTTTCCCCATTTTTTTCCTCATTTTCCCGCCATTTTTCCCCATTTTTTTCCCAATTTCCACCCAAATTCCCCCGAATTTTTCCCAGATTTTTCCTCGATTTTCCTGATTTTTTCCCATTTCCTCCCATTTTTACATTTCCCCCTCCATTTTTCCCGATTTTTTCCCAATTTCCCCCCAATTTTTCCCGAATTTTCCTCCCAATTTTTTCCCATTTTTTCCCAGTTTTTTCAAAATTTTCCCAGTTTTTCCTGATTTTCCCCAAATTTTCCCCCATTTTTCCCCATTTTTTCCCAAATTTCCCCAAATTTTCCTCATTTTTAACCAATTCCAAATTTTCCCAATTCCCCCCCATTTTTCCCCAATTTCCCCCCACTTTTCCTCCAATTTCCCTCCAAATTTCCCAAAAAACTAAAACAAAAATTCCCGAAAAATTCCCGATTTTTTCCCGTTTTTTCCTCATTTTCCCGCCATTTTTTCTGATTTTTTACTCATTTTTCCCACCATTTTTTCCTCATTTTCCCGCCATTTTTTCCATTTTTTCCTCATTTTTCCGCCATTTTTCCCGATTTTGGGCCAATTTCCCCCAAATTTTCCCCCCAAATTCCCAAATTTTCCCCAAATTTTCCCAGTTTCTCCCATTTTTCCCCCAAACTTCCCAATTTTCCCCCAAATTTCCCCATTTTCACCCCATTTTTTCTCCAATTTTGGGCTAATTTTCCCCAAATTTCCCCATTTTCACCCCATTTTCTTCCCCAATTTTGGGCCAATTTCCCCCAAATTCCCCCAAATTTTCCCAATTTTCCCCCAAATTCCCATTTTTTCCTCAATTTTCCCAAATTTTCCCAATTTCCCCCAAAATTACCCTCATAATCCCGCGCCTGCAGGTCGGGCGGGGGGGCGGGGCCGCGCAGCAGCTCGCGCAGCACGCGGGGGCGTGGCCCGGCGCAAGCCCCGCCCCCCGGGGCCGAGGCCCCGCCCCCCCACAGGTGAGACCCGCAGGCCAGGTGAGCGCAGGTGCGGCCGAGCCGGTCCGGGGCCATGGCGGAGGCGCCGTGGGACAGCAGGAGCCGGACCAGGGACACCTGGCCCGTGATCACCGCCAGGTGTAGCGGCGTCTGTGGGACAGGTGTGTGACATGTGTGTGACATGTGTGACACATGGGGCAGGGACACCTGGCCCGTGATCACCGCCAGGTGCAGCGGCGTCTGTGGGGACAGGTGTGTGACATGTGTGTGACACGTGTGGGACACCTGGCCCGTGATCACCGCCAGGTGTAATGGCGTCTGCGGGACAGGTGTGGGACACGCGTGTGACATGTGTGGGACACGTGTGACACGTGGGGCAGGGACATCGGGGACACCTGGGACAGGTGTGACATGGGTGGGATATGGGGCAGGGACACCTGGGACAGGTGACATGTGTCTAACATGGGTCAGGGATGTTGGGGACACCTGGGACAGGTGACACGGGTGGGACACGGGTGTGACACGGGTCAGGGACGTTGGGGACACCTGGGACAGGTGACATGTGTCTAACATGGATCAGGGACACCTGGGACAGGTGACATGTGTCTAACATGGATCAGGGACACCTGGGACAGGTGACATGTGTCTAACATGGATCAGGGACACCTGGGACAGGTGACATGTGTCTGACATGGGTCAGGGACACGGGTCAGGGACGTTGGGGACACCTGGGACAGGTGACACAGGTGGGACACGGGTGGGACATGGGTGGGATATGGGTCAGGGACACCTGGGACAGGTGACATGTGTCTGACATGGGTCAGGGACACCTGGGACAGGTGACACGTGTCTAACATGGGTCAGGGACATTGGGGACACCTGGCCCGTGATCACCGCCAGGTGCAGCGGCGTCTGTGGGGACAGGTGTGTGACACGCGTGGGACACGTGTGGGACATGGGTGGGACACGTGTGACATGTGGGGCAGGGACACCTGGGACAGGTGACATGTGTCTAACACGGGTCAGGGACATTGGGGACACCTGGGACAGGTGACACGGGTGTGACACAGGTGTGACACGGGTGGGACACGGGTCAGGGACATTGGGGACACCTGGGACAGGTGACATGTGTCTAACACGGGTCAGGGACATTGGGGACACCTGGGGACACCTGGCCCGTGATCACCGCCAGGTGTAATGGCGTCTGTGGGACACGCGTGGGACATGTGTGTGACACGTGCGGCAGGGACACCTGGCCCGTGATCACCGCCAGGTGTAATGGCGTCTGTGGGGACATGGGTGGGACACGCGTGGGACACGTGTGACACATGGATCAGGGACACCTGGGACACCTGGGACAGGTGACACGAGTGGGACACGTGTGACATGGGTGGGATATGGGTCAGGGACACCTGGGACAGGTGACACAGGTATGACAGGGCTCAGGGACATTGGGGACACCTGGGACAGGTGACACGGGTGGGACACGGGTGGGACACACCTGGGACACGTGTGACATGGGTGGGATATGGGTCTGGGACACCTGGGACAGGTGACATGTGTCTGACATGGATCAGGGACATCAGGGACACCTGGGACAGGTGACACGGGTGGGACACGGGTGGGACACGGGTGTGACACGGGTCAGGGACATTGGGGACACCTGGGACTGGTGACATGTGTCTGACATGGATCAGGGACACCTGGGACAGGTGACACGGGTGTGACACACCTGGGACATGTGTGACACATGGGGCAGGGACACCTGGCCCGTGATCACCGCCAGCTGTAATGGTGTCTGTGGGGACAGGTGTGGGACATGTGTGTGACACGCGTGGGACACGTGTGACACATGGGGCATGGACATTGGGGACACCTGGGACAGGTGACATGTGTCTGACATGGGTCAGGGACACCTGGGACAGGTGACACGGGTGTGACACATGGGTCAGGGACATTGGGGACACCTGGGACAGGTGACACGGGTGGGACACGGGTGTGACACGGGTGGGATATGGGTTAGGGACACCTGGGACAGGTGACATGTGTCTAACATGGGTCAGGGACACGGGTCAGGGACGTTGGGCACACCTGGGACAGGTGACACGGGTGTGACACGGGTGTGACACGGGTGGGATATGGGGCAGGGACACCTGGGACAGGTGACACGGGTGGGACACGGGTGTGACATGGGTGGGATATGGGGCAGGGACACCTGGGACAGGTGACATGTGTCTAACATGGGTCAGGGACATTGGGGACACCTGGGACAGGTGACACGGGTGTGACACGTGTGACATGAGTGGGATATGGGGCAGGGACACCTGGGACAGGTGACATGTGTCTGACATGGGTCAAGGACACAGGTAAGGGACACTGGGGACACCTGGGACAGGTGACATGGGTGTGACACGGGTGGGACACGGGTCAGGGACATTGGGGACACCTGGGACAGGTGACACGTGTCTAACATGGGTCAGGGGCACCTGGCACAGGTGACACGGGTGGGACACAGGTGTGACACGGGTGGGACACGTGTGACACGGGTGAGGGACAGTGGGGACACCTGGGACAGGTGACACGAATGGGACACGTGTGACACATGGGGCAGGGACACCTGGCCCGTGATCACCGCCAGGTGTAATGGCATCTGTGGGGACAGGTGTGTGACATGTGTGGGACACGTGTGACATGGGTGGGATATGGGTCAGGGACACCTGGGACAGGTGACACGTGACATGTGTCTAACATGGATCAGGGACACGGGTCAGGGACGTTGGGGACACCTGGGACAGGTGACACGGGTGGGACACGGGTGGGACACAGGTGGGACATGGGTGTGACACGGGTGGGACACGGGTCAGGGACGTTGGGGACACCTGGGACAGGTGACACGGGTGGGACACGGCTGTGACATGAGTAGGACACGGGTCAGGGACACCTGGGACAGGTGACATGTGTCTGACATGGATCAGGGACACCTGGGACAGGTGACACGGGTGGGACACGGGTGTGACACATGGGGCAGGGACACCTGGCCCGTGATCACCGCCAGGTGTAATGGCGTCTGTGGGACACGCGTGGGACATGTGTGACACATGGGGCAGGGACACCTGGGACAGGTGACACGGGTGTGACACGGGTCAGGGACATTGGGGACACCTGGCCCGTGATCACCGCCAGGTGCAGCGGCGTCTGTGGGACACGCGTGTGACATGTGTGGGACACGTGTGACATGGGTGGGACACGTGTGACACACGGGACAGGGACACCTGGCCCGTGATCACCGCCAGGTGTAATGGCGTCTGTGGGACACGCGTGTGACATGTGTGTGACACGTGTGACATGGGTGGGACACGTGTGACATGAGTGGGATACGGGGCAGGGACACCTGGGACAGGTGACATGTGTCTGACATGGCTCAGGGACACGGGTCAGGGACGTTGGGGACACCTGGGACAGGTGACACGGGTGGGACACGGGTGGGACAGGTGTGACAGGGGTGGGATATGGGGCAGGGACACCTGGGACAGGTGACACGGGTGGGACATGGATCAGAGACATTGGGCACACCTGGGACAGGTGACACGTGTGGGACACGTGTGACATGAGTGGGATATGGGTCAGGGACATTGGGGACACCTGGGACAGGTGACACGGGTGGGACATGGGTGGGACACGGGTCAGGGACATTGGGGACACCTGGGACAGGTGACACGGGTGTGACACGGGTTTTACACGGGTCAGGGACGTTGGGGACACCTGGGACAGGTGACATGTGTCTGACATGGGTCAGGGACACCTGGCACAGGTGACATGGGTGGGACACGGGTCACAGACACCTGGGACAGGTGACACGGGTGGGACATGGGTGTGACACGGGTGGGACACGGGTCAGGGACATTGGGGACACCTGGGACAGGTGACACAGGTGTGACATGGATCAGGGACACTGGGGACACCTGGCCCGTGATCACCGCCAGGTGTAACGGCGTCTGTGGGGACACGTGTGCGACACGTGTGACACATGGGGCAGGGACACCTGGCCCGTGATCACCGCCAGGTGTAATGGCGTCTGTGGGGACAGGTGTGCAACACGCGTGGGACACGTGTGACATGGGTGGGATATGGGGCAGGGACACCTGGGACAGGTGACACGGGTGGGACACGGGTGGGACATGGGGCAGGGGCACTGGGGACACCTGGGACAGGTGACACGGGTGGGACACGGGTCAGGGACACCTGGGACAGGTGACATGTGTCTAACATGGGTCAGGGATATTGGGGACACCTGGCCCGTGATCACCGCCAGGTGTAATGGCGTCTGTGGGGACACGTGTGTGACATGTGTGTGACACATGGGGCAGGGACACCTGGGACAGGTGACACGGGTGGGACTCGGGTCAGGGACACCCGGGACAGGTGACACGGGTGGGACACGTGTGACACATGGGGCAGGGACACCTGGCCCGTGATCACCGCCAGGTGTAGTGGCGTCTGTGGGGACACGCGTGGGACATGTGTGACATGTGTGACATGTGGGGCAGGGACACCTGGGACACCTGGGACAGGTGACACAGGTGTGACATGGATCAGGGGCATCAGGGACACCTGGGACAGGTGACATGTGTCTGACATGGGTCAGGGACATCGGGGACACCTGGGACAGGTGACACGGGTGTGACACGGGTGGGACACGGGTGGGACACGGGTGGGACACGGGTGGGACACGGGTGGGACACAGGTCAGGGACGTTGGGGACACCTGGGACAGGTGACACGGGTGTGACACGGGTCAGGGACACCTGGGACAGGTGACATGTGTCTGACATGGGTCAGGGACATTGGGGACACCTGGGACAGGTGACACGGGTGGGACACGGGTGTGACACGGGTGGGACACGGGTGTGACATGGGTCAGGGACACTGGGGACACCTGGGACAGGTGACATGTGTCTGACATGGGTCAGGGACATCGGGGACACCTGGGACAGGTGACACGGGTGGGACATGTGTGACATGAGTGGGATATGGGTCAGGGACACCTGGGACAGGTGACACGGGTGGGACACGGGTGGGACACATGTGACATGGGTGGGATATGGGTCAGGGACACCTGGGACAGGTGACACGGGTGGGACACGGGTCAGGGACATCAATGACACCTGGGACAGGTGACACAGGTGGGACACGTGTGACATGGGTGGGATATGGGCCAGGGACACCTGGGACAGGTGACATGTGTCTAACATGGGTCAGGGACATGGGTCAGGGACATTGGGGACACCTGGGGACACCTGGCCCGTGATCACCGCCAGGTGTAATGGCGTCTGTGGGACACGCGTGTGACATGTGTGTGACATGTGTGACACATGGGGCAGGGACACCTGGCCCGTGATCACCGCCAGGTGTAGTGGCGTCTGTGGGACACGCGTGGGACACGTGTGACACATGGGGCAGGGACACCTGGCCCGTGATCACCGCCAGGTGTAATGGCGTCTGTGGGAACACGTGTGTGACATGTGTGACATGTGTGACACATGGGTCAGGGACACCTGGGACAGGTGACATGTGTCTGACATGGGTCAGGGACATTGGGGACACCTGGGACAGGTGACATGTGTCTAACATGGGTCAGGGACACGGGTCAGGGACACTGGGGACACCTGGGACAGGTGACATGGGTGGGACACGTGTGACATGAGTGGGATATGGGGCAGGGACATTGGGGACACCTGGGACAGGTGACATGTGTCTGACATGGATCAGGGACATTGGGGACACCTGGGACAGGTGACACGGGTGTGACACGGGTGTGACATGGCTCAGGGACGTTTGGGACACCTGGGACAGGTGACACGGGTGTGACACGGGTGTGACACGGGTGGGACACGGGTCAGGGACGTTGGGGACACCTGGGACAGGTGACATGTGTCTAACATGGATCACGGACACGGGTCAGGGACGTTGGGGACACCTGAGACAGGTGACATGTGTCTAACATGGGTCAGAGACGTTGGGGACACCTGGGACAGGTGACACAGGTGTGACACGGGTGGGACACGCGTGGGACACGTGTGACATGAGTGGGATATGGGTCAGGGACACCTGGGACAGGTGACATGTGTCTAACATGGGTCAGGGACATTGGGGACACCTGGGGACACCTGGCCCGTGATCACCGCCAGGTGTAATGGCGTCTGTGGGACACGTGTGTGACACGCGTGGGACACGTGTGACATGGGTGGGACACAGGTCAGGGACACCTGGGACAGGTGACATGTGCCTAACATGGGTCAGGGACACCTGGGACACCTGGGACAGGTGACATGGGTGGGACACAGGTGTGACACGGGTGGGATATGGGTCGGGGACATCGGGGATACCTGGGACAGGTGACATGTGTGTAACATGGGTCAGGGACATTGGGGACACCTGGGACAGGTGACACAGGTGGGACACGTGTGACATGGGTGGGACATGGATCAGGGACAGTGGGGACACCTGGGACAGGTGACACGGGTGGGACACGGGTGGGACACGGGTCAGGGACATTGGGGACACCTGGGACAGGTGACACGGGTGGGACACGGGTGTGACATGGGTGGGATATGGGTCACAGACGTTGGGGACACCTGGGACAGGTGACACAGGTCCCGGACACCTGGGACAGGTGACACGGGTGGGACATGGGTCAGGGACACCTGGGACACCTGGGACAGGTGACACGTGTCTGACATGGATCAGGGACACCTGGGACAGGTGACACGGGTGTGACACAGGTCAGGGACATTGGGGACACCTGGGACAGGTGACACGGGTGTGACACGGGTGGGACACGGGTGAGGGGGCGGGGCTGGGGGCGTGGTCAGGTGAAAAAGGGGCGGAGCTCAGCGGCTCCCCCAATGTCCCCAAAATGTCCCAAAATGTCCCCAAATCCCCCCCAATGTCCCCAATGTCCCCAACCCCATTTTTCCCAATTTTCCCCCATTTTTCCCCATTTTTCCCCATTGTTCCCCATTGTTCCCCATTGTTGCTCAATGTCCCCAAATCTCCCCAATGTCCCCAATGTCCCCAATCCCATTTTTCCCAATTTTCCCCCAATTTTTCCCCATTTTCCCCAATTTTTCCCCAGTTTTTCCCAATTTTTCCCCAATATGTCCCAAATTTTCCCCAATGTCCCCAATGTCCCCAATGTCCCCAATGTCCCCAATGTCCCCAATCCCCCCAATGTCCCCAATGTCCCCAATGTCCCCAATGTCCCCAAATCCCCCCAATGTCCCCAATGTCCCCAATGTCCCCAGTGTCCCCAATGTCCCCAATGTCCCCAATGTCCCCAAATCCCCAAAATGTCCCAAATCCCCCCAATGTCCCCAATGTCCCCGATGTCCCCAAACCCCCCCAATGTCCCCAATGTCCCCAATGTCCCCAATGTCCCCCAATGTCCCCAATGTCCCCAATGTCCCCCCAATGTCCCCAATGTCCCCAATGTCCCCAATGTCCCCCCAATGTCCCCAATCCCCCCAATGTCCCCCCAATGTCCCCAATGTCCCCCCAATGTCCCCAATGTCCCCAATGTCCCCAATCCCCCCAATGTCCCCAATGTCCCCAATGTCCCCAACTCCCCCAATGTCCCCAATGTCCCCAATGTCTCAAATCCCATTTTCCCCAAATTTTCCCCCATTTTTTCCCAATGTCCCCAATGTCCCCAAATGTCCCCAATGTCCCCAAATCCCCCCAATGTCCCCAATCCCCCCAATGTCCCCAATGTCCTCAATGTCCCCAATGTCCCCAATGATGTCCCCAATGTCCCCAATGTCCCCTCACCTGTCTCAGGTGGTTGTACACGTCGAGGTCGCGCCCCCCCCGCAGGAACAGCGACACCAAGCGGCGAGCGACGGTCACTGCGCCCTGCGCCACCGCGATGTGCAGCGGCCTGGGGACATTTGGGGGATTTGGGGACAGTGGGGACATTTGGGGACATTTTGGGGACATTTGGGGACATTGGGGACATTGGGGGGATTGGGGGGACTTGGGACATTTGGGGGATTTGGGGACATTGGGGACGTTGGGGACAGCGGGGACATTTGGGGACATTGGGGACATTGGGGAAAAATGGGGGGAAATTGGGAAAAAATGGGATTGGGGACATTGGGGACATTTGGGGGGATTTGGGATATTTTGGGACATTGGGGACATTGGGGACATTGGGGACATTGGGGACATTGGGGACATTTGGGGGGGTTGGGGACATTGGGGACATTGGGAAAAAATGGGGAAAATTGGGGAAAATGGGATTTGGGACATTGGGGACATTTGGGACATTGGGACATTTGGAAGATTTGGGGACATTTGCGGGATTTGGGACATTTGGGGACATTGGGGACATTGGGGGAAAGATGGGGAAAAATTGGGGAAAAATGGTAAAAATTGGGAAAAATGGGATTTGGGACATTGGGGACATTGGGGGGACAGTGGGGGGATTTGGGGACATTGGGGACACTGGGGACATTGGGGACATTGGGGACATTGGGGACATTGGGGACATTGGGGGACATTGGGGACATTGGGGACATTGGGGACATTGGGGACATTGGGAAAAATGGGATTTGGGACACTTTGGGGAACATCGGGGACATTGGGGACACTTTGGGGACATTGGGAAAAAAATGGGGGAAATTGGGGAAAAATGGGATTGGGGACATTGGGGACATTGGGGACATTGGGGGGATTTCGGGGATTTGGGGACAGCGGGGACATTTGGGGACATTTGTGGGATTTGGGACATTTGGGGACATTGGGGACATTGGGGACATTGGGGACATTGGGGGAATTGGGGAAAAATGGGGGAAATTGGGGAAAAATGGGATTAGGGACATTGGGGACATTGGGGACATTGAAGGGGTTTGGAATATTTGGGGGATTTGGGGACATTGGGGACATTTGGGGGGAAAACAAAGGGGGAAAATCGGGGGAAATTTGGGAGATTTGGGGACATTGGGGAGGTCCCAAATGTCCCCAAAATGTCCCCAAAATGTCCCCAAAAAGTCCCCAATGTCCCCAAAATGTCCCCAAAATGTCCCCAAATATCCCCAAAATATCCCTAAATGTCCCCAAAATGTCCCCAAATGTCCCCAAAATGTCCCCAAAATGTCCTCAAATGTCCCCAAATGTGCCCAAAATGTCCTAAAATGTCCCCAAAATGTCCCCAAAAAGCCCCGAAATGTCCCCAAATCCCTTCCCGCCCCTCCCCCCGCGCTGTTCCCGTAAAGGGGCGTGGCCTCCCCGCCGTGGGCGTGGCCTCCCCGATGACGTCACCGAAGGCGCGGGGATTCCCCTCGGGGGGGGGGGCGGGGACATTTCGGGACATTTTGGGGGAATTTTGGGACATTTTGGGGACATTTCGGGACATTTCGGGACATTTTGGGACATTTGGGGACTTTTGGGATCCCCGGAGAGGGAAATTTGGGGGGTCCCGGGTGAATTTTGGGGTTTTCCGGGTGAATTTTGGGGATTTTTTTGGGGTGTCCCGGGTGAATTTTGGGGGTTTTTTGGGGTTTCCCGGGTGATTTTGGGGATTTTTTTGGGGTTTCCCGGGTGATTTTTGGGGTTTCCCGGGTGAATTTTGGGGTTTCCCGGGTGAATTTTTGTATTTTTGGGGTTTCCCGGGTGATTTTTGGGGTTTCCCGGGTGAATTTTGGGGATTTTTTGGGGGTTTCCCGGGTGAATTTTGGGGTGTCCCGGGTGATTTTTGGGGTTTCCTGGGTGATTTTGGGGTATCCTGGTGGTTTTTGAGATTTTTTTGGGGTTTTCCGGGTGAATTTTGGGGTTTTTGGGGTTTCCCAGGTGGTTTTTCGGGTGGATTTTTGGGGTTTCCTGGGTGATTTTGGGGATTTCCCGGGTGAATTTTGGGGTTTTTTGGGGCTTCCCCGGTGATTTTGGGGATTTTTTGGGGTGTCCCGGGTGAATTTTGGTATTTTTGGGGTGTCCCGGGTGAATTTTGGGGGTTTTGGGGGTGAATTTTGGGGTTTTGGGGTTTCCCGGGTGAATTTTGGAGATTTTTTTGGGGTTTCCCGGGTGAATTTTGGGGTTTCCCGGGTGATTTTTTGGGGTTTCCCGGGTGAATTTTGGTATTTTTGGGGTGTCCCGGGTGAATTTTGGGGTTTCCCGGGTGAATTTTGGGGTTTCCCGGGTGAATTTTGGGATTTTTGGGTTTTCCGGGTGATTTTGGGGATTTTTTGGGGTGTCCCGGGTGAATTTTCGGGTTTTTGGGGTTTCCCCGGTGATTTTGGGGTTTTTTTGGGGTGTCCCGGGTGAATTTTGGGGTGTCCCGGGTGAATTTTGGTATTTTTGGGGTGTCCCGCGTGAATTTTGGGGCTTTTGGGATGAATTTTGGGGTTTTGGGGTGGATTTTGGGGTTTTTGGGATGAATTTCGGGTTTTTTGGGGTGAATTTTGGGGGTCCCAGGTGAATTTTGGGGTTCTCCGGGTGAATTTTGGGATTTTTGGGGTTTCCCAAGTGAATTTTGGGGTTTTCCGGGTGAATTTTGGTATTTTTGGGATGTCCCGGGTGAACTTTGGGGGTTTTGGGGTGAATTTTGGGGTGTCCCAGGTGAATTTTGGGGATTTTTGGGGTTTCCCGGGTGAATTTTGGGGTGAATTTTGGGGTGAATTTTGGGGTTTTTGGGGTGAATTTTGGGGTGAATTTTGGGGTGAATTTTGGGGTGAATTTTGGGGTTTTGGGGGTGGATTTTGGGGTGGATTTTGGGGTGGATTTTGGGGTGGATTTTGGGGTGAATTTTGGGGTGAATTTTGGGTTGAATTTTGGGGTGAATTTTGGGGTGGATTTTGGGGTTTTTGGGGTGAATTTTGGGGTGGATTTTGGGGTGGATTTTGGGGTGGATTTTGGGGGTTTTTGGGTGGATTTTGGGGTGAATTTTGGGGTGAATTTTGGGGGTTTTGGGGTGGATTTTGGGGTGAATTTTGGGGTGAATTTTGGGGGTTTTGGGGTGAATTTTGGGGTTTTTGGGGTGGATTTTGGGGTTTTTGGGGTGAATTTTGGGGTGAATTTTGGGGTGAATTTTGGGGTGGATTTTGGGGTGAATTTTGGGGTGGATTTTGAGGTGAATTTTGGGGTGAATTTTGGGGTTTTTGGGGTGTCCCGGGTGGATTTTGGGGGTTTTGGGGATGAATTTTGGGGTGAATTTTGGGGTGAATTTTGGGGTTTTTGGGGTGTCCCGGGTGAATTTTGGGGTGAATTTTGGGGTGAATTTTGGGGTGAATTTTGGGGTGAATTTTGGGGTTAATTTTGGGGTTTTTGGGGTGAATTTTGGGGTTTTTGGGGTGAATTTTGGGGTGAATTTTGGGGTGGATTTTGGGGTGGATTTTGGGGTGAATTTTGGGGTGAATTTTGGGGTTTTTGGGGTGTCACTCACGTGTCCCCGTCCTCGTCCTGCCGCGTGGCGGCGGCGATGGCGGCAGCCAAGGGGGGCTCAGGGGGGACCCCCAAATTTGGGGATCCCAAAATCGGGGCGGGGGGAACCCCCAAAATTCCCCCTCCCCCCAAAAACGGCAGCGGCGGCTCCGCCCTCACACCTGGAAGGGAAAAATTGGGAAAAATTGGGAAAAATTGTGGAAAATTGGGTAAAAATTGGGGGGAAAATTGGGGGAAATTGGGAAAATTTGGGGGGAAAATTGGGGGAAAATTGGGAAAATTTGGGGGGAAAATTGGGGGGAAATTGGGAAAATTGGGGGGAAAATTTGGGGAAAAAAATGGGGGGAAATTGGGAAAATTTGGGGAAAAAAATTGGGAGAAAATGGGAAAATTTAGTTGAAAAATTGGAGAAAATTGGGAAAATTGGGGGAAAATTGGGGAGAAAATTGGGGGAAAATTTGGGGGAAAAAATTGGGGGGAAAATGGGAAAATTTGGGAAAAAATTGGTGGAAAATTTGGGGGAAAAATGGGGAAATTTGGGGGGAAAATTTGGGGAAAAAAATTGGGGGAAAATGGGAAAATTTGGGAAAAAAATTGGGGGAAAATTGGGAAAAAATGGGGGGAAATTGGGAAAATTTGGGAAAAAAATTGGGGGGAAAATGGGAAAATTTGGGTAGAAAATTGGGGGAAAATTGGGAAAATTTGGGGGGAAAATTGGGGGGAAATTGGGAAAATTTGGGTGAAAAATTGGAGGAAAATGGGAAAAATTGGGGGAAAATTGGGAAAAAATGGGGGGAAATTGGGGAAAAAAATGGGAAAAAACTGGGAAAAAAATGGGGAAAATTGGGGGGGAATGGGGGAAAATTTGGGATAAAATTGGGGAAAATTGGGAAAAAGTGGGGAGGGGAAATTGGGCAAAAATGGGGGGAAATTGGGGAAAAATGGGGAAAAACTGGGAAAAATGGGGAATATTGGGGGGGGAAATGGGGGAAAGTTTGGGATAAAATTGGGGGAAAATTGGGGGAAAATTGGGAAAAATTGGGAAAAATTGGGGAAAAATGGGGGGAATTAGGAAAAAAAATGGGGGAAATTGGGGGCGAAATTTAGAAAAAAGTGAGGGAAAAATTGGGGGAAAATTGGGAAAAAATTGGGAAAAAACTGGAAAAAATGGGGAATATTGGGGGGGAAATGGGGGAAAGGTTGGGATAAAATTGGGGGAAATTGGGCAAAAATTTGGGGGAAATTTGGGGAAAGGCGGGGATAAAATGTGGGGGAAATCGTGGGGAAATTGCGAAAAAATGGGAAAAATGGGCAATATTGGGGGGAAATGGGGGATAATTTGGGATAAAATTGGGGGAAATTGGGAAAAAATGGGGGAAATTGGGGGGAAAAAAAAGGGAAAAATCCAGGAAAAAACGGGAGAAAATCGGGATAAAATTGGGGGGAAATTGAGAAAAAAGTGAGGGAAAATTTGGGGGAAAATTGGGAAAAAATTGGGAAAAAAATAGAAAAAATGGGAAATATTGGGGGGGAAATGGGGGAAAGTTTGGGATAAAATTGGGGGAAATTGGGGAAAAAAGTGGGAAAAACTGGGAAAAAATGGGGAAAAATGGGGAATATTGGGGGGGAAAATGGGGGAAAATTTGGGATAAAATTGGGGGAAATTGGGAAAATGTGGGGAGGGGAAATTGGGGAAAATTGGGGTGAAAATGGGGAAAAAATGGGAAAAAATGGGGAATATTGGGGGGGAAATGGGGGAAAGTTTGGGATAAAATTGGGGGAAATTGGGAAAAAGTGGGGAGGGGAAATTGGGGAAAGAATTGGGGGGAAATTGGGAAAAAATGGGGAAAAACTGGGAAAAATGGAGAATATTGGGGGGGAAAATGGGGGAAAATTTGGGATAAAATTGGGGGAAATTGGGGGGAAAAAAAATGGGAAAAATCGAGGAAAAACCGGGAAAAGATCGGGATAAAATTGGGGGAAATTAGGAAAAAATGGGGGGAAATTGAGAAAAAAGTGAGGGAAAAATTGGGGAAAATTGGGAGAAAAATTCAGGAACAATTCGGGTAAAATTTGGGGAATTTGGGAAAAAATGGGGAAAAACTGGGAAAAAAGTGGAATATTGGGGGGGAAATGGGGGAAAGTTTGGGATAAAATTGGGGAAAATAGTGGGGAAATTGGGGAAAAAATGGGAAAAATTGGAAAAAATGGGGAATATTGGGGGGGAAAATGGGGGAAAATTTGGGATAAAATTGGGGGAAATTGGGAAAAAGTGGGGAAAAAATCGGGAAAAAACTGGGAAAAATGGGGAATATTGGGGGGGTAAATGGGGGAAAATTTAGGATAAAATTGGGGGAAATTGGGGAAAAAAATGGGAAAAATCGAGGAAAAACCGGGAAAAAATTGAGGAAAATCGGGAAAAATCGGGAAAAGTTTCGGGGGGGGTCTCTCACCTGTGCCGATCCCGAATTTTGGGCTTTTCCCAGCCCGGATTTGGGGGTTCGTGGGGGTCTCCCCCAAAATTTGGGGGTTTCCCCCCCCCAAAACCGAGCGGCGCTTCCGGAGCGGCAGCGAAGTTTCGGGGGGGGGGGGGGAGGGGCGGCGTTTTTGGGGGGGTTTGGGGGGATTTTGGGGCCGCCGCGTGCGGAGGTCCACGGGAAGATCTTCGGCCATTTGGGGGGTCCCAAATTTTGGGGGACCCCCTCCCCCCTTTGGGGTTTTTTGGGGCTTTTCGGAGTCGCCGCGGGAGCGGAAGCGAGCGGGGAATCCCCAAAAATGGGGGGCGGGGCCGCGAAGCCACGCCCACTTCCTGAAAACCACGCCCACTTTGAGTTGGACACGCCCCTTGATGGTTTGGACACGCCCCTCAATGATTTGGCCACGCCCCTCGATGGTTTGACCACTCCCATCAATGATTTGGCCACGCCCATTGAGGATTTAGCCACGCCCATTGAGGTTTGGCCACGCCCATTAGGGTTTGGCCACGCCCCTTTAGGGAAACCCCGCGAAATCCCCCCAAAATTCGCGGCGGGTTTGAGGAAATTGGCGGGAAATTAAATTAAAATTGGCGGGATTGAAATAAAAAAATTGGCGGGAAATTAAATTAAATTAAAATTGGTGGGAAATGAAATTAAAATTGGTGGGAAATGAAATTTAAATTGGTGGGAAATTAAATAAAAATTGACGGAAATTAAATTTAAAAATTGGCGGAAATAAAATTAAATTAAAATTGGTAGGAAATGAAATTAGAATCGGCGGGAAATTAAATTAAAAAATTGGTGGGAAATGAAATTAAAATTGGTGGGAAATGAAATTAAAATTGACGGAAATGAAATTAAAATTGGTGGTAAATGAAATTAAAATTGGCAGAAATGAAATTAAAAGTGGCGGGAAATGAAATTAATATTGGCGGGAAATGAAATTTAAAAATTGGTGGGAAATGAAATTAAAATTGGTGGGAAATGAAATTAAAATTGATGGGAAATGAAATTAAAATTAGCGTAAATTAAATTTAAATTGTCGGGAATTAAATTAAAATTGGCGGAAATGAAATTAAAATTGGCGGGAAATGAAATTAAAATTGGTGGGAAATGAAATTTAAAAATTGGCGGGAAATGAAATTAAAATTGGCAAGAATAAAATTAAAATTGGCAAGAAATTAAATTAAAATTGTCGGGAAATTAAATTAAAATTAGCGTAAATTAAACTTAAATTGGCGGGAAATGAAATTAAAATTGGTGGGAAATGAAATTGAAATTGGCGGGAAATGAAATTAAAATTTTCGGGAAATTAAATTGAAATTGGCGGGAAATTAAATAAAAAAATTGGCGGGAAATGAAATTAAATAATTGGGGGGAAATGAAATTTAAAAATTGGCGGAAATGAAATTAATAAATTGGTGGGAAATGAAATTAAAATTGGCGGGAAATGAAATTGAAATTGGCGGGAAATGAAATTAAAATTGGCGGGAAATTAAATTAAAATTGGCAGGAAATGAAATTGAAATTGGCGGAAATAAAATTAAATTAAAATTGGTAGGAAATGAAATTAAAATTGGCGGGAAATGAGATTAAAAAATTGGCAGAAATAAAATTTAAAAATTGGCAGGAATGAAATTAAAAAATTGGCAGGAATGAAATTAAAAAATTGGAGAGAAATTAAATTAAAATTGGTGGGAAATGAAATTGAAATTGGTGGGAAATTAAATTAAAAAATTGGTGGGAAATGAATTTCAAATGTGCGGGAAATTAAATTAATATTGGCAGGAAATGAAATGGAAATTGGTGGGAAATGAAATTTAAAAATTGGCGGGAAATGAAATTAAAATTGGCAGAAAATGAAATTTAAAAATTGGCAGGAAATGAAATTAAAATTGGCGGGAAATGAAATTAAAATTGGTGGGATTGAAATTAAAAAATTGGCGGGAAATGAAATTAAATTAAAATTGGCGGGAAATGGAATTGAAATTGGCGGAAATGAAATTAAAATTGACAGGAAATGAAATTAAAAATTTGGCGGGAAATGAAATTTAAAAATTGGCGGAAATGAAATTAAAATTGGCGGGAAATTAAATTTAAATTGGCGAAAACCAAATTAAAATTGGTGGGAAATGAAGTTAAAATTGGCGGGAAATGAAATTAAATTAAAATTGGTGGGAAATGAAATTGAAAAATTGGCGGGAAATGAAATTTAAAAATTGGAGGGAAATGAAGTTAAAATTGACGGGAAATGAAATTAAAATTGGCGGGAAATGAAATTAAAATTGACAGGAAATGACATTAAAATTGGGGGGAAATTAAATTAAAATTAGCATAAATTAAATTTAAATTGGCGGGAAATTAAATTTAAATTGATGGGAAATTAAATTTAAATTGGTGGGAAATGAAATTAAAATTGGCGGGAATTTAAATTTAAAAATTGGCGGAAATGAAATTAAAAAATTGGTGGGGAATGAAATTAAAATTGGCGGGAAATTAAATTAAAAAATTGACAGAAATAAAATTAAATTAAAATTGGTAGGAAATGAAATTAGAATCGGCAGGAAATGAAATTAAAAAATTGGTGGGAAATGAAATTAAAATTGGCGGAAATGAAATTTAAAAATTGGAGGGAAATGAAATTAAAATTGGCGGGAAATGAAATTAAAATTGGCGGGAAATGGGTTTGGGGACACTGGGGTGGCCTTGGGGACACTTTGGGGACACCAAAATGGCCTCGGGGACAATTTGGGGACAATTTGGGGACATTGGGGGTGGCCTTAGGGACATCTTGGGGACATTGGGGGTGGCCTTGGGGACACCTCGGGGACAATTTGGGGACACCTTGGGGACATTGGGGTGGCCTTGAGGACGTGGGGACACCTCAGGGACACCAAAATGGCCTCAGGGACAATTTGGGGACAATTTGGGGACAATTTGGGGACATTGGGGGTGGCCTTGAGGACACTTTGGGGACACCAAAATGGCCTCGGGGACAATTTGGGGACACCTTGGGGACATTGGGGTGGCCTCGGGGACAATTTGGGGACAATTTGGGGACAATTTTGGGACATTTTGGGGACATTGGGGTGGCCTCGGGGACACCTTGGGGACAATTTGGGGACATTGGGAGTGGCCTTGGGGACACTTTGGGGACACCAAAATGGCCTCGGGGACAATTTGGGGACAGTTTGGGGACACCAAGATGGCCTTGGGGACACTGGGGTGGCCTTGGGGACAATTTGGGGACATTTTGGGTGGCCTTGGGGACACCTTGGGGACACTGGGGTGGCCTCGGGGACAATTTGGGGATACTTTGGGGACACTGGGGGTGGCCTTGGGGACATCTCGGGGACATTGGGGGTGGCCTCGGGGACATTGGGGACATTGGGGGTGGCCTTGGGGACACCTCAGGGACACAAAATGGCCTTGGGGACACCTTGGGGACACCTTGGGGACACCTTGGGGACACTTTGGGGACACCTCGGGGACACTTTGGGGACATTGGGGTGGCCTTGGGGACACTTTAGGGACACCAAAATGGCCTCGGGGACAATTTGGGGACAGTTTGGGGACATTGGGGGTGGCCTTGGGGACACTTTGGGGACACCAAAATGGCCTCGGGGACAATTTGGGGACAATTTGGGGACATTGGGGTGGCCTCGGGGACACCTTGGGGACACCTTGGGGACATTGGGGACACCTTGGGGACACCAAAATGGCCTCGGGGACAATTTGGGGACACCTTGGGGACACTGGGGGTGGCCTTGGGGACACCTCGGGGACACCTTGGGGACATTGGGGGTGGCCTTGGGGACACCTTGGGGACATTTGGGGACACCAAAATGGCCTCGGGGACAATGTGGGGACAGTTTGGGGACATTGGGGGTGGCCTTGGGGACATTGGGGTGGCCTCAGGGACAATTTGGGGACACCTCGGGGACACCTTGGGGACACTTTGGGGACACCAGGGTGGCCTTGGGGACAATTTGGGGACATTGGGGGTGGCCTCAGGGACACTTTGGGGACACCAAAATGGCCTCGGGGACAATTTGGGGACAATTTGGGGACATTGGGGGTGGCCTTGGGGACATGGGGACACCTTGGGGACAATTTGGGGACACCAAAATGGCCTCGGGGACAATTTGGGGACAAATTGGGGACATTGGGGATGGCCTCAGGGACAATTTGGGGACATTGGGGGTGGCCTTGGGGACACCTTGGGGACATTGGGGGTGGCCTTGGGGACAATTTGGGGACACCAAGATGGCCTCGGGGACAATTTGGGGACAATTTGGGGACATTGGGGGTGACCTTGGGGACATGGGGACACCTTGAGGACACCTTGGGGACACCTTGGGGACATTGGGGGTGGCCTTGAGGACATTGGGGACACATTGGGGACACCTTGGGGACACTTTTGGGACAATTTTGGGACATTTTGGGACATTTTGGGTGGCCTTGGGGACATCGCGACCCTTTTGGGGCGGGAAATTCTGTTAAGCCACGCCCATTCAATGACGTCACCCTTTAGGCCCCGCCCCCTCCGGGCACCGCAGTGCGCCGGGCCCGAGCGGAGCCGGAAACAGCCGAAAAGAGCCGAAGAGGAGCCGGAAACAGCCGAAGCGGAAGCGGAAATAGCCGAAGAGGAGCCGAACGTGAAGCGGACCCGCCTGAGGGTCCGGCCATGCCTTGAAGCGGCTCCGCCGACCCGTCCCGGGGCTCTTCCTCCTCATCCTCCTCCTCCTCCTGCAGGGGGAGGGGCCCATGGGCCGGGCAGGGGGGTGAGGGGGACGGAGAAGCTGAACTGGGCTGAACTGGGCCAAACTGGGCTGAACTGGGCTGGACTGGGACGGAGAAATCGGAACAGCGGCGGAAAGAGACGAACTTGGCGGAAAGAGCGGAAAAGGGCGCGGAGGGATCGAAGTAAGGACGGAGTGGGGCGGAAAGAAGCGAAACGGGGCGGAAAGAGGCGAAACGGGGCGGAAAAAACCGAATTAGGACGGAAAAAACCGAATTAGGACGGAAAAAACCGAATTAGGACGGAAAAAACCGAACCAAGGCGGAAGTAAACGAAGAGGAGCGGAAGTAAGTGAAGCTGACCGGAAGTAAGGGAAGAAGGGCGGAAGTAAGGGAAGAGGGTCGGAAAGAGCCGAAGAGGAGCGGAAAGAGCCGAAGAGGGAGCGGAAATTGCCGAAGGTTTCCGGAAATTGCCGAAGTGCCGCCATGTTGCTGCCGCTGCTCCTCGGGTTCCTTCAGGGTGAGTTCGGGACCCGCCAATGGCGGCGGACCCAAAATGGCACAAAATGACCCCAAATGTCCCCAAATGTCACAAAAATGGCCCAAAATGTCATCTGGGAGTCTCCCCGAATGTCACTGGGATTTGAAAATGTCCCCAAAATGGCCCCAAATGGTCAAAAAATGGCCCAAAATGACCCTAAAATGGCTCCAAATGTCACAAAATGGCCCCAAATGGCCCAAAATGTCCCCAAATGTCACCTGGGACCCCCCCCCGAATGTCACCGGACCCAAAGTGGCCCAAAATAGCCCCAAATGTCCCCAAAATGTCCCGAAATGTTCCCAAATGTCACAAAAATTGCCCGAAATGTCCCTAAAATGTCTCAAAATGTCCCCAAAATGGTTCCAAAATGGCCCAAAATGTCCCCAAATGTCACAAAAATTGCCGAAAATTTCCTCAAATGTCTCAAAATGTCCCAAAATGTCTCAAAATATCCTCAAATATCCCCAAGATGTCCCCAAAATGTCTCAAAATAGCCCCAAAATGTCCCAAAATGTCTCAAAATGTCCCAAAATATCCCAAAATGTCTTAAAATGTCCCCAAAATGTCCCCAAATGTCCCCAAATATCCCCAAAATGTCCCCAAATGTTCCCAAAATGTCTCCAAATATCCCCAAAATGTCCCCAAATGTCCCAAAATGTCCCAAAATGTCCCCTGGAACCCCAAAATGTCCAATTTGCCCAATTTTGAGTCAATTTTGGGGGTTCAGGGCTGGATTTTGGATGAATTTTGGGCAGATTTTGGCGTATTCGGTGCAAATCCTGTGGGAATTTTTGGGAATTTTTGGGAATTTTTGGGAATTCCGGAAACCCCATCCCAAATTTTCGGGATTTTTTGGGGGATTTGGGACATTTTGGGGGATTTTTGGGTCCATTTTAAGGCAGATTTTGGTGGATTTGGGGGCAAATTTTTGTGAAATTTGGGGAAATTTATTGGGAATTTTTGGCAAATTTTTGGGGAATTTTGGGCAAATTTTTGGGGAATTTTGGGGGGTTTTTTTGGGAATTTTGGGGCTCCCGGTTCCCCATTTTTGGGGTCCTGGGGGTGAATTTTTTGGGGCTTTTGGGGCCGTTTTGGAGCAGAATTTTGATGCTTTTTGGGCAAATTTTGATGCTTTTTTAAGGCTTTTTTGACCAAATTTGGGTCAAATTTCGACGGAATTTTGTGGGAATTTCTGGGAATTTTTGGGAAAATTTGGGAATTCTTTCCTGAGCCCCATTTCCCACCCCCTCTGGAATTTTGGGCATCCTGGGGGTGGATTTTGGGTCCATTTTGGGTCAATTTTAGCCATTTTTGAATGGTTTTTTTAAGGATTTTTGACCAAATTTGGGTCAAATTTCGATGGAATTTTGTGGGAATTTTGTGGGAATTTTGGGGAAAATTTGGGAAAATTTGGGAATTCTTTCCTGACCCCCTTTTCCCACCCCCTCTGGAATTTTGGGCAATCTGGGGGTCGATTTTGGGTCCATTTTGGGTCCATTTTCTGTCTATTTTAACCCTTTTTGGACGGTTTTTCAAGGTTTTTCCACCGAATTTCGCCGGAATTTCGCGGGGTTTTTTTTGGGAATTCCGGGAAAATTTGGGAATTCTTTCCTGACCTTTTCCCACTCCCTCTGGAATTTTGGGCATCCTGGGGGTGGATTTTGGGTCCATTTTGGGTCCATTTTGTGTCTATTTCACCCATTTTTTGATTGTTTTTTGTGGTTTTTTGACCGAATTTCGCCGGAATTTCGCGGGGTTTTTTTTGGGAATTCCGGGAAAATTCGGGAATTCTTTCCCGACCTTTTCCCACCCCCTCTGGAATTTTGGGCATCCTGGGGGTGGATTTTGGGTTCGTTTTTAGTCAATTTTAACCATTTCGGGACGGTTTTTTAAGGTTTTTCCACCGAATTTCGCCGGAATTTCTCGGGGTTTTTTTTGGGAATTTCGGGAAAATTCGGGAATTCTTTCCCAACCTTTTCCCACCCTCTCTGGAATTTTGGGCATCCTTGGGGTGGATTTTGGGTCCATTTTGGGTCAATTTCACCCATTTCAGGACAGTTTTTTGAGGTTTTTCCACCGAATTTTGCCGGAATTTCACGGGGTTTTTTTTGGGAATTTTGGGGAAAATTCGGGAATTCTTTCCTGACCTTTGCCTATCCCCTCTGGAATTTTGGGCAATCTGGGGGTGGATTTTGGGTCCATTTTATGTCTATTTTAACCATTTTTGGATGTTTTTTTAAGGTTTTTTGACCAAATTTGGGTCAAATTTCGATGGAATTTCTGGGAATTTGGGGAAAAATTTGGGAATTCTTTCCTGACCCCCTTTTCCCACCCCCTCTGGAATTTTGGGCATCCTGGGGTGGATTTTGGGTCCATTTTATGTCTATTTTAACCGTTTTTGGATGTTTTTTTAAGGTTTTTTTACCAAATTTGGGTCAAATTTTGGTGGAATTTCTGGGAATTTTGGGGAAAATTTGGGGAAATTCGGGAATTCTTTTCTGACCCCCTTTTCCCACCCCCTCTGGAATTTTGGGCATCCTGGGGGTGGATTTTGGGTGCATTTTGGGTCAATTTTAACCATTTTTTGACGGTTTTTTGAGGTTTTTCGATCGAATTTCACCAGAATTTCGTGGGGTTTTTTTTGGGAATTCCAGGAAAATTCGGGAATTCTTTCCTGATCCCCTTTTCCCACCCCCTCTGGAATTTTGGGCATCCTGGGGGTGGATTTTGGGTCCATTTTGGGTCCATTTTGTGTCTATTTTAACCGGTTTTGGATGGTTTTTCGAGGTTTTTCCACCGAATTTCGCCGGAATTTCGCGGGGTTTTTTTTGGGAATTCCGGGAAAATTTGGGAATTCTTTCCTGACCTTTTCCCACCCCCTCTGGAATTTTGGGCATCCCGGGGGTGGATTTTGGGTCCATTTTGTGTCTATTTTAACCATTTTATGACGGTTTTTTAAGGTTTTTCCACCGAATTTCACCGGAATTTCACGGGGTTTTTTTTGGGAATTCCGTGAAAATTCGGGAATTCTTTCCTGACCCCCTTTCCCACCCCCTCTGGAATTTTGGGCATCCTGGGGGTGGATTTTGGGTCCATTTTGGGTCCATTTTGTGTCTATTTTAACCGTTTTTGGACAGTTTTTTGAGGTTTTTCGACTGAATTTCACTGGAACTTCGCGGGGGTTTTTTTGGGAATTCCGGGAAAATTCGGGAATTCTTTCCCGACCTTTTCCCACCCCCTCTGGAATTTTGGGCATCCTGGGGGTGGATTTTGGGTCCATTTTGGGTCCATTTTGTGTCTATTTTAACCGTTTTTGGATGGTTTTTCAAGGTTTTTTGACCAAATTTGGGTCAAATTTTGACGGAATTTTTGGGGAATTTTTGGGAAAATTCGGGAATTCTTTCCTGACCTTTTCCCACCCCCTCTGGAATTTTGGGCATCCTGGGGATGGATTTTGGGTGCATTTTGGGCCGATTTCACCCATTTTAGGATGGTTTTTTGACCAAATTTGGGTCAAATTTTGATGGAATTTCTGGGAATTTTTGGGAAAATTTGGAAAAATTTGGGAATTCTTCTCCCGACCCCCTTTTCCCACCCCCTCTGGAATTTTGGACATCCTGGGGGTGGATTTTGGGTCCATTTTGGGTCCATTTTGTGTCTATTTTAACCATTTTCGGATGCTTTTTTAAGGTTTTTTCACCAAATTTGGGTCAAATTTTGCCGGAATTTTGTGGGAATTTCTGGGAATTTGGGAATTTTTTCCTGACCCCTTTTCCCACCCCCTCTGGAATTTTGGGCATCCTGGGGGTGAATTTTGGGCATCCTGGGGGTGGATTTTGGGTTCATTTTGGGTTGATTTAACCCATTTCGGGACCTTTTTTTGATGTTTTTCGACCGAATTTCGCCGGAATTTCGCGGGGTTTTTTTTGGGAATTCCGGGAAAATTCGGGAATTCTTTCCTGACCCCCTTTTCTCACCCCCTCTGGAATTTTGGGCATCCTGGGGGTGGATTTTGGGTCCATTTTGGGTCAATTTTAACCATTTCATGACGGTTTTTAAAGGTTTTTTGACCGAATTTCGCCGGAATTTCGCGGGGGTTTTTTTGGGAATTCCGGGAAAATTCGGGAATTCCCTCCCGACCCCCTTTTCCCACCCCCTCTGGAATTTTGGGGATCCTGGGGGTGGATTTTGGGTGGATTTTGGGTCAATTTTAACCATTTTATGACTTTTTTTAAGGTTTTTCGACCGAATTTCGCCGGAATTTCGCCGGGTTTTTTTTGGGAATTCCGGGAATATTCGGGAATTCTTTCCTGACCTTTTCCCACCCCCTCTGGAATTTTGGGCATCCTGGGGGTGCATTTTGGGTCTAATTTGTGTCTATTTTAATGGTTTTTGATGCTTTTTTAAGGTTTTTCGACTGAATTTCGCCGGAATTTCGCGGGGTTTTTTTTGGGAATTCCGACAAAATTTGGGAATTCTTTCCTGACCTTTTCCAACCCGCTCTGGAATTTTGGGCATCCTGGGGGTCGATTTTGGGTCCATTTTGGGTCCATTTTGTGTCTATTTTAACCGTTTTTTGACGGTTTTTCGACGTTTTTTGACTGAATTTCGCCGGAATTTCGCGGGGTTTTTTTTGGGAATTCCGGGAAAATTCGGGAATTCTTTCCTGACTTTTTCACACCCCCTCTGGAATTTTGGGTGTCCTGGGGGTGTAATTTGGGTGGATTTTGGGTCAATTTTAACCATTTTATGACTGTTTTTTAAGGTTTTTCCACCGAATTTCGCCGGAATTTCGCGGGGTTTTTTTTGGGAATTCCGGGAAATTTCGGGAATTCCATCCCAACCCCCCATTTTTCCCTCTTCCCGCAGTTTGGGGGGCTCTGGGGGGCTGCGTGGAGGTGGCCTCGGGCACCGAGGCCGTGCTGGGGTTGCCGTTCCGGCTCCTGTGCATCGCCTGCAAGCGCCGCAGCGAAACCCCGGCCGAGGCCGAGAGCGAGTGGTTCTTCCGGCCTGAGGGGGCGCCCCAGTTCGAGAAGGTCACTGGGAGGGACTGGGATGAACTGGGAGGGGACTGGGATGAACTGGGAGGGGGTTGGGATAAACTGGGATAAACTGGGATAAACTGGGAGGGACTGGGAGGGACTGGGAGGATGTTGCAGTTACCAAAGCTGCCACCAGGGGGAGACACTGGGAGTTCATTGAGGGGAGTGGGAGGGACTGGGAGGGACTGGGATGGACTGGGAGGGTATTGGGAGGGACTGGGATGGACTGGGAGGGGGTTGGGATGGACTGGGAGTTACTGGGAGGGGATTGGGATAAACTGGGAGGGGATTGGGACGGACTGGGAGTTACTGGGAAGGGATTGAGATAAATTGGGAGGGACTGGGAGGAACTGGGAGGGAACTGGGAGTTACTGGGAGGGGATTGGGAGGGACTGGAACAGACTGGGACGAACTGGGACAAACTGGGACAGGATTGGGGTCAACTGGGAGGGACTGGGAGGAACTGGGAGTTACTGGGAGGGGATTGGGATAAACTGGGAAGGACTGGGAGGGGACTGGGAGTTACTGGGAGGGTATTGGGAAGGACTGGAACACACTGGGACCAACTGGGACCAACTGGGACGGGTTTGGGGTAAACTGGGAGGGACTGGGAGTTACTGGGAGGGACTGGGAGGGACTGGGAGGGGATTGGGATAAACTGGGAGTTACTGGGAGGGCGATGCAGTTCCCAAAGCTGCCACCAGGGGGAGTGGGGGAGACATTGGGAGTTCGTGGAGGGGACTGGGATGGACTGGGAGGGACTGGGAGGGACTGGGAGGGGGTTGGGAGGGACTGGGAGTTACTGGGAGGGACTGGGATGGACTGGGATGGACTGGGAGAGACTGGGACAAACTGGGAGGACGCTGCAGTTCCCAAAGTCGCCACGAGGGGGAGTGGGGGAGACATTGGGAGTTCATTGAGGGGACTGGGAGGGACTGGGAGGGACTGGGAGGGGATTGGGATAAACTGGGAGTTACTGGGAGGGTATTGGGAGGGACTGGAATGGACTGGGACGAACTGGGATGGGATTGGGGTAAACTGGGAGGGACTGGGGCAGACTGGGACGGCATTAGGGTCAACTGGGAGGGACTGGGAGTTACTGGGAGGAACTGGGAGGGACTGGGAGGGGACTGGGATGAACTGGGAGGGGAGTGGGATGGATTAGGATAGACTGGGAGGGAACTGGAACAGACTGGGAGGGGATTGGGAGGGACTGGGAGTTACTGGAAGGGGATTGGGATAAACTGGGAGAGACTGGGAGGGGATTGGGATAAACTGGGAGGGACTGGGAGTTACTGGGAGGGACTGGGATGGACTGGGAGTGAACTGGGATGGACTGGGATGAACTGGGAGGGACTGGGATGAACTGGGATAAACTGGGACAAACTGGGATGGATTGGGATAAACTGGGAGTTACTGGGAGGACGCTGCAGTTCCCAAAGCCGCCACCAGGAGGAGACACTGGGAGTTCATTGAGGGGAGTGGGATGAACTGGGATAAACTGGGATAAACTGGGAGGGACTGGGAGTTACTGGGAGGGGATTGGGAGGGACTGGAACAGACTGGGACGAACTGGGACAAACTGGGAGGGGATTGGGATAAACTGGGAGGTGACTGGGAGTTACTGGGAGGGTATTGGGAGGGACTGGGAGCAACTGGAAGGGACTGGGAGGAACTGGGAGGGACTGGGACAGGATTGGGATGGACTGGGAGTAACTGGGAGGGGATTGGGATGGACTGGGAGTTACTGGGAGGGGATTGGGATAAACTGGATGGGACTGGGATAAACTGGGAGGGGATTGGGGTAAACTGGGAGGGACTGGGAGGGACTGGGAGGGGATTGGGATAAACTGGGAGGGACTGGAGGGGACTGGGATGGACTGGGAGGGACTGGAATAAACTGGGAGGGACTGGGAGCAGCTGGGAGGGGACTGGGAGCAACTGCGAGGGATTGGGATAAACTGGGATTTACTGGGAGGGGATTGGGATAAACTGGGAGTTACTGGGAGGGGATTGGGATAAACTGGGAGGAACTGGGAGAGGACTTGGAGTTACTGGGAGGGGATTGGGGTAAACTGGGAGGGACTGGGAGTTACTGGGAAGGGATTGGGATAAACTGGGAGGGGATTGGGAAGGACTGGAACAGACTGGGACGAACTGGGACAAACTGGGAGGGGATTGGGATAAACTGGGAGGGGACTGGGATAAACTGGGAGGGACTGGGAGGAACTGGGAGGGGATTGGGGTAAACTGGGAGGGACTGGGATGAACTGAGAGGGGATTGGGATGGACTGGGAGGGACTGGGAGGGAATTGGGATAAACTGGGATGGACTGGGACAAACTGGGACGGGATTGGGGTAAACTGGGAGGGACTGGGAGTTACTGGGAGGGACTGGGAGGGGATTGGGAGTTACTGGGAGGGAACTGGGAGGAACTGGGAGGGACTGGGACGAACTGGGAGGGACTGGGACGAACTGGGAGTTACTGGGAGGGGATTGGGAGGGACTGGAACAGACTGGGACGAACTGGGACAAACTGGGATGGGATTGGGATAAACTGGAAGGGACTGGGGCAGACTGGGAGGGGATTGAGATAAACTGGGATGGACTGGGATGGACTGGGATGGAACTGGGATGGACTGGGAGGGACTGGGATAAACTGGGAGTTACTGGGAGGGACTGGGAGTTACTGGGAGGATGTTGCAGTTACCAAAGCTGCCACCAGGGGGAGACACTGGGAGTTCATTGAGGGGAGTGGGATGAACTGGGATGGACTGGGAGGGACTGGGACGGGACTGGGAGGGACTGGGAGTTACTGGGAGGGAACTGGGAGGCACTGGGAGGAACTGGGACGAACTGGGAGGGGATTGGGATAAACTGGGAGGGACTGGGAGGGACTGGGAGGGGGTTTGGGGTTACTGGTTTGTACTGGGACGGAACTGGGTTGAACTGGGGTGGAACTGGGATGGACTGGGAGGGACTGGGAGGGGATTGGGAGGAACTGGGATATACTGCGAGAGAGTTTGGGGTTACTGGTTTGTACTGGGACGGAACTGGGTTGAACTGGGGTGGAACTGGGAGGGACTGGGATATACTGGGAGGGACTGGGAGGGGATTGGGAGGGACTGGGAGGGACTGGGAGTTACTGGGATGAACTGGGATAAACTGGGAGGACGCTGCAGTTCCCAAAGCCGCCACCAAGGGGAGACACTGGGAGTTCATTGAGGGGAGTGGGATGAACTGGGAGAGACTGGGATGGACTGGGAGGGGACTGGGAGGAACTGGGAGGGGACTGGGAGTTACTGGAAGGGTATTGGGAGGGACTGGAACACACTGGGACAAACTGGGATGGGATTGGGATGGACTGGGAGGGACTGGGAGTTACTGGGAGGGGATTGGGGGTTACTGGGAGGAACTGGGACAAACTGGGATGGGATTGGGACAAACTGGGAGTCACTGGGCTGAACTGGGCCAAACTGGGAATCACCGGATCCACCATAACTCTCCATTGCAATACCAACCCCATCCACCAGACGGCACCACTGAGCAAAGCCCCATTCCCACACCCTTCCCACCAACCCCTACTGGTTTATACTGTTTTATACTGGTTTTTACTGGTTTTTACTGGTTTTTTTTTTACAGATCCTCCACTACAGCCCCGAGGAGGGCGAGTGGGTGGCCCCGGGGCCGTTTTTTGGGGTGATGTCCTGGAACGGCTCGAGGGGGACGCGGGACCTGCAGGACCTGTCGGTGTGGCTGGCGGCGGTGCAGCACAACCACGCCGGGCACTACGTGTGTCGGCTGAAACGGAACCTGACCTTCGAGGGTTACACCTACAGCCTGGCCAGGAACCAGACCCTGCGGCTGGCCGTGGTGGAGAAAGGTGCTGGGGGGCACTGGGATAAACTGGGAGAAACTGGGAGGGACTGGGAGTTACTGGGAGTTAATGGGAGTTAATGGGAGGATGTTGTAGTTCCCATAGATGCCACCAGGAGGAGATGGGGAAACATTAAGAGTTTATTGAGGGCAACTGGGATGGACTGGGAGGCACTGGGAGGCACTGGGAGTTACTGGGAGGCACTGGGATAAACTGGGATGGACTGGGAGTTACTGGGAAGAAATTGGGAGGGACTGGGATAAACTGGGAGGGACTGGGTTATACTAGGAGGGACTAGGAGTCATTGGAAAGGAACTGGGAGGGACTGGGATGGACTGGGAGGGAACTGGGAGAGACTGGGAGGCACTGGGAGGGATTGGGAGGGATTGGGATGGACTGGGATAAACTGGGAGTTACTGGGAGGACGCTGTAGTTCCCAATGATGCCACCAGGAGGAGCTGGGAAAACATTGGGAGTTGATTGAGAAAATTGGGATGGACTGGGATGGACTGGGAGGGACTGGGAGGCACTGGGAGGCACTGGGAGGGAACTGGGAGTTACTGGGATAAACTGGGAGGGAACTGGAAGGGATTGGGATGAACTGGGAGTTACTGGGAGTTACTGGGAAGATGTTGCAGTTCCCAAAGACGCCACCAGGAGGAGCTTGGGAAACACTGGGAGTTGATTGAGAAAATTGGGATGGACTGGGATAAACTGGGAGGGACCGGGATCAACTGGGAGGGGACTGGGATGGACTGGGAGGGACTGGGAGGCACTGGGAGGGACTGGGATCAACTGGGAGTTACTGGGATCAACTGGGAGTTATTGGGAGTTAATGGCAGGACGCTGTAGTTCCCAAAGACGCCACCAGGAGGAGTTGGGGAGACATTGGGAGTTCATTGAGGGCAACTGGGATGGACTGGGATAAACTGGGATGGACTGGGAGGGCACTGGGATGGACTGGGATAAACTGGGAGGGAACTGGGAGGGATTGGGTTGGACTGGGATAAACTGGGAGTTACTGGGAGGATGTTGCAGTTCCCAAAGACGCCACCAGGAGGAGCTGGGGAAACACTGGGAGTTCATTGAGAGGACTGGGAGGGGACTGGGAGTTACTGGAATGGACTGGGAGGGAATTGGGAGTGACTGGGAGGCACTGGGAGTTACTGGGAGTTACTGGGAGTTACTGGGAGGGCACTGGGTTACACCTACAGCCTGGCCAGGAACCAGACCCTGCGGCTGGCCGTGGTGGAGAAAGGTGCTGGGGGGCACTGGGAGGCACTGGGAGTTACTGGGAAGAAACTGGGAGGGACTGGGAGTTACTGGTTTGTACTGGGAGGACACTGCAGTTCCCATAGATGCCACCAGGAGGAGCTGCGGAAACACTATGAGTTCATTGAGGGGACTGGGATGGACTGGGAGGGACTGGGAAGAAATTGAGAGGCACTGGGAGTTACTGGGAAGAAATTGGGAGGGACTGGGAGTTACTGGGATAAACTGGGAGTTACTGGGAGTTACTGGGAGGACGCTGCAGTTCCCAGAGATGCCACCAGGAGGAGCTGGGGAAACACTGGGAGTTGATTGAGGGCAACTGGGATGGACTGGGATGGACTGGGAGGGAATTGGGAGTTACTGGGAGTGACTGGGAGGGCACTGGGATGGACTGGGATAAACTGGGAGTTACTGGGAGGGACTGGGAGTTACTGGTTTGTACTGGAAGGATGTTGCAGTTCCCAAAAATGCCACCAGGAGGAGCTGGGGAAACATTAAGACTTTATTGAGGGCAACTGGGAGAGACTGGGAGTCACTGGAAGGGAACTGGGAGGGACTGGGATTGACTGGGATCAACTGGGAGGGGACTGGGATAAACTGGGAGGGACTGGGATAAACTGGGAATTACTGGGAAGAAATTGGGAGGGACTGGGAGTTAGTGGGAGGATGTTGCAGTTCCCAAAGACGCCACCAGGAGGAGATGGGGAAACATTGGGAGTTCATTGAGGGGACTGGGAGGGGACTGGGAGTTACTGGGAGTCACTGGGATGGACTGGGATCAACTGGGAGGGGCCTGGGAGTTGCTGGGAGTTACTGGGAGTTACTGGGATAAACTGGGAGGGACTGGGAGGGACTGGGAGTTACTGGGAGGACGCTGCAGTTCCCATAGATGCCACCAGGAGGAGCTGGGGAAACACTGGGAGTTGATTGAGGGCAACTGGGATGGACTGGGAGGGAATTGGGAGGGACTGGGAGGGATTGGGATGGACTGGGATCAACTGAGAGGGACTGGGAGTTACTGGGAGGGCACTGGGTTACACCTACAGCCTGGCCAGGAACCAGACCCTGCGGCTGGCCGTGGTGGAGAAAGGTGCTGGGGGGCACTGGGATAAACTGGGAGGCACTGGGATTAATTGGGAGTTACTGGGATAAACTGGGAAGAAATTGGGAGGGACTGGGTTATACTAGGAGGGACTAGGAGTCATTGGAAAGGAGCTGGGAGGGACTGGGATGGACTGGGAGGGACTGGGAGGGAACTGGGAGAGACTGGGAGGGAACTGGGACGCACTGGGAGGGATTGGGAGAGACTGGGATCAACTGGGATAAACTGAGAGTTACTGGGAGTTACTGGGAGTTAATGGGAGTTAATGGGAGGACGCTGCAGTTCCCAAAAACGGCACCAGGAGGAGCTGCAGAAACACTGGGAGTTGATCGAGAAAATTGAGATGGACTGGGATGGACTGGGATATACTGGGAGGGGACTGGGAAGGAACTGGGATGGACTGGGAGTCATTGGGATTGACTGGGAGGGACTGGGAGACACTGGGAAGAAATTGGGAGGGACTGGGAGTTACTGGGAGGATGTTGTAGTTCCGAAAGACGCCACCAGGACGAGCTGGGGAAACATTGGGAGCTCATTGAGGGGACTGGGAGGGGCTGGGAGGGAACTGGGATCAACTGGGATAAAGTGGGAGTTACTGGGAGTTACTGGGAAGAAATTGGGAGGGACTGGGAGTTACTGGGAGTTACTGGGAGTTACTGGGAGTTAATGGGAGGATGTTGCAGTTCCCAAAAATGCCACCAGGACAAGCTGAGGAAACACTGGGAGTTCATTGAGGGCAACTGGGATGGACTGGGAGGGACTGGGATGAACTTGGAGGCACTGGGAGGGACTGGGAGGCACTGGGATCAACTGGGAGTCACTGGGAGGGAACTGGGAGTTACTGGGAGGCACTGGGATCAACTGGGATGGACTGGGAGTTACTGGGAGTTACTGGGAGGGCACTGGGTTACACCTACAGCCTGGCCAGGAACCAGACCCTGCGGCTGGCCGTGGTGGAGAAAGGTGCTGGGACAAACTGGGAGCAACTGGGATTAACTGGGATAAACTGGAAGAGGATTGGGAGGGACTGGGAGGGACTGGGATAAACTGGGAGGGGACTGGGTTATACTAGGAGGGACTAGGAGTCATTGGAAAGGAACTGGGAGGGACTGGGATGGACTGGGAGGGAACTGGGAGAGACTGGGAGGCACTGGGAGGGATTGGGAGGGATTGGGATGGACTGGGATAAACTGGGAGTTACTGGGAGTTACTGGGAGGATGTTGTAGTTCCCAAAGACGCCACCAGGAGGAGCTGGGGAAACACTGGGAGTTGATTGAGGGCAACTGGGATGGACTGAGATGGACTGGGAGGGAATTGGGAGTTACTGGGAGGGACTGGGAGGGAACTGGGATCAATTGGGAGGGGACTGGGATGGACTGGGATGGACTCAGATAAACTGAAAGTCACTGGGAGGGAACTGGGAGGGATTGGGATGGACTGGGATAAACTGGGAGTTACTGGGAGTTACTGGGAGGGCACTGGGTTACACCTACAGCCTGGCCAGGAACCAGACCCTGCGGCTGGCCGTGGTGGAGAAAGGTGCTGGGGGGCACTGGGATAAACTGGGATTAACTGGGAGTTACTGGTTTGTACTGGGAGGCAATGTGAGGGACTGGGAGAACAATGCAGTTCCCAATGACGCCACCAGGAGGAGCTGGGGAAACACTATGAGTTCATTGAGGGCAACTGGGATGGACTGGGAGTTACTGGGATGGACTGGGATGGACTGGGAGGGAGTTGGGAGTTACTGGGAGGCACTGGGATCAACTGGGATAAAGTGGGAGTTACTGGGAGTTACTGGGAGTTACTGGGAGGGCACTGGGTTACACCTACAGCCTGGCCAGGAACCAGACCCTGAGGCTGGCCGTGGTGGAGAAAGGTGCTGGGATAAACTGGGAGGCACTGGGAGCAACTGGGAAGAAATTGGGAGAGACTGGGATAAACTGGGAAGAAATTGGGAGGGACTGGGATAAACTGGGAGGAGACTGGGTTATACTAGGAGGGACTAGGAGTCATTGAAAAGGAACTGGGAGGGACTGAGATGGACTGGGAGGGGACTGGGAGGGCACTGGGATGGACTGGGATAAACTGGGAGGGACTGGGAGGGACTGGGAGTTACTGGGAGTTACTGGGAGTTACTGGGATAAACTGGGAGTTACTGGGAGTTACTTATAGGACGCTGCAGTTCCCAAAGATGGCACCAGGAGGAGGTGGGGAAACACTGGGAGTTCATTGAGGGCAACTGGGATGGACTGGGAGGGAACTGGGAGGGACTGGGAATGACTGGGAGGGCACTGGGATGGACTGGGATAAACTGGGAGTTACTGGGATAAACTGGGAGGGACTGGGATAAACTGGGAGTTACTTGGAGGATGTTGCAGTTCTCAAAGACGCCACCAGGAGGAGCTGGGGAAACATTGGGAGTTCATTGAGGGGACTGGGAGGGGACTGGGGTAAACTGGGATGAACTGGGAGGGACTTGGAGGGACTGGGAGAGACTAGGAGGGAACTGGGATCAACTGGGAGTTACTGGGAGTTACTGGGAGTTACTGGGAGGATGTTGTAGTTCCCAAAGACGCCACCAGGAGGAGCGGGGGAAACACTGGGAGTTGATTGAGGGGACTGGGAGGG